ACTGTACATTTATTTATAAAATTCATTGATTATTGATAAAATTGTCGTGCGTGGAAGGTTGAGCAATTGGTTAGATGGAAAAAGCAATTCTTTGATAGATCATATAGCATGTTCTATGCATTACAGTAAATTCTCCCTAATTGACGCTCAGCTTGTACACAAAAATGGACAATTTGGGAAGAGTAGATACGTGCGATTATGTATTCGAGTTTTGCGGCTCGTTTTTATAGTTGTTGATAATCGGTGGCTATAAAAACGAACCGCAAGGCTTGAATAATCGTGCGTATCTCCTTTTCTCAAATTGTCTCCAGCTTAGAGCATATTCATATTGCGTCTAGAGGCAACATCTGTTACTGCTGAACATGGAGACAATTTTTAGACAGACAAAGAGAGAGTAGGTTCCATTACTGTAACCAGATCTTTACCACTATACACTGCATATGTATAGTGCGTATTATAGAAATTCTAAGTGTTCGGTGAAGTAAAGATAACTGTTTCACTCTGACATTAAGCGGTGTAAAAGATAATCGCTCAAAATCGCTGGCCGCTGGTTGAAATCTTGAACATATTTATCTTGTGCATATCTTGAGCATTATAATAAAATAAAGTATGTCAATGTACAATAATGCATCTCAAATTTTTGAACAATTTTTCTACTTCCCTTAACTTTTGCAAGTATTCCCACTATATCGCTGCACATCCAATCCGCAGCGAATTATAATAAAATATTTATATATTTTATATTATATATTTATATTAGAATAAAATTATAATAAATAATTATTATTTATTATGCATTATAATAAAACAAAGTATATCAATGTACAGTAATGTGTCTCAAATGTTGCACAGTTCTTCTACCGGTTGCCAACAGCTATAAAAACAACCCTAAATTATAACGAATATTATACTATTTCTTTATTATAACGAATATTATATTATATTATTATTATCCATTATTAGTACATTTTTTTATTTAATTTATTATCATTATATTATAACGAATACTTATTATTTATTTAATATATTTCTCTTCCCAAATTGTCAATCGGGGAGAATTTACTGTTATTTACTTGCCAGGCGTGGTGACGTCGAGCAGATACGCCCTGGCAGGGCTTTGACAAGCGTCGGCGTCGAAATCCAGGAGCACCGTGCCCAGGATCGTGAAGAAGATCCCCCAGGAGTGCGAGGGTGGCTTCGGAGCGTCTTCCTTTCCCTGTTTCGCCGTGGTCCGGTGCCCGAGTGGAACGGTATAGTTCGTGTGAATCGGAGGGGTGTCGCCGAACGCGTAGCCCAAACCCTCGCCGTTCGGGACCAGAATCAATCCTGAGGAAACGGTCGATTATCATGACGGATCCAGAGAGAAGGGACTTCGCCGGTTAAGAATATGGTTCACCTATCAGCACCCCAATCGCGAGGAGGAAGATGAACGGCCTTCGCCTGCCGTGCTTCGATCTGCATCGGTCGCTCAGGCTGCCCAAAATCGGGGTGACGAAGAAGCCGATCAGAGGGCTCAGCGCCCATACCAAGGTCATGTGCTGATGGTCCACGCCGATCTTCAAAAGGGTCGGCGAAACGAACGCGGTCTCCGCCGCGTACGAGAACTCGATTCCCATCACGGCTGCGGACACCCGCACCAATTCTCCCCGCGACTTTTTCCTGACGAACACACACACACACATATAGAACACGCAACGTTGTTTCGTCGTATACGTAGATCGGCGAATAATCTGAGAAATCGCCGGCCGATGTAACGTACCTGTAAACGTGCGCGTAATCGTCCAAGGTCCTCTCGAGCTTCGGCGGGCCCCGCAGATGGTTGAGGACCCCCTCGACGCCCTGGTCGAGGGGCACGCCGCTCTTCCACTCCTTCCACACCTCCCATTTCTCCTTGATCTTGTCCCGGACACCGTGCACCCTCCCGGCGAACCCCTCGTACTCGTGCAGTTTGTCCACCATGGTTCGCGACGGTCACACGTGCGGCGGTATTCCCTTTGGCACGCCGTTCAGCGATCCCTGGATCTCATCGCTCGATCAGCCGAACGCCGATCTGCCGCCTCATCGCCAGATATTTTTCCGTACGAGCGCTGCCCTTCGAACAAGAGCGAAGAGTCTTCTCGCGGAGAGTTCAATCGAGGAACGCGATCGTGATCGTTCGCGGGCACATCCTGAACGATCGCGGCGCCGTGAGATCGAGAAAGAAAAAAAAAGAGAGAGAGAGATATATAGAGAGAGGGGGAGAGAATGATCGAGAAAGGGTGCGTGCGCGAAGGGTGGCGCGTGCTTCGCCGACGAGACACGAGACTCGACTGACGGTCCGCAAGCTCATCGCCGACGCGAAGACGAAAGCTCGAAGCTCGAGCGACGTCGACTTTCACCGAAGGGCAGCCGGGGCTCGGCTCCTCGTCGCCTCTCCTCGTGCCTCGTCGCACCCCCTCGGCTCCGCCGTGTTCCCGGAGGATGTAAAATGAGCTTTTCGTGTACCGAGGGAAACCCACTTACCCTAGACAGTCGGGATGCTCGTTAGAATTGATTAAAGTCGGTTCGGTGAAGCTCGATGGAATCTGTTGCTCGTCCGCCATACGATCCTGCTCGGACTTAACGTTCCGGCGAGGGCTTGGAACGCTGCGGCCGACTTGTCCGCGGCTTTTTTCGGCCAATCTACGGGTAATTGAAGGGAACCGGGAACGCCGGCTCGACTGGACGCGGACGGTTCGATCCAAGGATCGAAGGTACAGTCAATTCTCCCTAATTGACGATCGGATTGTACGCAAAGGTATTAATTATTATAATATGTATATAGCTTATGGTTATATTTAGCTTATATATATATATATATATAATATAATATATAATATATTATAATAATATATTATTAATTATTATTATATACGTATTAATTATTATAAGATATTAATGTTAGCTGCGAAACGGGCAACCATAAGCTAAAACCATAGACTTCGATCGAACGAACGATCGCATGCTTATAAATGCCGTGTCGCGCGCCGTACATTCAGGTTACAAGATTTCGAAGCAGCGTGCCGCAACTTAAACGAGTTCACCCGAGAAGGACGGGATCGTCTTCGACGACGAGATAACGCGTGCAAACGTGAACATTTTTTTTTTTTAAGGAAGCACGCCGCTGCACCGTCGCCAACGTATCGAACCGTCGTATTAACTGCCTGGAGAAGTCCTACAAACTAGGTCTTGTTGCGTATGTGGCCTTGGTCCTAGCTTCTCCCTTGTCGGAGCTTACGGCAGCAACACGCATCGACAACTTCATCATCGTATCGGACACCTTTTCTTTTCACGCCTACTCGAGTCGTTGGCGGTGTGCGTGTAGCAACCGGCAACGACGTCGGCAAGCTTACAAGCGTTTCGAGTCGTTGATCGTCGAGAGATCGGCCAGAGATCGTCTTGCGATTCATCCGAAATTTCATCGTGCGGGCACAACCGTCTCGCGACGATCGGGCTGTTACGATTATTCGAGTGTTTGCGCAAGCGAGCACGCAACACGTTCGAATAATTGTATCGCTTCTTCCCAAGTTGTACAATTTTTCTGCGCAATCCGAGCGTCGATTAGAGAGACTTTACTGTGCATACATATTTTCTTCCGTTTCTTAGCAAGTTCTCCGAACGAGCAACGTCGTCGTACGAGGAAGCCCGACGATTTATCTAATTATTCTCGCGTAGATTTCACGGACCATTCCCGCTCGTCTAATTCCATCGGCCGCCGCAGATGCAGCAGTAAGCCTGACGATTGCACAACGACAGATTGATAAGAAATAAAGACAGCGTTTGCACGTGTCTTTAATGGAAGCACGCGAAATCATTAGCGGAACGCAGACGGTCGCCGGTTTATCGTGCCAGGCCGAGGACCGGCTACGGTAAATTCATCCTAATTTTCCTTCAGCTTCGGAACAAAAATTAGCAATTTGGGAAGAGGAGATACGATTGTTCCAGATTGTTACCGATTGTTAATAATCATAAAAACGAGACGCGAGACTTGATTAATCGACCTTCGCTTCCCAAATTGTTCATTTTCGTGCGCGATCTGAGCGCGAATTAGGGAGAAATTACTGTATTACAAATTCGGTGTTTCTTCTTAGAACATATTTACAAGTTTGTTACTTTTCCTCTACAAGCAGTAGGGAGAACTTGATTGTAGTTTTGTGATCCTCTAATGATGAAATCAATTTCTCTCTCTAAGTCCCATCAATTTATCTCTTTCCTGCGAGCATATACATTTGCATAAACGTCCGCAGCGGCTTCTTTTTACCTTTATCAACGAGACCATTGACGTTGCTGCAAATGCTTTAGGCTTTGCTCGAAGATCGAGCTCGAAAATTAGTGTACAACGAGGCGTAGAGAGCACGCGTGACGCGAGATACAGTAAATTCTGCCTAATTGGCGCTCGGATGGATACAAAAATAGATATATGCAACAAAACATGCAATATAGAAAACATATGCAATACGCGATATCCTCGACTTCGCTCTCGTTCTCGCGTTTTCTCCAACAACGAGTAGTAACATTTCGCTCGGAATTCACCGCGGCCGGTTCCGTCGCGTGTATCCAAGTTCGGCGATCGCGGGGGCGTAAATCGAAACGGTGAACGGTTTGCCGTTCCAGCGACGCTTTTATTGTCTACGCGGCGAATTGTGAGCACAGCAACGATACGAACGAGCACCTTTTCCACGTCCGCGCAAAGCCGTCGCGCTGTTTGTTCGGCCGTTTAAGGACGCGATCGTGTTTGCCGGCGTGTTTGCGAGCGTGTTTACGCGCGTGCACGTCCGCCGCAGCGTCTCTCTCTCTCTCTCTCTCTCTCTCTCTCTCTCTCTCTCTCTCTCTCTCTGCAAACGGAGCGTCCTCGACGGAGCTTTCTCCACAGCACGGCGTCGCGACGCCACGCCGATGTAATTTCCGGCCGGGAAATTGCACTTTGCCGATTCGACCGTGTTCCTTTCGAAGCGGATTTTCAATTCGATTTAACGCGCGTCGTCCAGGAGAGCGGACTCCGCGCGGACCACGGCCGCCTTGTCCTCGCCGTTTTCATTATCCGGCTCGATATTAACGAGTCCCTGACAATCGAACATGGTTCTCGTGATCTCGTGGAAGATAATAGAAAAAGAAACAGCGAGGGATCGAACCCTGGGTCGTTTCGTTCACTGTCGATCCAAATACAGTAATTTCTCCCGGAAATGCCAAATTTCGGGTTGCTGTGAATTTCTCTGTGCTAGTCCTACAACTATGTAATTTATCGCTACGTCGATGCTAAGGGTCAAAAAGATCACTTTGATCTGTAAACCGGAAGCCTACGATGCGAAAATTATGAAAAATCGTTAATTTGTTCGTATAGAAAACGAAATTTTTGGCACTGCGACTCTGCGATCGATACCGATTCTAAATAAAAGCTATCCAGCATGTCTTGTCGCTGTACATAGCGCCTAATCGACGTTATTATCGATTAAAGGTAGTGGTGTACAGTCAGAGACACATTAGATTGGCGCAAAATCACGCATCTGCGAGACACGATTGTCTCTTTTGCGATCGGAAAAAATCGCTGGGTCGCACGTGTTTAGCTACGGTCGAAAGGGTTAAATATGTTAACATCCATACGTTCGCTTCGTCGCAATGCTTAGAACGCTACTCCTATTTTTAAGACTGTCCTTATTAGAACAAACCTAGCACAGTATAAATCTATCATCTTCCCGTATTTTGGCTATTAAGGCTAATTAAAAATCTTGTATCCATCCATTCGAGAAGTCATTATCATTATTATATACATATGTATACTATATTATACAATAGTATAGCAGTAGTATAATACAGTAGTATTATAGTATTATAATATTTTATAGTAGTATATAATAGTATATAGTAGTATATAAAAGTATTATAATATAGTATATAATAGTATTATAATATAGTATATGTATATAACAGAATAATGATTTCTCGAATTCAATCGAAACTGTTATACAATGAGACTCGCGATGGAATATTTTTCTCCCGTAAATTAAAAACAAAGATGCGCCGAACGGTCCCCCGATCGAAACGGCGACGCGTGACGAATCGTTCTCATACGGTCGCACTTCCGATTAAAGATTCGTTTCGCTTTATCATCGCGGCAGGACGAAGATATGGGGAATTACTTGGCGATACGTCGAACGATTGGCGTCACCGTCGCACCGATGACACAGAAATTGAAGCCGCGAATAAAAGCGCAACGCGTTTCTCGTGTTCCGACTCGTCACGGCGCGCCGTCGCCGCGCCTTTACTATCGGTCTTTCCGTCGCGGAAATTGAAACAGGCGGACACGCGCGCGCGGATCGAGCGCGAAAAACGGCTGCAATAGGGATCATCGTTGATCCAAGTCGACCGTTCCCGGCCGTATCTTCCATTAGCGAGATCCTATCCGTGCCGAATAAACCAGAAGTTTACGGGCGATTTTCTATAACAAACTCCCGGTGTCCTCTGTTCCATCTCCCCGCGTCGCACAGAACAAACGGCGCCGTATCGCCCGGCTCGACATTCGCTGGGCCACTTTTCTTCGTTTCCGGGAAATCGTCTCGGGGAGGCAGCGATACAATAAATTCTCCCTAATTTTTATTCAGCTTGCAAACAGAAACGGAGGATTTGAGAAGACAGTTTCTTCTTTACAGGATCATTTTTGCCTCCTCTTTCTCTGTGTATATTATTATATTATAAACATATTATATTATTAATATTATTATAATATTTATTATATTATACATTATATATTATGTATTCTTCGCGGCAAAAGTGGTGCTCGTGAAATTCCAAAATCCCCATATGGGGATCGTGGCAGTTAATGGGTTAATTAAGCTGATCAAAGCGATCTTTTCGACCCTTAGCATCGACGTAGCAATAAATTACATAGTCGTGTAGGACTAGCACAGAGAAATTCACAGCAATCCGAAATTTGGCATTTCCGGGAGAAATTCCTCATTCTCCTCTCTCCAAATTGCCTATTTTCGTTTACAAGCCGAAGAAGAATTTTACCGTGCATGTTCCCGCGTCCCGCGGAGATTTCGTTCGAGCGCGTTATTTAATAAATTGGCGAGCAAGCTCGTCGAGATTCCGCTTCGAGGAATTTCTTTCTGTTCGCCGGCGATCGCGGTGCCACGGAAACGAACCGAGGCTCGATTTAATCGAATAATCGGATTGGACCGAGTCCTTCGGAGCAGAAGGATCGTTGGTTGCTTCCGTATTCGTGAACGGCATTTTTCGACGGCGTTTCAACCGGATCGGGCCGATCGATTCTCGCCCGCGAAATTCGCGTCGAGGACCGACGAGAAATCGTTTCTAGGAAAACGACGGAGCCTTATCTGCGAACACCGGCGGCAGTATCGTCGGCTTTCGCGCAAACAGACGGTGTTTGAACATCTGTGAACGTCGACGTCCGACGGCATTGCCCTCGTGGCCAGGCTGTGTTTCACTCTCGGCACAGGTTGTTCCGTTAACGGCGACGCGATTCGCCGGGGGAAAACACCCGCGGATTCGGTTTATTCAGCCAGCGTGGCCGTCGTCGTTTCGACATCGATCACGATCCCTAGAATACGATCTGCTCGCAGAAGCAGCCAGAAGAGAGAAAAGCGGAGGCGATCTTTGGACCGGTCCAGCCTATTGCTGTGCGATCCTCGGAAATCTAGCATGAAAGACCGTGACGCGACGGCTCGAGTATTCGATCGGGGAACGACTTAGATTAGTTCTGTTAATCGATCAGCGAAGATCGCGTTAGACTTTCAACCTTCAACGAAGTCCAAGGATAACTCTCGGATGCGACATCGTGGAAGAGTAATTAAAGATCCGCAGGTTCAAAGTCGAGTTCAAATGGTAATACCGCTCCGATTATTGCGGCTCGGTCACGAAGCCCGCCGGAATCGTGGAATTCCGGGCCGGAAGCACGTCGGGTTCGCATGGACGTTCGATGCTATTTTCCAGGATGGTCTTCTAGCGATTTTTCGTTCGCGGCATCCGGGTGCTCCTCGCGTGTTCCCCCGGTGAATTCCTCTTTATTTCGACGACTGCGACGGCGGACGCTCCGCTTGTGAAATCGTCTCGACGCGGAATCGAGTTCCGATTGTCAGACGGGAACAAGGCTCGACGGGAAATCTCCAGCCGGAACAGGCGACAGAAATCGTCCGGTGAACCACGAACCGCTTCGCTCGTCCCTGTAACAAGAATGGGAATATTAGTGCGGCGAAACGATCGCGGAAACGCGAGCAACCGATTTGCCAATCTTTCGTTAGCCCCGCTCGATTAGCCCATTAACTGTCACGATCCCCATTTGGGGATTTTATATATATAATATTATAATAATAAATATAATATAATAATATATATAATATATAAATATTATAATCATATTAATAATATAATATGAAATATTATATATACTATATATAATACACAATATAATAAACTCTCGGTCAACGCAATAGATCTTTGTCTCGTGCGGTTAATTAGAAGTCGATCACAGCGACGCGTTTACTCGCGAGCAGGGAAAATTGCTTTTCCCTGGAAAGAAGATTGCAATTTCGATTTCGGTAAGAATACGCCTATGCGGTACGGTTCCGATCGCCGGGGAAGGAACGAACGACGTCACAGAACGTATTTTCCGCGGACGCCGAGCGCTAATTAAATTAGGGAAGTAGGATGTCTTCGCGGAGAAAGAGATTAAACTGTTGTCGACGATAATTGTCACCGGTGTGCTCTTTCTTTCCCGTTGCAAGCACCGTAAGCCGTGAGCCGTAAGCCGTAACTCGCCGTTTGACCCAGCCAATAATTGGCGGAATTGCTGGAATTGCATCGCGTAACAACCGTTTGACTGACAAAACAGGGGAAGAGACTGGACCGACTGTCAATTAACCGCTAGTCCAGCGCACGCGGGACGTTTCTTTGATCGGAAAGCGTTTTTCACGATCGCCGAATAGTAAAAGTGCCGCGTGCGAAAGAACGTCGCGCGGTTCATCGCCGCGTCGTTTTCGGAGGTCGCTTGTTACAATAAATTCTTACGTAAATTTGGGAAGAGGAGACACGATTATTCGAGGCTTGGCTTCGTCTTTGGCTTTTATCGAAGCTGATCCCCGCATTTTACCAGCTGCTACAACGAACTTAAGAGTTGAACGCGATGCGGTTCAAGCAGTTTCGCATTTGGTTAACAATCAAGTTCCCCCCTACTGCTTGTAGAGGAAAATTAACAAAATTGTAAATACGTCCTAAAATACTGAATTGGAATAAATCTTAAGTGAAACTATTGAAACTCCAGGTGAAGTAATAGCACAGTATATATATATATTGGGGAAAAGTATACAGTAATGTCTCCCTAATTGACGCCCAAATTGCGCACAAAAATGGACAATCTGGGAAGAGGAGATACGATTATTCGAGCCTTGCGGCTTATTTTTATAGTCATAAATCGTCCACAATTATAAAAACGAGCCGCACGGCTCGAATAATCGTATCTCCTCTTCCCAAATTATCCATTTTAGTGGACAATCTGAGCGTCCGTAATGCTTCGTGCCGACACATCCGGCGTCGTCACGAATTCAGCGATCTACCGTGCTATAATCTCGAACCTTGAGACAACGTTAAAACGATTTCGGTCACAGAAAGCGAATTCCTAGATCACTGACGATCCTGACGAACGGGCGCAAGCTCGTTGAGAGCCGGCGATTCTCGCAGCTGTGTCCACGGTACACGTGTAAATACAAAAGAGTGTTGGCAACGCGCCCCCGTACAGAACAGTCTCGCGACATTTCTTCGGGATCGGACAACGACACCGGGCGATGCGACGTGACGCGACGCGATGGTTCGTGGCCAATTTCGTGGCTCAGTCGATCTTGGTTCTTGGTCAGAGAGCTTTATCCCTGCGAACGGTTCTTCCACCCCCTCCTCCTCCGCTTCCAGCCGGTTCTCTTTTATTGAACGGATTAAGAAAAAGCACGCGATGGTCGTTTGATTGACGCCGATCGGGAGGCCACTTCGAGGAGGTTCATCGTGGACGATAGATCACCGCGTGTCGTCGCGATCGGCAGGATCGAATGGACGCGAGGACCGAGTCCGGTGAGTCAAACCAGGCGAAACCAGCTTCGACGCATGATTCGGCGCATGTGATTCCATAGTCCGCAGAGAGAGAGAGAGAGAGAGAGAGAGAGAGAGAGAGAGAGAGAGAATCCCTTCGGAACCGGACACGAGGCTTCCGCTTTCGAATCGCAATCCTGCTCTCGACGCTTTCACGGCTCCGGTCGCGGAGTCGTCGGACGCAGGGCGCCTCTTCCTACAACAAAAGGAAACATCCCTTTGAGTAAATCCGCATCGAATTTCAACGAAAGTTCTCGGCCGCGCCGATTGCTCGCGAAGATTCGCTCTTGACATCGTTCCGACCGACCGAAAATAATCGTTGACCAGTTGGCGCAATCCGCGACGAATTCGAACGCACATGGCTCTGCAACGCAGTTTCGGGAATCGTGCACGCGTCTAGTAATCCCCGGTACGGTTACCGAGCTGATTGCGCCGCTATCAGGGAATCGATAAGGCGTGCGACTGTAGCGGAGTCGAGGCGAGCGGTGCGAGATCCGATGATTTATCGGCGAGGCTTTTTATCGCGTCTGTTCCCAAAAGTTATCGTCGCTTCGCCGAGACAGAAACTCTTCCCGGCGAATAACTGACCGGGGACAACGATGAATCCGAGCCCGCTGGCGCCGTTTTCCTTGGACCCGAGAGCTCGCGAAGGCGGTTCGCCTAAATTCTGCGGATTCTTCGCTCGGACGGCCATCATTTTCTTTCGGCGTTCGCCAGCCATCGGACAGGTTTTCCTTGCATTTCTCTCGGTTCCCTTCACTCGCGCCTCCCTCGGCCGAGATGCAATATGCAATCAGAAGAAACCTGTCCCGCTGCTGTCCCACATCGGTCCGCGGAACAGCAATTCGCCGCGACCGCCGTCGTATGTACTGCGAATTCTTCCTAATTGCACAAAAATGAAGAATTTTTTTAGGGGAGGTGACACGATTGTACGAGCCTTGCACTTCCCAAATTGTCCATCTTTGTTTCCAAGCTGAGCGTCGATTAGGGAGAATTTACTGTATCCAACTGTTGGATGGAACGCACTGTTTGAAACGCCCGTTCCAAGTTAGGCACGTTGAATACGAAACATGGATTCCAATTGTTCCATGAACCGGGACAACGGAAATATTGAAGTACACAATACTGTTCGAACAGTATGTCCTTTCTCGGAGAAACGCGTATTCGAATGAACATTCTTCATAAACGTTGTAACATATATTATATAACAGTATTAGTGCGAGTGAGAATTTCTAAAGAACAATGTTCGAAAATATGGCTAGAACTTTTGCATCCGGTCTCATATGCTCTGTGTACCTTTTATCGTATTATTTGTGCCACTGTTTCAAGAAAGGATCACGATCGAAGAACGGTGTTTCAAACGGGTGCTAATGTTCAATTACCAACTCTGTGTTTTGTGAAAACACGGTTTGCTCTGTGGCGTCAACATATTCAGCGTTACGCATATTCATATACAACTGCTGCCAACACTATCCGGTTATGATACAAGTGCTGACTAATGAACTAATTAAATTTAACAAGACGGATGATTCAAACGATTACGATACACGCACGTAAACGGCGAACGTGTTATCGCGCATGTTTTTAAACGTAAACGTGCGAAACACACGCGACGTGCAAACTATGCAAAGTGAAGAACTTTTCGGGATCGCCTGGACTCGACGTTAACTTTTGTCCAGGTCCCATATTGTTCTATCTATTTTGTAAAAAGAATATAAGCATTTACATAAACGTCCGCGGTATAATAATTACGATCAGCGAAAGTCATTCTTTCACATAGCTTAAACGCTGCAAAATAGGTACAATAAATTCTCCCTAATTTACCTTCAGCTTGGAAACAAAAATGGACAATTCGGGGAAGGGGAGATACGATTGTTCGTCTTATTTTTATAGCTGCCGATTTTCAACAATTGTAAACACGAGGTGCAAGGCTCGATTAATCGTATCCCGAATTATCCATTTTTGTGTAGAATCGCTCGCTCGCAAGTACAAATATATTTCCGTGCAGCAAGAGTTCGGCGACGAATCTCGTGTTCCTGATTAACGAACTGTCGCGTCCGAGCGACGCTGGCGGAACGGCGATCGGAAATAAAGAGAAATGGGACAAAAGAGACGTCGGACGCTTTAAATAACCGGAGAACACGCGCCACGGAGCGGCGCACTTGCCGTGAAAAATCCGAAAGTAAATAAACATTGAACCTCGAGTGGCTGTTAATCGGCCAACGACGTGACTTTTCCAGCGAGCAATCGGCAATCGGGGATCGCGCCCGATTAAGTTATCTGCGTTATAGGCGGCGACTGAATTCCTCTGCCATGTGCGCCGGCCGCGATAACCGACGTCGTTCTCCGATTCTTGGGCAGTCCTTGACGCGGTCGATTCACCACCGATGTCTCGCCGATTTCTGGATCGCACCTGCGAACTGTGAATGGTCTGTTAAGAAACGCTGTTTTCTTTCCGTTCGATCGCGGGCGCTAATCCGCGGATATTGGAATTCATCGGTAGGAAAGTCGAGTTTCGCGGTGGCACGTAAATCCGAGGCGGTGGAAGAGAATGTGTGCCGAGGTGAATAAAAGGGGAAGAGTGAATGGCGTCACTGTTCGCAGCATCGTGACCGAAGATGCGACATCTGAAACGAGTATCGTTTGCTAACCGGCGCTTTTTCACGGGGAGACGTAACGAATAATAAACGAGCGAGAGTCGCCGGAACGCGGCGAACGTTTTTGCGGAACGAAACGTGAAACGATGATTATGTAAATCTGCTAGTATGTAACAAGATTTTTTACGAAGCGACCCGGTTGTAACGCGGTGTCGAACCCTCGTCGTAATCGACTGGAATTCTGGCCGTATCGCGGGAGGAAATGTCTAGCAGCACTGAATACAGTAAATTCTCCCTGATTTTCCTTCAGCTTATGTACAAAAATGGATGATTTGGGAAGAGGAGATACGATTATTCGAGCCTTGTATCTGCTCTTGCAAAATTGTCCATTTTTGTTTACAAGTGTGAAGGAAGATTAGGGAGAATTTACTGTACCTATTTTGCAGAGTTTAAGTTGGGTCAATGAATGACTTTCATTGATCGTAATTATTATACCGCGGACGTTTGTGTAAATGCTTATTTTTTTATAAAATAGATAGAACAATCAAAAGTTTATCTCGTGTCCAGAAAAATTAGCTTGTAGCATACTGTAATTCGAAGTATAATGCATCATAATAGCTGCAAAACATTCCTCGTTCGTTAATTAAAATTTAACATTTAATATAAATGTGCTTAATGTTAATAAATGTGCTCAACACTTAATATAGTACGTGCTTAATATCGCGCATATTTACATATTTTTGGCACATTTTGCATATTTTTCGTGGATATTTTCCATATTTTTCGTGCACATTTTGAAAATATTTTTCGCGCATACAGCCAACCGCATTGTTATCGCATATAAGCATCGTCATTGACTTAATGTTCTTACATAAAGTAGCTAATGGCGTTAAAAGCTTTCCGGAACTAACTTTAAGATAAATATTTATGAGCCATAAAAATCATTAAAACCTACTTCGCTATTTCGTTCAACCTTCTATGAGTAATTCTAAGGTAATTCTGATCTTTTTCACTCCCCCCCCCTTCCCCCACAAAAGAAACTTGCCTTTATCGAAGCCAAGAAATTGTGTTCTCATCTGAACCTTTTTTCGAACGACGCATGCAGCTTCGCGAGAATTGGATGTGCAATTTAACATAACTAAACTAAACTGGATTTAAAGTGCTGACTAATGGACTAATTAAATTTAATAAGACAGCTGATTCAAACGATTACGATATGTGCACGTACACGGCAAGTGCATTATCGCGTATGTCTTTAAACGTAAACGCACACAATATACAAATTAAACAACTTTTTGGAATCGTCTGAACTCGATATAAACTTTTGTCCAGGTCCCATTGTTCTATCTATTTTATAAAAAAAAATAAATAAGCATTTACATAAACATCCACGGTATAATAATTGTGATCGGCCGAAAGTCATTCTTTGACCTAGCTTAAAGACTGAAAAATAGGTACAATAAATTCTCCCTAATTTCCCTTCTGCTTGGAAGCCTTGCGCCTCGTTTTTACAATTGTTGACAATCGGCAACTATAAAAATGAGCCGCGAGGTTCGTATAATCATATCTCCTCTTCCCATATTGGGAGGGGAATTTACTATACATTGAATATAAAAAATTGGACACCGTATTGCATAGCGATAAACGTAAATTTTTCTTCCTTATCTAGAAACTTGTTAGTGACGAAGGTGCGCTGGCCAACGTAGCCGTGAAAGAAATCGTAGTTCGAAAGGGTTGACGTAAGCGGATAAGTCGCAAGACCACGTAACCGAGAGACGAAATTTGCTGAACTAGCAACTATTGTTAATGTTTTTAAAGGCGAGCCTTTATTCCGACCGACCGAAACGTGACAAACTACGCAAATGACTTGCGTGGAATGCATTATTTTTGTTCTGCAATTGTAATCACGCTAGAAATCGATTCGAACGATGATGCACAAATCACTGTTTGAACAGTCGGACAAACTTAAAAACAATTTTCTTAAAACCCTCGCGAAAAAGATTATCTAGCAATTTCCTCTATATTCTTATATAATGCTTCCGAGCACGGCTACTATAATTAGTTCAATATTAAGTTTTGAACAGTAAATATAATATGAAAAGAATATCCTTCATTTCGATGCTATTTTTAATATTGTTACTTTCAACCTTTCCAACGCTTAACGATTATTAATTTGAGAAGCAAAATTGCTGATCTTAGGATCCGCGGACACGTGCGTTGACGCAAGAAATACAGTAAATTCTCCTTAATTGTCGCTCAGATTATACATAAAAATGGACAATTTGGGAGGAGGGGATACGATTGTTTAAGTCTTGCGGCTCGTTTCTACAGCTGTTGACAATCGGCAACTATAAAAATATCTATAATATAACTATAAATATAATCGTATCTCCTCTTCCTATAAACTGTCCATTTTTGTGCGCGATCTGAGCGCACATAATTAGGAAGAAATTACTGTACCCCGAGTGTTTGGTCTTTCGACTTTTACACTGGTTAACATGTATCATTAACATGTATCTCGAGAAAGAACGATGCCCCGCAGTCGAAACGTTCATCAGCACGTCTCCGCGAACAGATTGTTCGCCGCGACGAGGGGATCGCGGCGTATTGTAGCCGGCAACCCCACAGAGGATACAAGGGTTAGCGAAACGGCTCGAGCGCGCGGGGGAGGGCTGGCCGCCAGAATTGCCGTAGCTTCGCAGAGGTCTCTCCGCTAGAGCCGGGAAGAGAAAAGCGAGGCCGAGGCGGAAAAAAACGGTTGTTAGCGTGGCCCGTGAATCAGAGGGGAGGCGTGCCAGCGATTCTTCGGAGACCGAGTCGAAACGGGAATCGGAGTGTGCAGTTTGTGTGTCGTTCGTGCAGCTCCGTGCAGCTCGCGCAAGGCCGTCAGCGGCGACTAGCGTTTGGAACCGAGCGGGAATCGACGCGGGAATCGACGCCGGAGTCGGCGCGCAGCGATGAGTTAGTTTCGCGCGCGTACGATGTCGGGCGATATCGCTCGATTGGAACACGAGCCGGCCGCGTCCGACCCGCTAGTCGCTGGGGACGCTGTCTCCACGTTGCAAGGTAAACCCGACGTTCATCCGTTCGTTCATCGCTCACATAGTTCATAGTTCCACGACAATTCGTTCTTTCTTTCTCTCGTAATACCGTTTCGTTTCGTTTCGTTCGCGTTACCAAATTGTGTCATCTCCGCGAGACCGACCTTGTGATCGGCATCGAAGAGTGATCGAGAAGCGGCCGAAAAAGTGTAGTTCCATACAGAGATATAACATCGTTTCCCTCCGATCGGAAAAAGCTTTCCCGAGAAATGTTCCCGGCGCCGCGGCGATCCTCGACGATCTCCGACGTGCAAGTGATCGAGGGTGATCCGGTGAGACGGTCCGGAGGCAGTTCTAGATCTAGCGCAGAGATCTCGCCGATGTCTGTCACCTTGGATCGGTTCGTTTCCGGATCTAGTCTTTGTTTCCTAGATATCTTTCGCGTCGCCGCGGTGCCGTGCTAAAATAATTGCCGGATCCTCGGCGATCCGAAAAACAAGGTGATCGCGAGGTGATCCAGAGGCGATGCAGAGGCGATGCAGAGGCGATGCAGAGGCGATCGGGCCGCAGTATTTTTCCATAGGCGGTCTCGCTCAACGGTCGTCTGTATCCCTTTCGAAGCGGGCCGTGGCTTTACGGCACGGACACCGTGATCCCGATTCAAAATTTCAGCGAACCCCCGGACCCTCGAACACCTACGATATCCGTTCGGAGACGTCGACAGAGTTTTCCCAGGATGTTCTCTTTACATCCGACAAAAAGTGTTCCGTTCCGCCGCGCTCTTTATGTTGCCGCATTCGCACGATGCATAATTGATCGGCCGCTTCTCGGCGTAAACATTCTCGCCGCCTTCCGAGACAAAGGCCTAACACGCATGGAAAACGAGTTTTATTGTTTCCACGAAACGACTTCGCTTCCGTGAACGCGCTGTTACCGAAGGTGTTTCCCTGTCGGGCACACCTGTTCGAACGAAGACATCGATTGCACGGCGGCCGGCGAGCGAGCCTTGAGAATCGATTTCTGCGTGCCGGAGAACGTTCTTTCTAACGCCGCGCTGTTAGAACGACCCTGCGGAACCCGTCGGAACGACGATACACAGGCTCGGGACGCGCGTTATTATTTTCGCGACGAAAAAGCCGTCGGCCGCGTCGATTAAACGTCGTTACACGCTCGTCCGAACGGTGTACCCTCCGGTTACAGCGTTCGTGTCGGATACAATCTGATCGAGGAACATATTTCTTACGGAGAGCTCGACCCCTTGCGCTACGATATCCTTGATATTCGGCCATCGGCGTTCCCGTGGACGTACAAAAGATATTCTCTTTCTCTCGTAGGAGTTCATCGGCGACGAAGAAGCGCCCGATCGACGTAGTCGCGAGGGAAATCGTAGGGCAAGGGGTTAACAAATAAATTAAGTCGTTGACAAAACCGTTCCACGCGGGAGAAGCAATTTCGCTAGGAGAGAAAAGCGGTGTTTGCCGGCGTGCTCGAAACAAAGAGACGCGATCGCGGAGGTGTTCCCCAGGGGACTGGGCGGCAAGCAAAGCGATTTATTGGAATGAGAAGCCGCGGACACGTCGACGCCGCTTTGTCGGCAGCAAGTCTCGCCACGAGAAGTCGACGAGTCCCCCGGCCCCGACGTGTTTAGTCATTTACTGGCGCCGCGTGGGACGTTTTTATTCCCGGAATATAAGCTAGGCGGGACCGTGGAACTTTCACGACTGCCTGTACATCGTGTTTCTCTCTCTCTCTCTCTCNTCCGAAAAACAAGGTGATCGCGAGGTGATCCAGAGGCGATGCAGAGGCGATGCAGAGGCGATGCAGAGGCGATCGGGCCGCAGTATTTTTCCATAGGCGGTCTCGCTCAACGGTCGTCTGTATCCCTTTCGAAGCGGGCCGTGGCTTTACGGCACGGACACCGTGATCCCGATTCAAAATTTCAGCGAACCCCCGGACCCTCGAACACCTACGATATCCGTTCGGAGACGTCGACAGAGTTTTCCCAGGATGTTCTCTTTACATCCGACAAAAAGTGTTCCGTTCCGCCGCGCTCTTTATGTTGCCGCATTCGCACGATGCATAATTGATCGGCCGCTTCTCGGCGTAAACATTCTCGCCGCCTTCCGAGACAAAGGCCTAACACGCATGGAAAACGAGTTTTATTGTTTCCACGAAACGACTTCGCTTCCGTGAACGCGCTGTTACCGAAGGTGTTTCCCTGTCGGGCACACCTGTTCGAACGAAGACATCGATTGCACGGCGGCCGGCGAGCGAGCCTTGAGAATCGATTTCTGCGTGCCGGAGAACGTTCTTTCTAACGCCGCGCTGTTAGAACGACCCTGCGGAACCCGTCGGAACGACGATACACAGGCTCGGGACGCGCGTTATTATTTTCGCGACGAAAAAGCCGTCGGCCGCGTCGATTAAACGTCGTTACACGCTCGTCCGAACGGTGTACCCTCCGGTTACAGCGTTCGTGTCGGATACAATCTGATCGAGGAACATATTTCTTACGGAGAGCTCGACCCCTTGCGCTACGATATCCTTGATATTCGGCCATCGGCGTTCCCGTGGACGTACAAAAGATATTCTCTTTCTCTCGTAGGAGTTCATCGGCGACGAAGAAGCGCCCGATCGACGTAGTCGCGAGGGAAATCGTAGGGCAAGGGGTTAACAAATAAATTAAGTCGTTGACAAAACCGTTCCACGCGGGAGAAGCAATTTCGCTAGGAGAGAAAAGCGGTGTTTGCCGGCGTGCTCGAAACAAAGAGACGCGATCGCGGAGGTGTTCCCCAGGGGACTGGGCGGCAAGCAAAGCGATTTATTGGAATGAGAAGCCGCGGACACGTCGACGCCGCTTTGTCGGCAGCAAGTCTCGCCACGAGAAGTCGACGAGTCCCCCGGCCCCGACGTGTTTAGTCATTTACTGGCGCCGCGTGGGACGTTTTTATTCCCGGAATATAAGCTAGGCGGGACCGTGGAACTTTCACGACTGCCTGTACATCGTGTTTCTCTCTCTCTCTCTCTCTCTCTCTCTCTCTCTCTCTCCCTCTCTCTCACACTCTCTCTCTCTCTTTCTCTCTCACTCTCTTTCTTTCTCTTCAATGCGCACGATTCTTTAACGATCGATGATCTTCTTATGTGTTCACAGGTACCAAGCAGACGGCGGAAAATGTCGTGGAAGATGCAGTCGACCAGACAGGTGATTATTGGCTTTGTACTCCGTACCTAGAACAGAAATTCGACCATTTATTTCACGATCTTGCGCCGCGTTCGTTTCTATTTTGTAACGTTTTCATAACGACACCGTGCTACACGGGGAAATATTTTGAAGAAAGGCCCATTCGCTGACAGCGATTCGAAATTCGTTAAAAATCCGACGAGATTGTGCCTCGACGATCCGCAAAGTCTTCTTACGGTTTTCTTTTTTTGTATCTGGAGCACGCACGCGGCACGTGCAAAGCTCCGCATATATGCATCGAAAATCCGCGGTCTAGTCGTTTAAGTCTACTAAATTGTTGGCCTGCGACGAGCTCGGCTGCAAAAGCGGTATAGAGAAGTCGAGTTATCAGGCTGTCGCTTGATAAGACGATACGCAACTTATCACTGTCGCTGGATACGCGAGCCTCGCATGCTCCGTTTCTCGTTCTCGAAAATTCGTTTCGCCTCGTTAGAATCGATTACGGGAACAATTCGTCGGACCGACAACAGGGCCGACAATGTTCGGCCCCGTAATCTGTCCCGCGGACGATGCTACTAATTATACGCGTTTCGTTCTTAATCTTCAGGGTTCGGCAAGTTCAACCTTAAGGTCATGGCCGTGTGCAGCCTGATCTTCATGAATGTGGCGTTCAGTATTACTAGCATCGGATTTATATTACCGTCGGCAGCATGCGACTTCAAGATGACCACGGTTGACAAGGGACGTTTGAGCGCCGCACCCATGCTAGGTAATTATCGCCACGAGGATGCGCGCTAAATCAGCGCCGGGCGACCGTAACAATCTGCCGTAGCGTCTGCGACCAGGTGATCCGGGTCAAACACCGCTGATCTGGATCCCAGGAGCCAACGATGGAACAGCTGCGGCTGCTCGCGAGCTGGCCATAGCCGGTGATTATTTAGAAAAGGGTCCATCTCGCCGATTTTGACGACGGTCAAATATATATTGTTAAAGACATTGTTTCGAACAACTTTTCCCTGCAGCTGTTACCGTCGCTCGGCCTTTGATTCCAAGATATTTAGAAAAATACAGTGAAGTCTCCTTAATTGACGCTCAGATTGCGCACAGAAATGAACAACGTGGGAAGCCGAGATACGATTATTCGACTCTTTTATAGTTCTTGACAATCGGCTTCCCAAATTGTCCATTTCTATTTACAAGCACACATGGTATGTATACCATTATGTTAACGACAATGTATGAGATACAAGTATTACATAAAATATCTCGTGTTTTTAAGCAAAGCATAAAATATGCGAAAGTTATTTTAAGTCTGGATTAGGTCTGGGCTGGGTTTTTATTAAAATCTTAGCCGTGGACAAGGAAATCTTTACAAGAGTTTTTAATGGGAACAGTTTTATATGACCTCGATGATTATGAAGTGAAAAATGTGAAATTCATTTGACCAGCGGTGGTAGGTTTAGTGTTAACACTTTGACTGCCGCGTCACTCGTATGCGGGTTACAGAATTATTTAAAAATTCATCTGCACGCTAATCCATTGTAGTTTCTCAATTCTATTAAGATTCGCAAGAGGTAAGAATGCTAAAAAAAAGTGATAAAATGAATCCGATATCGTAATAACTTCTCTTTGCAACTTCAATTCAATCGAATTAAATACTTTAATTTTACGAAACTCTTGAGGCTTCTGGCGCGGCCGTCAAAGCGTTAAAAACGCGAGCCGTTCTATCGAATGCCTGCATTTCATACATTGTCACTAACATGCACACGTGTGCACAGATATCAAATGATTCTCGTAAGTATTTCGGAAACGAAGCCCGGCGGCGCTAATATCCGTAGGGAAGAAGTTGTTCCGAACGATAACCTTGCCAACACATCTCAAGGTCATCGAAATCGGCGAAATAAACTCTTTCCTAAATAGTTGCGGCCTAGTCCCGCGCGCGAAATAGACGTGAACCACCTCGTGCGCGTTTCCTGCCGTTGCCCTCGACCTTGACAGTGCCAGGCCACTGCCAAACGGCGCGATCCTTTTTGGAACGTCCTCTAGCACAGCCTCGGCGCGAACAGGCGTTTCCCTGCGACTTACCGCGAGGTCGGCGAACAGAATATACGATGCCCGTCGCTTTCCCGACTTGTCTTGGCGACGTCGATTGTTTTGCCAATTTTCCAAGTCAGGGACTCGACCGTCCGCCAATTCGATATTTATAAAGCCGCGAACAAAGGTTGCAGACACCGCTGCAAACCTGAGTCACCGGTGGCCGTCTCAACACGGGCGCGGACGCGGTTTCCAGCGCGAAAATGGCACGCGTTTAATAATAGCAACAATCCGCTCTCGCGATTTTCGCAACGAATTCGCATCGATTAAAAGTTTGAAGTTCGAACGGGCGCACCGTACGCGAAAGACTTGGCCGAACGAAAGTCGAAAATTCATCGAAAGTGCTGGAAGCGTCGTTGGCCACCTGGACATTTCTCACGCGAGCGACCGGGTCGCCGGTACGAAGTGAAACGGGCCCCTGGATCGCGCCGGGGGCTTTCTAATCGCGGGATCCAGGAACCATTTTTCCTCGTCGATTTTTGTTTCGCCGGATCGCGGAACGTGTAACGCCGCCTGTGCGTGCAATCAGCGAAAGCATGGCTCCCCTTATCGCCGGAATTATACTTTCTAGCGTGACATTCAACGGCACGCGTACACGCCCCCTTCGTTCCAACTTGTAGGACGCGTCGACTTGTACAAGTCGCTTCAAAACCCGCGTCCCCCCGCGAACGTTATCTTTCGCTCGGCCGACCGGATCGAGACCACGCGACCGATCCGGAGAATTCTCTCAACGTTCACCAGCACCGTAGAGGACGGTTCGATTTCTTTTCGCAGTAGCGGCACGGATAAATTTACATCGATTCGGGAGCCGGCATGCAAATTCTCGCGTACCGGACACCTTTTCTTTCCAACGATTGTGATTCGAGCACGGCTCGACGGAACGAGGAAGTGTAGATAGAGAACGCGTGACAGCGAGACGGATGTGTTTAAACCCTTGCCGTACAATTTTCTTCGCGGTTGGCATGTTTGCAGCTTTCTCGATCGCAATGATTTCTTCGATGGAACGGATAACGTTACGCTGATTATGCGCCTACATTTGTTCGAGTGCTAACAACCGCATGCAAATGCAGAAATATTGATGACAAAACGACGGAATATTGTTGCGATAAGAAAGAAAACGATACCACGTTTATACTTAACAGGTTGTTATACCAGACGTCTTTGTCACGAGTCAGACTCGTCATGGTATGGCGAGGGTTTAAAGGAACACCGCGACAAAGATAAACGTGCATTAAAGAATATCTCATTTTGAGTTATTGTCGTATTATCTTTGTAATTTTAGCATCGATGAACAGCTGAGATTCTTCTGATTAAAATGAGTCCAAACACGATATAAATCGTACCGATTTAAAATATAAGAGGACTAATATATTTATATAATATATTTATATATTTCGAATTTTTTAATGACTGTCGACGGCATCCAATTTTCAATCGAAAATTTAGATAAAAATATTGTAGTTTATTGTCGCTTCGATTATGCACGAAACCTAACACAATAATAGTGTTATGTATATAGTATAACATTAATCATCGGATATTTAAAAAGTTTATAAAGTCAGTAGAGCTTGAAGGTTTAACATTTAAAAATTTTATAGAGTTAATAGATTGAAAAAAGTTGATAGAGTTTAATTATTACATAATTACTCTTTAGAATGATTATGTCGAGCGTTATGAATGGTGCACATTCACCAAATCTATACTACGTATACTTTGTATACGTATATCTTGCATACGGTTTGCATATTTTTGCATACACTCTGCATAGTAATTACGTATCGTGAGTACATAAACTTCCGCAGTCTGTTAATAAGCAAACCATAATAATAAATTTGTCGGTAAACTTTGTCCGATTTACACAGCGTTTGGACACATTTGAGTCGGAAAAATTTCATCTGTTCGTCGGTGCTACAACAACATATAAAAGTAAGACTGAAGAATGACTGAAAATGCAATATTCTTTGTTGCATGTTTACTCTGTTCAGTCGCGGCGTCCGTCTGTTTCCTTTATTTCCACTGCAGTCGTTCTCTATCCTTGTTGACTGAGATCAAGCCGCGCCGAGCTCGATGCACTGTAGCGGCAAAACATTGGAGTTGGATCGTTTAAATTTAACCGTGCGGATTTCGTGTAAAAACGGTGCCGTACATTTCAGAATCGGTAACACGGTGGCAGCAAAACAGCGGAGCGCAACGCACGTGACCGCAAGAATATCGAGCGAGTGTCGTGGCCCTCGACGAATCGGAGAGAAAAATTTTCATTGGAGTGAGTCGGAGGCCTTTTAAACGGCACGCGACATAAATTGAATGAATCGGCTCAGGGACGTGCGAGCATTTTCAGACGCCGCGGTCACCGCGAACGACCAGCACGAACGGCCAAGGAAATCTCCCGAAATTCTTGTCCTTCTCGTCATCTTCTTGCAAAGTTACGAGTCTCCTCGGCAAACATCCTGCGACGTTTCCTTGCGAGAATGTTTCCTGCAGAAGTGCGAATGCTTGTTTGCAACATATTGCATCTACATTGTTTCGCTCTTCTGAAGCAACTGTCGCGTGCGACTCGAGCTTCTGCCGGCCGCAATTTCGGAGACGTTTACACGTGTCACGAGAGGCTCTCGCACGAAAACTTATCGCAGGTTACTGTCCGCTGGTGTATTCTCGCGCTTTGAAAATAATTTTCGGCCGATCTCGTTCAACGTCGAACCGATAAAACAGTTTCCGGCACGTCGAGTCTCCGCTAGTTTGCATATCTCGCGAGCGCAGCGATAAATATTTATTATTGTGCGAAGCGCTGACGCGTTCGCTTACCTTCCGCCTCGGGAAATTTAAATCTCATTGCGATAACCACGTTGCAGGATGTCGATGAAATCATAATCACCCGAGGCGACTCGATGCGCGGCGTCTAATTGGTATAATTACGTCCGATTAGAAACCGAACAATTGCTGAAACGTCCGGGTGAATTCGCAGGTATGCTGTGCGGATCTTACATCTGGGGCTGTTACGCGGCCATAAAAGGTCGGAGGATGTCCTTGCTGGTGGCTCTGCTGCTGCACGGGGTTTCGGAGCTGTTGGCGTCGGTGGTACCGCACTATTGGATCTTCCTGTTTCTAAAATTTTTGAGCGGCGCAGCGTTAGTACAGCAGCATTCGTAACGCTCGAGAACACTCGTCCTCTCGCGGCGGACGACGAATAATAGGACGAATGTTTGCAGGATGAACGGACAGTCGGCTGTGGTGTTTCTCTACCTTGGCGAATTTCAGCCGACCAAGTACCGGGACAAGATGCTCTCGTGGATGGAGATGGCGTGGGTGATGGGGATGATCATTCTGGCAGGTAAACACCTCGTTCGAGCGACTATTTATGGTCCAGGCGGGTTCCAAGAACCGTTTCTGCACCGGTTGAACTCTTATCGACCGTGGCTGACCGCGGTTAAAGTATCCACTTCGGGCGCGACCCGCGGCATTCGATCATTTCCGATCTCCGGTTCTCTCGTTGTCCTCGTCCTTTTCACAATAAGTGCATTTCCACGCTGCTTCACCACTTCCGAATGATTTATCGACTTTTTTACAACTTTCGTCGACGTTCTTATCGTCCACCATTTGGTCAGACAGAATGGCCCATTCTAAAGAATTGTACTCTGGAACGAGAAACAGACATTTATTAATACTATGTTTATGGACATTTCTTGCACAGCTATTTATATGTATTTTTAACGGAAACAAAACGTTATTTCAATTTAAAAATAATTCGGTTATGCGCAATACCTTCTGATCACTTTTGCATTCGCTGCCAGAGAAATAAATAATTTCACGACTAAAGTCGGTTTATTACAGTTAACTATAAGATTTAGTCAATTTAAATTTAATAATAATTTAGTTGAAGAGAGACTACCCCGGTAAATTCGGCGCACGAGCGTGCAACGTTCGGGAAAACAACGGAGGTGATTCAACTGGCGTCCGGTTGAATTAACGTGTCCGCTTTTTGTTCGATCGTAGGTGTCGGATGGATCGTTATCCCGTTGGAAATAAACGTCGAGATTGCCGGGGTGGTGTTCCGCTCGTGGAACTTCTTCGTATTCATTTGCTCGTTGCCGGCGGTGTTCACTGGCACTTGGCTGCTGTTTTTCCCGGAGACGCCGAAATATTTGGCGGAGACCGGTCAGAACGTGCAGATGCTGGACGTATTGATGAGGATGTACTCGGAGAACAGCGGGCAGCCGTCTAAAGAGTACACAGTGAGTGGTTTGCTCGTCAAACATTGATCGTTGACCGATAATATCTTCGGCAAATATACCGTCCGCCGATAGTTCGCAATCTCTCCGATAAGAATAGAGACGAACCGATGATCATCTTTATTCAACGGTAGTCGCTTGTAAAGTTGTACGCGCAACGGCAAACAGAGATTCGACTAAAAATCGAGTGGCTGCGAACGATCGATCGACGGCGAGCCTTCGTGTTTACCAAAGAGAGATACAGTCGCCTCGGAAAGTCGCCTTTTCAAACGGAATAAGCCTTTTAAGATTGTTTTAGAGGACTTGAATATTGTTAAGACGTTAGACCGACTAATTTTCTATGAAACGAGTATACGAAAAGTTGATTAAATTGCAACTGATTGATAAGAAAATTAAAAAATGATGTTTTTCAAAGTTCTTTACAAAGTTCTCATAACAGAGTGAGAAACTGATTTCCGCAGACGAAGCTGCGCAACAGCGGCAACAACAACTTAAACGATCTGGTGCATCGGATCATGCACATGAAGGAGCTCAAGGAAGAAACGGAGGAGCGGTCGTTTAACGCGATGATCGGTGACATTTGGATGAAGACGGTGATGATCTTGAAGCCGCCGTTCCTTTGTCGAACGATCGTGGTGTGCTCGATCGCCTGTTTCGTCACGTCGGCTTATTACACGCTGACCCTGTGGCTGCCGGAGCTGTTCCACAGGTACGCGGACTTCCAGGAAGCCTACCCTAATCAGACTGCCAGCGTGTGCACCCTGAAGAGCGCTCGAAACGTCACGGAATCGGTCAGCGATATCTCTGCACTAGTCCTTATTCGAGCTCGTTCCATCGACATCGCCGATCATAATTCCGCAATTATCGAATCGCAGGTGCCGACCGACGATCCGTTTGGCTGCGAATCGAGAGTGCAGACCAGCGTTTTCGTCCATACGTTCATCCTGGGAGCCTCGTGCATCCCCACTGGCTTGATCCTGCCGATGCTCGTCAACTACGTGGGATACAAGTTCTTCCTTGGTGAGTACACGGTCGTTTCAACGATTCCCTCGATGACCGAGCGGTTCTCTCGTTTCTTCGGGGTCTGTACGCCGATCAATAATCACGGACTCATTCTGGAAGCTTTTTCTTGACTTCACTTTTTCTTGATCGGATTCCAGTGATAACAGCGTTCGTGCCCGCCGTCGTGACAGCCTGCCTCTTCTTGGTGCAGACCTCCATTCAGAACCTGATCCTCTCCTGCGCCTACGAGTCGGTCACCTCGGTTTGCCTGAGCGTCGTCTATTGCGTTCTGGTGGACCTCTACCCGACGCACTTAAGGTGCGTTGAACACTCCCTGGAAACAGAGTTTACATGAAGAATTATTTATTTACACGAAGCCTGCCTGCATAGCTGCAAAGGCGAGTGCTCATCTGAGAGTAGAACACTCTAGAAGACAGTTGCACTATGCAAGGTACTCCGAAAATATCTCGCAAACTGGTAATGAGAGGTTCCTGAGGTCATTTGAAGCAACTCTTTCCTTAGCGAAAATGCGATCCGCGGCTTCGTTTGCGAGTTATTAACAAAAAAACAGTGACCAATGAGAGATCGCGTGCGGCTGACGCCCCGCCCTCGTAACCACTGCCGCTGCGTCAGACGACCATCGTGACGCGGCATTGGCCGGAAGGGCGGAGCGCTGGCCGCGCTCGCTCTGCGATTGGTCACCGTTTTTCGTGAATAACTCGTAAACGAAGCCGCGGATTGCATTTTCGCTAAGGAAAAAGTTACTTAAAATGGCCTCAGGAACTCCTCACTTTTCGCTTGTACAATAATTTTCGGACACCCTGTAGAGCAGAGAGTTTCACTCTCAGATGAACACTCGCCTTAAGTTTCGAATGCAAATATTATCGTTGTTACACTAATAAATATTATCGTTATTATCGTTGTACGAGCACTCGAAACGTGTCGAACCTTTCGACAACCGATCGAGTCGTTCGCGTTGATTCACCGCGTCGCTCAAGATAAGCCTAATTTGCTTATCGATCGCGAGTCGCGCGTGCGGGTGAACCAATCCGAACGGCTACCGGTTTGGTATCTCGGCTTCGTTTTCTAGTTTTTCGACTTCGAACGGGTCTAATCGGCCGCTATAAATATCTATGGGCAATCGTTATCCCCCCTCCCCCGCGCCGCTTGTGTTTAGTGTCGAGATCGGCAGCGATAAGCATCGAGTCGATCGATCTTGAACAGTCTGTCGAGTGGTCTGCAATTCAATGTCGCCGCCGTCGCCGATAAAACATTGTTATCTCTCATCGAATCGAGCAGGAAACATCATTTCCCCTCGAACCGTTAATTTCAAATTCGAATCGGACGATGGATCCAGGAATCTTGTCGCATTAATTTGTTTCCTGTTTAGAGCAATAGCCGCCGGTCTCTCGGCCTTCATCAGCCGGATAGGCGCCATAAGCGGGACGATGATGATCGGTTACTTGATCGACGATTACTGCATATTGGTGATCCTGATAGTCGCAGCTCAACTCTTCCGTACGTATCTCAACGACAAGTATGTGTGCTCGAGTAATCGATGCTATTTTTACCGATAACATTAGAATAATATGTATCGCGAGTCCGAAACTTTAATCGCTTGTTACACAAGTAATCGTAATCATAATTGTGCCGTGTTTGATCTCGGCTTAATGAGAAAAACGAGACGAATACAATGGTCAAAGTTTCACACAAAAGAATCGAGAATGAGAGCGTCGCCGAGGCTGCACCCTTCACTGGCACGGTCGTCGAGCATGCTGGACGCTTCGCTGATTTTAAGGAGGATCCCCGGGGATAAAAATGGATCTGTTATCGCAGAGATCTTTTCGACAGTCATTCGGAAGACACCATAACTCGTTAACAAAGCTGTGGAGAACATCTTCGCAATAGAAAAAGTTATTTCAAATCGTCACGGGAATTACCCGTTTCCGGGTGTAACAGGAGTTCTAGGACACCCTGTATACTTATTCCGCAGACATCAATGTTACAACAATTATAGGAAAAGCGATTGAAATAGAGAAAATAACTTTAAATTAACATTTGCAGAAGGTGTCGTTCGTGTCCTTCGGTAAAGATAGCATTGATCGTGTACGAAAATTAGAAGGAACGTCTAACGGGGTTCCTTTGTGTTGTTTCAGTGAGCGGGATACTAGCTCTGTTCACGCCGGGCAGGAAGAAGCCGCCGAAGAATCCGGACAACGTAAAGTCCTAATCGAGACGCGGGAGCCTATGGTCGCCATCGAGGAAAGCTTTCGAGAAAAATGGAAGCTTCCCGTATTCGTGACAGCGTATTACGGACAATCCAATATCGTATTCCGAGGCGATGCGAATGCATTTCATTTAGAAAAAAAGAAATAGGTCGAAATCGCGCGACGAGAGCTGTAGGAAGGAGCTGGCCTGTAACGGTTAACAGCCGGCGCCGTTCGAAACAATCGGGGGAATCGGAACTGTTTCTCAAAAACCGGTCGAATTCGACCGGTCCTTTTCAGTCCAAGGTTTCAATATCAAGCAACTCGAATGATCACAAGGTTACTTAAGCGGTACTTAAATCGTATTATTCAACGTTCGTTTCGCCGATTGCTTTCGAGTGGCGCGAAGCTCCGAGCGTATTAAATAGATTCAAATATAATCCCGATTATATTCCGTGGTCGTCCTCTTCGATAAAGAATGCATGGTCGAGAAAGTATGCCCGATCGCTTGCTGAACGCCTTGTCTAACGCACAAACAACGATCCGTTCGTAAAATACTCAAGAAGACGCGAGGCTTTGGTTCGCGTTCGGTGTCCGACTCGCTCAGTATTCGTTCTCGAGTTCACCGGTGAATTTCGGCAGAAACACAAGTTAAGGCCGAACGAGAACCATCGCTCGGAAAAGAATTGTTCGATCGACGATGATACACGGCGGGAAAGTCAAGCGGAAAAATTCTAGAATACTTGTCGGATCTTCGAGTACGGCGGATATCCGTTGTTGGATCCTTCGAATCAGAGGTGTTTTCCCCGACGAGAACGGTCGAAAATTTTCGAAGGAACGAGAAACAGCGATGAGATATATACGCGTGATATGTGTGCTGTTTTTTTTTAACGAAAGACCCGTCTCGGATATCGGCGTATATACAATATAAATAATGATCCGGGACGGATCCGCAGGTGCCTTTTTCTCTGTCGACGCATTCCGCGGCGACGCGTGCCTGTACTTAATCGCTTGAGAGATCTACTGCTCAATTCGACACGAGAATCTCTGCCGCAGAAACGCGTCGGTAAACGCCGTGCAACAACGAGCTAGAATCGATTACCATCGGCGCGCCCGCGACGCCAGTCGTCCGTGCCTTATTATACTTTATTTTTTTATGTACGAGACTTTTTGTATTGTCTACTGTTTATCATGCCGGCCATTGAGGTGCAATAAAAAAAGTGTTCGTATCCTAGTTGGACCTAGCTTCGCTCCTCCGAGTTTCCCTCGATCGCCGGGCCTCGATCCCTTCCTATCAATTTCGCGAAGTTAACGTGCTATGATTTGTTCGTCATTTTCTTTCCAAATATTAAATCCGTCAAATCGACGGGTACCGGAAACCTAGTGTTATAGAAATAGGTTTACAGAAGAGCGGAACAATGAAGAGCAGCACGACTATGGTTTCATACGCTATTCGTAAAGGATAGCTTCTCTGATGGGAATGAGCATAACAGCTTCGCTGCGAGTATTGTCTATCGAATTTCAAAAGCATCTCAGCTGCCGTTCTTTCTGCGATGTCTCTCGAGTGTCTTGGAGTGCCTTCACCGGCTTAACAGTAGAAATCGGCGGAAAAAGGGTACCTTAACAACGCCCTATTGTCATTTCCATTCACGTTGCTGTCATCGAACTCCCGATGAGAAGGATACGAAGCGATCTACGGATAGAGGACGATGAACTTTGAACAAGCCGCAACGTCCGCGACAGCCGGAGCTCAAGATAATCCGGTGTTAATATATTATTTTAAAGCATAATAAGTAAATTGTTGTTCCGAAGCTAATGCCGACATATTTTATGGTGCGGCAACGAGTCATTCGGGATTCCAAGTGGTTTTCCTTAAGCGCTTTTAATTGCGGGTCTAGAACCGAGCGCGAGATCCGACGGAAGATAGATCGATAGCCGGTTATCGTTGCTCGTATCGATCGTTGCTTCATCGTTTCCGATAACGTTCGGTGGCAACATCGATACATAGATACATCGATACAACATACATAGATATTCGAACAAGCCTCTCGCCTCGACCTCTAATCTCCGATGTTCAATCCCTGAAGCCTGAAAGGAATCATCGCGCGCGACACTGTTCATCTTCAAATTTGACCCGACTCTTTAGGGCCGAGGACGGAGCCAGTTGGTCGAATCGAAGGTTTCCCTTTCGTCGGTGGGCTCGAGCAAGCCCGAGGATCGGTTCGTCCAACGAGGATAGACACGAGGAAGGATAGCGACGAGAGAAGACGGCGGCGTGATCGGAAAGACGTTTGACGCGACAACCCCGGTAGCAACGATCAGATCGAAGGAGAGCAACCCCACCCCTAGAGAGAAGACTAGGCGTGCGCTACAGGCAATGTTTGCCGAAGCGTGTCCCAGACATGAATCGAGACGGTGTTGCAGTGCACCGCGTAAGCGCGACAAGACCGTCGACCGAATTAGAAAGGAAGCGGAGGCATCGGTCGCGGCTCGTGCGTTTCTACATAGGTAGACGAGAAGAAAAAGCGCTTGTCTCATCGGGTAACAGCCGGCCCCTGCCTGACTGCCTAGCGACGACCAAATTAAATAGTCCTTAGCCGTGAACCGAGGGTTCTAATTAAGGTGTCCACACGGGGAGCTCGTGTCGCAATCCGTTAACCGACTTAATCGAGCCGTCGTCTCTTGTCATTGCACCCCCGTAGTCTCTGCGATTCCGGGATCGACGTGACACAACGCGACTGCTTGGCCAAAGAGAACGAAAACAAACTGGGAGAGACAGACGTAGAGAGGTAGAGNTTGTTCGTCATTTTCTTTCCAAATATTAAATCCGTCAAATCGACGGGTACCGGAAACCTAGTGTTATAGAAATAGGTTTACAGAAGAGCGGAACAATGAAGAGCAGCACGACTATGGTTTCATACGCTATTCGTAAAGGATAGCTTCTCTGATGGGAATGAGCATAACAGCTTCGCTGCGAGTATTGTCTATCGAATTTCAAAAGCATCTCAGCTGCCGTTCTTTCTGCGATGTCTCTCGAGTGTCTTGGAGTGCCTTCACCGGCTTAACAGTAGAAATCGGCGGAAAAAGGGTACCTTAACAACGCCCTATTGTCATTTCCATTCACGTTGCTGTCATCGAACTCCCGATGAGAAGGATACGAAGCGATCTACGGATAGAGGACGATGAACTTTGAACAAGCCGCAACGTCCGCGACAGCCGGAGCTCAAGATAATCCGGTGTTAATATATTATTTTAAAGCATAATAAGTAAATTGTTGTTCCGAAGCTAATGCCGACATATTTTATGGTGCGGCAACGAGTCATTCGGGATTCCAAGTGGTTTTCCTTAAGCGCTTTTAATTGCGGGTCTAGAACCGAGCGCGAGATCCGACGGAAGATAGATCGATAGCCGGTTATCGTTGCTCGTATCGATCGTTGCTTCATCGTTTCCGATAACGTTCGGTGGCAACATCGATACATAGATACATCGATACAACATACATAGATATTCGAACAAGCCTCTCGCCTCGACCTCTAATCTCCGATGTTCAATCCCTGAAGCCTGAAAGGAATCATCGCGCGCGACACTGTTCATCTTCAAATTTGACCCGACTCTTTAGGGCCGAGGACGGAGCCAGTTGGTCGAATCGAAGGTTTCCCTTTCGTCGGTGGGCTCGAGCAAGCCCGAGGATCGGTTCGTCCAACGAGGATAGACACGAGGAAGGATAGCGACGAGAGAAGACGGCGGCGTGATCGGAAAGACGTTTGACGCGACAACCCCGGTAGCAACGATCAGATCGAAGGAGAGCAACCCCACCCCTAGAGAGAAGACTAGGCGTGCGCTACAGGCAATGTTTGCCGAAGCGTGTCCCAGACATGAATCGAGACGGTGTTGCAGTGCACCGCGTAAGCGCGACAAGACCGTCGACCGAATTAGAAAGGAAGCGGAGGCATCGGTCGCGGCTCGTGCGTTTCTACATAGGTAGACGAGAAGAAAAAGCGCTTGTCTCATCGGGTAACAGCCGGCCCCTGCCTGACTGCCTAGCGACGACCAAATTAAATAGTCCTTAGCCGTGAACCGAGGGTTCTAATTAAGGTGTCCACACGGGGAGCTCGTGTCGCAATCCGTTAACCGACTTAATCGAGCCGTCGTCTCTTGTCATTGCACCCCCGTAGTCTCTGCGATTCCGGGATCGACGTGACACAACGCGACTGCTTGGCCAAAGAGAACGAAAACAAACTGGGAGAGACAGACGTAGAGAGGTAGAGAGAGAGAGAGAGAGAGAGAGAGAGAGAGAGAAAGAAAGAAAGAGAGAAAAAGAGAGAGAAAAAGAGAGAGAGAAAGAGAGATAAAGAGAGAGAGAGAGAAAGAGAGAGGAGGAGAGAAGGAGATAAAGAGAGACACGCGCGACATCGACACGTGCGGGGGACAAGTCGCGCCCAATTGTCAACAACTGTCAACAGCACCCCCGAAACTCTAAGGACCCGAGGATTTATGAATGATCGGAGATCGAGGCAGAATAGGTCGACCCGTCGATCCTCAACAGTCGGCCAGCAGCGACACTGAACGTCCACGCGGTAGCCAAACCGATCCGGTAAGAGAGTGTAAAAGCAAACGCCAAACACGAACACTCCGTATGCATCCGCGACGGTAGCGATCACCTCGCGATTTCTTTTACGAGTCGGCTTTCTTTTTATATTCACCTGTCCCTCCGTCGTTACAACGAGCCGCCCGCGCCCCACCTGACCGCAAACACCGTTGACATTGAAACCAGGCCGAAATAGAGCGAATTTGGAGTGCAGCCATTTCGCGGCCAGCCTCTTTGCGGATCGGACACACGGTTTCGGGGTCGCCGAGGACCCGAGAAGGGCCGCTGCGTACACGCTCGCGGCGGAATTCGGGCCCTTCGGAATTTTGGGCATCGCGTTTGGGCCGATTCGTCGGTTCGGTGGAGCGGGCACCGCGATTTTCGGTCGTCGACGGTCGTCCGACAGCCGAGCCGTCGACGCGACAGGTGACCGTCGCCGTCGTCGGACGACGGAACGAGCGCCGGGATAGCGCGGATACAATGATAATAAAAGCAACGCCATGTATGTAAACGCGCATGCTGGAGGACTGCGAGATACAAGATCGCCGATAGACCAGACACGTTGCACCGATGACGGAAATATTACGACGGCGAACGGATTTTTGGCGCGAATCCACCGGCAGCGTCTCGCACGTGCCAACTAACACAAGCCTGCGGCGAACGTCGCCGACGGTTCGGTCTTGTGGGATTATTAAATAGACGATAGTCGGAGCAATTATACGATCGCTCCGACGAGTCACCGGCTCCTCGTCTTGCTTCCCTGTTTGCAGGACGATCAGCGAATCGCGCGAACCGCGAATTTGTTTCGGCATTACTACCGTGCTCTCGGTGTCTGTCGGTGCTGTTTGCCAATTTTATAGACCGATCCGTGCAGTTCCACGACATAAACAGGCTTTCATCTGTTCCGTAGGAACGTCGCCTAGAGCTCCGATAAAGTACGCCGTTGACGTCGTCCTCCTGATTGCGTAAACCTGAACCTTGGGCTCGTCGGTCGGTTCCCGGATCGGATTGTCGATCTCGCGTCTCGAGCCGGGATCGTTGGCTGATCTGGCGCGAGGATCAGGAACCCTGGAGCGAACGAGGGATGTCGATCGTCGGCGAACGAATCCGACAATGCTTGATCTTTCGTTGGCACCGCGAGACTTCGGGCTGCGTACCTGTCGGAATAAAAAGAAACGAATCGAATGAGATACGTTAACGACCGTTGAAATGGTACAGCATTAAAGCGGTTCGTCCCTCTCCGGTTTTACTTGCGCCGATCGTTTACGTAATCGCGGCGTTCCGGTATCGGCAAGAACGCGTCGCAATCCAACCGGGGATCGTTTCGCGATATTTTTATCGTTTCATCTTCGTCGCGGGTACGTGGATTCCGCGTACTAATTATAGCGTTAAAGATACGCGATGATACAGCTTAACGATCGCAGCAAGTAATGCCATTTTATTGGCCACTACCGTGATCGGGGAGACGCGATCAACCGTGCGGAGATGCCTCGATCCCGATAGTAAATCGGGCACCTCTCCCGTTTTTGGGGATTTTCCTGTCTACCGATAGTGACGGAGGAATCATTCTCGTTATCGTGATCATTATCGCGTGCCGACGAAACGATTCGAGCATATTAGCGCAAGTCGTAGCTTGGCCAAAGTCGCGATCGATCAAAATTTTATGGTTCCGGATCGAGCAAAGCCCGACCGCGCCGGTTGCTTCCAGTTTTCAGCACGCAAACAGACCGATTAGGCGGATCCTGTGGCCGGTGACGACGGCGTTTGCTCGTCGTATCGCCGCCGGAATGCGGTGAATTATTCGATGAAATCGCTCCGACTACCGAAACCGCGGTTTTACTTCGGGGAGAGGAGGGGGGAGAACAAAAATACGTGGAACAGACCTCGGCGAGGTCTGACTCGATCGAGGTTAGGGTTAAATTTGGGTTAAATTAACAGGAGCGCGGAGGCAACGTTTGCCGTCAAACAGCGCCTGTCTCGGGAAACAACGATGCTCGAGGTTGATGCTGCCGTCGCGATAAACATGTTTGCGCACTCGGACGGTTCGGTACTCTAGTTCTAGCCTGGTCTCGGCTGGATTATCGTCGACCTTGACGACTGTCACGGGTATGTACCATTCGAGTGCGCGGCGCGATAATAAAGATACTCGACGTAGATCACCGTCGAAAATCGAGAAAACGCACCTCGAGCCTCGAACGAAATTTGGCGAATTCTTTCGGTAAGGTCGCGCCGTTTCCGAATCTCTGGAGATCCAGCCACGTGGAAGGATTTACAGCGTACAGGGATCTAAGCACGTGTCCAACGAAAACACGGCGACGATAATACGATCGTAAATAAGTATTACGGAGGCGATAGGATCGCGGTCGATAATATCGCCGATCGATATTTCTGTATATCTTCGGTGGGGGATGATCGCTAATTTTTGGCAAAACATGTACCGGGGACCGGAAATGGCGGTGCACTCGCAGATTCCGTCGGCATTCGATCGGGTGGTTCTTCATCGGCCGCGTGTCAATTGCGATGATCGTCGAAACAAGAGAAAACTCTAACACGCAAGATCTCGCGTAGGATCGTGCCGGATCGTTCCTTGGAGGCTCGAGTCTGTTGATTCTTGCTCCACGCGTTTAACCAGTTAGCTGTGGCGCCTCCTTTTCAGAGCGCGCACCTATATATGTGCGAGAATCAAGCGACGAGTATATTCGTCGGACACAGAGTAAGCGTCGCTGTTAAATTATTGGATAAAAAAGACGGTTCTATTTTATAAAATTTAATATATCACATACTTTGATGTTAGCTACTTGATAAGACGCGAAATACTGCCGCTTCTCCGTGACGACTATACTCGTCGGACACAGCTAGCTGGTTAATTTTTGCTCTCCGCGTTTAATTGCGGCGTTCGGGCGTGCTTTAACTTGAACAGAAAGGTGTACGCCGGTGTGCGCCGATGATATATTGCCAGGACAAATACATCAACTTCCAGTTGACGAGCAAACTAGGTAGCAGCACGAGGTCGCGATGACGACACGTCAATGACGATTTCAACGGTCGTAAATAATCGTGGGATCTCGACGATGACGTGGATGAACGGATGGTTCCGTTGGAGAACCTCTTCCTAGTCGCGAGGCCCCGGGCGATCAAAGTCTTTCGACGACTCCGCCGAAGTCGCATGTTGTCCGCCGGATTGTCTTCGGTCTGGCAAACACGCGCAGACGTTAGATCTCGGAACGCGCGATCATCCTCGTGATCCTCGACTAAATCTTTCCGAGAAGACACGTACACGGAACGCGCGCGAGCATCGATGCTCCTCTTTCAAGGATAATAACTTCGACTTGGTTTAAAGCGCGTCGATGCCAACAAGCTCGAAATCCCCTGTTTCTTCCATTGTTAGTAGGTCGACAAACACGGGAGATAAAGTTGCTTGATATCTTTCAAAACGACGGTCGACGCAGTCGGGACACGGGCAAACAGTTTTCGCGTATTTTATTCAAAACGTAATTCCGAGAGCAATAAAAAATCCCGTGACAGCAGCTCCAACGGTGTGTTATCGTGCGGGGAAGAGAAGCATGGGGTGGTATAAGCGCCGCACCTCGCCTCGCCTCGCGTCGCGACGACCGAGCGAGCTGCTGTTCCTACGAGCGTCTCTGCAAAGCGTTTCTGCGATAGAACCCAACGAGAGAGGAGTCTATTGAACGATCGACTGTAACGATAATCGCGATTACAATGCTCGTGACACCCGAGTCCTTATCCCGAGTGTACGCCGAGTTCCCATTTATCGAAGAAGACGGTGTCCCTTTTTTCCGCTTTCACGTTTCAGAAATCGCTGGATGCGCCGATTTCGAAATTCGATTGATTTGATCTTCGTAGCGAAAGAATGTTTGAAAAGGCTGCTCCTATTCCGCAGTATCATCCGCAAAACCAGCTGCTCCGGGAGCGAGAGACCGTGCTCGCTTCGGTGTGCTCGCGCCGAGAAAAGTCCGCAGAAATCGTATCGCGACTTCTATCCGTGAGAAGCTTTCGTAAAAGTACCTTGTCCCTCGTGCGATTAAAAAGGAAAACACGATGACACATGCATAGAAGATCCCCGGTAGGTTCCGAGATAGTCCCAAGGACAGTTGCGTTACAGTCGCATCAGGGGAGAGAAAGAAAGGAAGGGGATTATATCTTATCTATCGGGCACCCGACGAGCTACCGAAAAACAGTAGATATGTTAAAGCATCATCAATTTCTGATCAGTTGCACGCTGGGCACCGATCGTTAACGGATCATCCGTCGAGGGGAATCGTTGGCGAGGATCTACGAGCAGCACTGATCCAGAGAATCCAGCTGTAGCGGAGGCCGGGCCGCCGAGAATTATCCGAGAGAGCGAGAGAGAAGAGCGGGAACGGTCTAATTGAACGGCAGAGGAGCGAAACGAAACAAATCGAAGCGAAGGGGAGAGGCGGAAAGAGATCCTCGGTGGCAAAAATCGTCGAATTCGCTCGGGCGATAAAGACGGCGATCAAATACCACCGAGTGTTCACCAATGAGCGTGGGGTGCAGTGGTTGCAAACAAGCAGAAAACCGTGGAACGCGCACAAGAAACAGACAGTGCAGCGGTTCGCAGACCGGGGTCCTCCTCCAGGTGCCCGGCTTTTCATCGACGTCACCTGACCCAATCGACAAACGTCCGGAGACCAAATACCTACGCAACGTAACCACCGTACACCATGGGTAAGCGTCTGGGATTATCCTCTCAATGCGACCATAAGTTTGCCCGGTGACCGGTGAGGGAGGGGCCTCGTGTAATCCGTTGAAATAAGGATGATTTTCGGTCATTTTTTGCAAAACTGTTCACGATACTTTTCGTCACTTTCCGTACACGTTCTTCGACGTCTCAAGATGCATAGGTTTTTCTGCCGTTGCATTTTGTCGACGTTTTTCTGATATAATGAAGCTTGTTCTTCGTGAACCTCCCGGTCGACGGCGTAAGGTCTGGCATTTTTTTCCTCCGATGTAGAACTAAAAATGAAATGTTTTACGTTATAAAAAGATTGCCGAAAATCATTCTTCTTTGGTGGTTTACATGAACCATCCTCTGGAAGGGGCCATTCTTATTAACCCTTTGAGAACAACGACATCCAGCTGCCGATTTTTCTTTACACATAGAAGCGTTGCTGTATTGTGTTACAGACGTTACCATAATCGGATGATCATTTAGACTGTTTGATATTTCTCACTTCCGGTAATATAAGCACCTTGTTCACGACCTTGCACTTTAGGTAAAAATGGTCAACTTGATTTCATACTGAGATCACAGTACATAGCATAATGATCAGAGAATTCATAATTTTCGTTTCGCTTGAATACTCAATTGTTTGAATATTTTGCAAACAAGGTACACCGCGTTTTTAATATGAAATAATTTAACCATGACGTCAGCAGCGGAAAAGCGATTGATGGTAAACGTATTAAATTTTTGGAAAATCGGCATGATGCGAGATAACAGTCACACGCAATTGCCTGCAGAAAGATCGCTATAGTTTATCTATTTCCTAATGCACCGTTCGATTTGTTTACTGAAACAAAGCAGAACGTTGAAATAATTATCTCTAAAGGATAATATACGCGTGTACACGGAACACGAAAAGTGTTTGTGCTGAAGATAAACGATGAACAACGATAAAAGTAGAATACTCGACGCGGGCCCGACTCGGGCCTTAGCGAGCTTGCAATTAGACATCGTTATTTACTCGGATTCCAACGTCGTCCTTCGGTTATTTTCAGCCCGACGATTAATCCGATAGCGAACACCGATTGTTTTGTTCGATACTAGCCCCGAGATCGCCGATAAATGAGCCGATCAGTATTAAAACTTTAATCGAAATTCATCTTTCGATGAAACGTTCGATGCCCGATGCTCGTCTACTTTTTTTTTCGAACATCGCATCGAAGAAGAATCTTCGGAAAGAAACAAATCAACGATTTTTAAATCAACGAGATTGGCTCGGATTGATGGAACGATCTTCTCCCGACAGGTCTCGACTTCTTGGCAGACGGAGGTGCCGATTTCGAGCATGCAATCACCGTAACAGGTGAGTCACAGGCTTATACGCCTTAATTGCAGATTAATGGAACTCAAGATAACCAGGAGATCTTTATCGCGTTATCGAAAGTCGTTTAGAAGAGCTGTCGAAAGCTTTTATCTCGAGCGACCGTGTCGAATCAAACGAAAACAAACGGAAGTGTCCCGAACAGTTTTCTATTTCCCGACACACTCGAGACGTAATCGCTAATTATTTGCACATCGCTCGCTCGAATAGTCCGATACGATCAACGACAAGTCCACGATCATCTTTGCCAAAATCTTAACTTTCATAGCGCCAACTTTCATTACCACCGTAAGCAAGTATTTTCGGTCGCTGGATTTGTAGACATTTTGTAACGGGATTCGTAATTTCATTGCTGCCTCATCATTTCATGACGGTTCCGGTTCGAATTGTACCGGCGGAGATAAAAGATAACGGCCATGGTAAACCAGTAGCTCAAGTTCAAGTGCAACAACTAAGCACGACTACTAGCGAAGCAATCTGAATTAAAAGATTCTCACCCGTTGAAACAATGGATGCACAGAAAATCGTTCGATTTCCGCCAGGATTCGGGAAGTTCCATTACATGCTGCTGGCGATATGCGGCTTAATCTACATGGACACCGCGATCGGAGTCACTATACTCTCGTTCGTGTTGCCGGCTGCTCAGTGCGATCTGGAGATGGACTCCACCTCCAAAGGCTGGTTGACTGCGTCCCCCATGTTGGGTAAGCTACGGAAATTATAAAGCGATCAGACGAAATTCAACCGCATGCTCCAAAATATTTTTTCGCAGGCTAATATTTAAAGATACGATCGAGCAAGACTAATAATAGAAACACCCTAAAAATCAACCCCGAGATGGTAGTGTTAGATTCGCTTAAATAATAACACTAAAAAATATCGAATAGATAAAATACAATGCTAGAAGGGATTTTACGAAGAGTGTTCGACCGACTCTGGCTTCTGAGATCTTTGTAGAGATCGTCCGACTAATTTCACGGCTTTCCACTGGAAGCAGTGACCGCGATACTATGCGCTCGAAATTACTTTTACCTTTACCAATACGTAGATGCATTTTAGAATGATTTTCCGGTTCAAGAACGAAACGTTCATGGTTTTCTGTGCGTATAAAATCTCGTTTGGCATTGTTGGCTCATGCAAGCGTACGAACAAGTGGACGTTTCTTTCACTTTATTTTCTAAATTTCTGCAGGAATGGTGATCGGATCCTACATATGGGGGTGCCTGGCTGACACGAAGGGCCGCAAAGTCGTGTTAATCGCCACATTGCTGATGGACGGTATCGTCGGCGTCGTATCATCGTTCGTCCAGTATTTTTGGGTGTTCTTGTTGTTCCGTTTCTTCAACGGGTTCGCGTAAGTACACCCCTTCTGCCGTCTCTTCTTCATTCTTCTTTCTTTTTTCTTTTTCTTTTGTTTCTACTTCTATTTTTATTTTATACACACAGCGTTACGGGAGCTATGGGAATTTGTTTTCCGTATTTAGGGGAGTTCCAGCCAACAAAGTATCGCGAAAGATGTCTTTGTTGGATGGAAATGTTCTGGACCGTCGGTGTTATAGTATTGCCACGTGAGTATCAGTCGTTTTATCTATTCGCCGCGCATCGCTCGCGCGAGCATTGAAATCACCGGAACGGTGACGTACGCGTTTTACAAAGTAGAGTTCTAACCAACAATGACAGTTGGTTCTCTACAAAACAGGCCTATAAAGTCATAAAGATAACGACGATTACGAGAAATCTTGATTCTATAATTTCCGTTTCATTAAATAAATTAGTCGGACCTTGAGATATGTTTGCGACAGCTTCTCCGAAGTTTCAAACAATTAACACTGAATCTACCGTGCCGATTAAGAAGACCGGATCTCAACTTTTTTTTCTGAAAGCTTTTATAAAAAACAATCAAATGAATGTCTTAACTGAATCGAGTCTTGTCATCCCTCTAAAGCAAAACACGTCGGTCACTTTTAACGCGGTAGATTTAGCGTCGGCGTTTAAATTCAACTTCTGTTTCTCAACGCAGTGATCGCATGGCTGATCATACCGATGGACTTCATGTACGTCTCGGACGTATTCTACTTCAAGTCATGGAATCTCTTTGTAGCGCTGTGCGCGTTACCTTCGCTGATGTTGGGCCTCTGGTTGTTCGCGTTTCCAGAGAGCCCGAAGTTCCTCCTCGAGTGCGGAGAAACGGAGGCTGCCCTTGAGGTCTTCAAGTGGATTTATTCGCAGAATACCGGGCAGGATCCCGACACATATCCGGTAACTAAGAAAAACAGGAAAATCTATGAAAACTGTTAGGATAGAAACGAAAGTTTTCGTCTGGTTTCGCAGGTGAAGTGTTTGCAAGAGAAGAACAAAGACAAGAGCACGAGGTCGTTGAAGCTACACAAGAGAAAGGACTTGAAGGTCCTGCTGAAGGAAGTCAAAGACCTCACGGCTGCTCTGTGCAAGTCGCCTTACCTTCGCAACACGCTGCTGGCCTGCGGTATTCAGTTTGGCCTGACCAGCAGCTACTATACCCTCATGGTCTGGTTCCCCGAATTATTCACCAGGTATCCGAGTCCTAAAATCAAGAAATTAGGAAAACTTTGGTTCTCAGAGTTCAGCTATGAATTTTAAAATTTAAACTTCCAGGTTCGAGCAGTTCGAGCACCAAAATCCTAACGAGACCACGTCGGTGTGCATAGTATCGGCGATATCGGACAACGCGACCAACGTTGATCCTTTCGGATGCGAAACCGTAATCGCATCCTCGGTCTATCTGCACACGGTGTACATCGGAATCGCCTGCATTCCAGGATCCATTATCCTTCCTCTGTTTGTGCACAAACTCGGTGCTAAATTCTTCCTCAGTAAGTACTTACAAACAGTCCCCATATCTGCAAAATAAGATCCTCTAAGTCCTAGACCTCGATTAAAATCGACGAAAATCTATGAAAATTCCTACATTCAAAAAAAGAAGAAAGGAATGATAGCCGAACATAGAGGTCCTATCATATTTTTAATTGTGCTTGGTATGCTCGCAACAAAAATCTTTGTTTCCAGTCATGTCCTTGCTGGTTTCGGGGGCAGTTACAGTGGCCTTCTACTACGTGGTGGACTCGACACAAAACCTGGTACTGTCCTGTGTATTCGAGGCTCTGACGTCTCTCGGTATCTCGTTGGTGTATTGCGTAATCGTCGACATGTTCCCGACGAATCTCAGGTAAGCAGGGGCATTACATTGTGACTTATTTATTGAAGAGGGAGAACGGGTAAACAGACGGAGATGCTCTATTTACGCCTGGTCACGCAATTAAATTATCCGCGATGATGATTAGCGTCTTGTTAGTCAACTCCGAGTCACGCTTCAAACAACGGGATAGCTTACGTGTCGGTAAAACATTCGATACCTGCAAAAAAAAAAGATCAGACTTTGTTATTTATAAATACGAACATAGCGTCCAAACAATGTATGATCCATTGGAACGCAAGGAAAAAGTTAAAAACAGTTGTTTAATCGGAGATACGAGAAGAATGTATACGATTCAATTTTCAGAGTAATGGCCGCAGCGTTGTCTTTAACAATGGGTCGATTAGGCGCCTTGGTGGGCAATCTGGTGTTTGGTTACCTGATCGACTTGGCCTGCGTGGTTCCTATAATTTTATTTGCGGCATTTTTATTCAGTAAGTACTCCAAATACTGTACAATACCTAAGCGATAACCAACGAGCGTTTGAAATAACGGCAATTAACTCCTCTGCGGATCGCGTATGATTCCTCTGCGTTGATTGGCTGGCTAACTGCCAATCGCTAAACAGCGCCCAAAATGGCGGGAAGTAATTGCCGTTATCTGGCCGTGCAAACTCTAACCGCACACCCGATTGATCTTTATCATCTTTCAGTATGCGGATTCATGTCGTTCCTGTTGCCGAAGACCGGTAAAGAGACGCTCGACTAATAAAAAATCCCGGTCATCTCCTGGTGAGAATCGACTAAACAATTATGATATATAATTTATATATTTATCGAAAGTGGACCGAGAAACAGGAAATGATTCGGTCTCTTCCGATCCGCCTGGAACGTGAAGCCAGCTTGAAAGAAGCGTTTTGATACTTGGAGACGTTTAACCTGTTAACCGAGCGCATCGCCTTTCTAATTGACAGAACGAAAAAAGAAATGATAATAAATAAATCGGTATCGAATGCCTTGGCCCGGTTAACGGGTTACAATAAAGGCTAGGAAACTTCCCTGCAAAGTCTGTTCCCCACTTCCGATTGCTTCTGTAAATTGCGCGCAGGCACGTAATGTAATTTATTCGCGGACTTGATTCCCCCGGAATTCTGTTCGTTCTCATTCTACTTCTGTAAATCATGCGAGAAACATTTTATTCCGGAGCGTTGTAAATAACTTCCGCTGTAAGCGGGAAGCGTAGGCCAAGGAATACCAATGATAATTACTAATTAGACTGTGTGTATGTTTGCACCTAGACTGTGAGTTCTATGCATTTACAGCATACCTCGAAAAAAAAACAAAACACTTCGGTGAGATTTCGTGTGAAGTTTCACGAAGAAAATAAGTGATTTTTTTGAAGTTCGTCCATCGAAACTTCTTGAATATTCGTGTACATTTATCGAGAAAAACGGGCGGAAGTTATTTGTGACTACAATAGATTTGTAATTGATATACTTGAGGAAATCCAACATTTTGTACGTTCGAAATGAACGCAACCCGAATTACAATAACGCTCATCTTATATCCTAGTAGCATTTCTGCTATTTGATGGATGTTCGTTTGTCTAAGAAATATGTCAGAAAACGGATACCACTCACAATTATAATAAATTCCTGCTGTCACTATAAATCTATTTAATATTTACCTACATAACGCGAAACGTTATCTATGTATATCGCAGAGGATTCCCGAAACTTTGGTGTTACCTGGTGCGCATGCGCATCTAAATTTGAACTCCATGAACGTAAGTTTCTCTAGAACTACCGTCATGTGTCTACAGTCCGTGATTTGTACCGACTTTACCTACAGAGAAACCAACATCATTTACCAAGCATGCTTGGTGAGTGATTGGCTTATACGATTTAAATTATTTATATTAAATTGGCCATATAAAAAAGAAGATTTCTCAACGCTACGAACTACTAATGTAACGCATACAGTTTATTTATTCGTAGACCGTCGGGATCATCGAATTTAGATCTGTGAAAACTAGTGATATAACCTACTACCTCAGACGAGGTACAGATCTCGGCTATACATCGTCTGTACTGTGAGTTTCGTTTCATCTGTGGTGATTAGTGATGATAGTTCATGGTACATATCGGGAATATTAAAACGTGAAATGTAACTAGAACGTGGGCATCCTAACCGCAACAAAATCCGTCGATAGCGCAGATTGCTGTGTTCAGTTACGTATTAAAATACAATGATGAAGAATGATGAATAGGAAAAGATAGTCGGTATCAACAGTATCCGAGAACGCGAGTACGTGATGGATTACGTGTGATCGGAGGTTCTCTCTGTTCGTGATATGATAATCGTCCAGAAGACGAGGAAAATTGGCTCGTGGTGCTGTTCTAACAGCTGATCAACGGAGAGAGGCAAGAGAGTCAGAATCGTGGGGAAAAATTAAATCGTTCTGGTTGTGACTCGGGTGTCCGCGGCGAAACGATGGCTGGATTTGTGTTGAGGGTCAAAACGAAATCAGGTCAGAAGGTCGTGAATGGGTTAGTGCCCCAGGACAAGGTATTCGAATTGAAATCGAAGCTGGCCGAAATCACGGGCATAGCAGTCGATGCGCTCCACGTTCTCGGTGGTTTTCCACCGAAAGCGATCAATCTGAACGACGAGTCGACGACGATCGAGAAGAGCGGCATCGTCTCAGGGGACACTCTGATCGTCGAGGAAAAGCCCGCCCAGTTCAACGGTGAACGAAACTCCGACGAGATCGGTCGATCTCACATCGTCAACGACGAGAGTTTCGTCAATACGCCCGGTGTTTTGATGAAAAAAGACGTGCCTGCCGATAACTCCTGCTTGTTTACCAGCGTCGGCTATGTTCTTAATGGTACATATCGTTATGTAAATCATACTATTCCTGATCAGACTTGGCCATTGATGCTTACGATTCACAATAACTCATTGTGAAAAATTGCGATTGATGTATGCTATTACTCCATTAATTGTTTATCGCATTGAATGTTGGCCAACTCTGTTCGTGAGTGACACAAAGAATAAATTTGTTGTACATCATATTTGTACGGAGACACTTTACGCACCTTTTAATCTTATAGCATACTTTTAGGTAAGGTTGATCCCAGTTGTGCTAGTTTTATGAGGGAAATCATAGCAAATGCTGTGGCAGCGGACCCAGAGGAATATTCGGAAGCCTTCTTAGGTAGACCAAATCTTGAATATTGTAAGTGGATTTTGAAGCCGGATTCTTGGGGAGGAGCTATAGAATTATCGATACTGTCGAAATTCTACGGTCTGGAAATAGCTGTAATCGATAGTATCAATGCGATTATCAACCGGTTTGGAGAAGATCAACATTATGCTCAAAGAGTGTTTTTAATATTCGACGGAATTCATTATGATCCCTTGTATTTGGAACCATTAGATGTAAGTGTTACATTATTGTACGACCAATATATTATAATGTATGAAGGAATATTCTTCTATTTGTTGTGTTTAGTTGCAGGGTGGTAGTATACAAACGATTTTTCCCACAGAAGATAAAAGGATATTATTAGAGGCTGCAGAATTAGCGAGAGAAGCGAAATCTAGTCGTCAATTCACGGACGTTCAAAAATTCACTCTAATATGCAATGATTGCAAAGTTAAATTAAACGGACAAACAGCCGCTCAACAACACGCAATAGAAACTGGGCATATGAATTTCGGAGAAGTAGCGGCATAGCAAAATAAATCTGTCCTTTGCCAATTATCATTTACTTTAGACCAGATAACTGATTGAGAATCCTATTAAATCCGAGTCTCGTGCAGAATTTTCTTCTAAAACGAGGCTTGCAAGGAAACTGGCTATTTGATACAAATGTTATTGTTAACAGTAAATAAGTAGTGCACTATGAGGATTGTTTAGACAATTAATCCACACAGGTTTTTAATTTTGACTAAAGATTTAGGATTCTTTGATTAAATTTTTCTTCAGACAATTACGAGTGTATTGTTAATGCATACATTTGAATCCAGAAGTCCACAAAATTACTTTTTATATATATGTTAAAGATTTTCTAAGAATTCTTGTTATATAATTGATCACGGTTTATATGATTATGTTGATTATAGGTTGATTAGGTTTATAACCAGTTCGTAAGTTATGCCCTCTTTAGCGAGATTAAGAATCTGTGATACTTGGTTGAATTTGCCTAAACGGAATTCATAGCCATGACTGGCAGAGAATGTGTTCCATGCCATATATAAGTAAATCTTAAGAGAAAGATGCGTATCGCGAAGCGAAATCAGGTTTAATTAGTTTCGCTTTTAACGAGCAAATCGATTTAGCACTGTTAATAGTAAATTTTATATCGATAAACGACTGTTCATAAAGGAGAAGATAGAACAAAAAAAGATGAATTACTAGTAATACAAGTAACATAACACTTTTATCAATAAAATCATGTTACTCATTGAATATTGCAGAGTGTTGTCTTAAAAGTTTGATCTCTATGCTATGATAGTTTAATTTATGGTCCAAATATGTATATGATAGAAATTAAACGGTAAAAGTGTATAATTAAATAAAAATTAACAACTAAACCTTTATTATATACATATGTAACATTAGGATATCGTAATTATTTTGTTATCGAGATTTTTACTTGATTCAACAAGCACTAGATACATATAAGAGTTCCAGATGAAGGAACGATCAACAAGATTTTTGTAATAAAGAATAATATTTATTAGAAGTACATCAATCTAATGGAAGTCTTTTTTATGTGCAAAGATGTAGCTGATAGCGTCATCGTAATCCACACAAAGAATAAGAAACAGTGCAATTGTTGGTAAGGAAAATCATTGCGAATTTATTAGATCTGAGTAAAGGGATTTGCAATTGTTCGTTACTCAGGAACTACTAATAATAGAGATTTACATACTTATATTTGTATGGCAGTATAGTGCATTTTGTAAGCTCCAGCCTTTCGACAAAGCGAAATAAACAAGCTATTTACATTATTTGACGTTTTACTTACGCTTCTTGATGTCGAAGGAGCCAATATCGCAAATAATTAGTGCAACATTGTTCGCGTTATGTATAATGTGTAAACAACATTTAGTAGACAAACTTAATGGTCGCTAGAACTAAAGACACAAGCTTTTTTACATAAAGATAAAGAGATTTTTTAAAGTTAAACCGTTAAACGTAGCAGGAATGCGAGACTCGCTTCCAACGCGCGACATTTAAATTTGTACAAATTATCTAACTGTATCGACGGTATAGATGGCGTACCGTTATCGAAACCCAAAGCGTTCTCATAGAGGCGAAACTTTGATGGTATTCAAAATTTCCAATACGCATGCGCATGCAAGTATTTATATATAAAATGATCAAAAACAGATATAAATTGCATCTGAAGTGTACAAGAACATTCGGAAATACATGCGATACGATCAAAGTAGTTCTAAAATTTAATAAAATATAAGCTATTATATAAAATATAAGATATTTAATAAAATTTTATAAGCTTGTTGAACATCGTCATTTACCATAGTCATCTTCAAATATTGCTGCGCTTTCTAACGCTTCGCATTCTCGCCACCGTTGCGACAGTTTTCTATCTAGTGTAATACTGTATGACTAAAGCAGAAAACGGCGCACCGTTTTTAGTATGTACATACTACATATATACACAGGTGCATGCAAGCATGGATCGCTTTTTAGTATCGGTTTAGTATCTTAGTAGTCTGCAGTAGTCTGCCAACCGTAACAGAGGGACTACGTCCGTCAGGTTTGTTACGTGAACATAATACGGATATCGAGGGAAAACGAGGAATGTGAATTTCGTTTCACAGAGAAATAGAAGGTGTAGCTCCTTGCGATCGATCGCGAAAAGCAAGAGCTCCCTCGATGAAGTGAATGCCAGTGTCATTCCCGAAGATCTGGGCATGGTGTATCTCCAGGAAGGGTTATTCGTATAAGATGTCGCTAACATCGGTACATTTAACCGAAAAAGATTTACTGACGAATAGGTGAAAATGGAAGATGAAGCGGACCTGAGGGAACAATTGTTTCACAATACCGTACGAGAGAACATCGTGAGTACGATTTCGTTCATCATCATTCCCCCTTGTTTATTGACCACCGACCAATAATACCGAGGGACCCCGAAACAACTTGCGACGTTCCTGTGATCGTCACGTTCCCTCGTGATTAGTTTTACCGTTTTTGCTTTAAGTAGGTTCAATTCTTGCCGTAACCGTAATCGAAGCGACAAAAATCAGTCCGATGTTTCCAACCTTCAAAAACCGCCCAAGTAACGTCTATCACGCAATTATACATTTCTTTGCAGAATTTTTCCGTTTATTTACAAATACACGCATTGGTAATACAAACTACACAAACATAATAAATCACAGTGAAAAAAACGTAACATGAATTTTGGTAACTCTTGTATTCGTATGCGAAGTCTTACAGTTACCAAGAACTGACAATTGACGATATATGTATATTGCTATTTGCTATCATTACGATTTAAACGGCAAAGATAAGAAAATTATATTGTCTTTTCATGTCGAGGGACGGAATAATTGACGTTAATACGTGGCCATGGAAATAAGAATAAAATATGGTCGCACTCGCATTGCATTGGCATCCGTTGAATTCAATCGTGCAATTTCTATCGTAAAGCCACATAGATAAGACTGTGACTTGTCGAATTTGTTTTTATTCTCCGATCGTCCTGCTGTTTCGGATCAACGATAATCTAGTTTAATTACCACAGGAGCAGGGTGACCCGTTATTCCGCTACACTCGCTGGGTGTAATAATACATAGAACGCAAGTGTTTCTATCCGACGGCGATGTTTACGTCGACATTTTTACGCAAATGGTCCAACTTGCCAGACGAAAACGTCACAGTAATGTTGTTTGTCAAGGCGTGGGCTGTCCGGAAGCACCGCGTAGTTTGACCGTTTTACCTGTTGGTAACACCGGTAACATATGAATCTGTTTAACCGATCGATTTAACGTTAAACCCATAATGATATTATATCGCGCTCACGTTTTCACGTGATGCAATAGTAAATACATATCAAACAGGCCACGTTACGTCGGACGACTATAGGCTAGAGTGAAGACCATGCATAGTTCCGTGCACGGTATTTAGCCTTGACTTCGGTTGTATGTACTTCTGTTTAATCGATTTAACTGGATGATCGTCAACGTTTCAAAGACACAAACAGAATCCCCTAACGTGTAGACCGGTGTTCACGGTATGCTTTCCCAATACTTTCACGCGAAGAGTCGTTGACCACGCGTTATTTCTGATCCTCGACCGGTTTTTCCTTCCACCGGTCGTCGTGTCCTCTCGCAAAAAGTGGTTTTCAACGCAGCGTGCCGCTGCATCTTCACCGAGCCGAGCGCATTCCAGATTAATTCGCAAAAACATTCGGTATAACAGCGCTCTTTGTTTATTTCTCGCCCCGCGAAGAAAGATAAATCCGCGGCATCTGTGTACACGTTCGCTATGCAAACGTGCACACACACGTGCATATTTGCTGAACAGGTTGCGATAAAAATCAGCCTTACACGATCGCTTTGATCCCCGTTAACGAATGCCATTTAGGCCTGACAAGCTAGCTGCATATTGCTCTTGATCTAGAAATGCTAAAAATACACTTGCTCGGTCAAAGACACGTGCGATCTGTTGTGAAACGTGTCGACAATCTTATCGTCTCTTCCCTCGATGGTGTTCAGCCGTGTTTTGTGTCCGATCGAAGTACAACGAAATCGGCTCCGTACCGACGCGCTTTATGATTTTCGTTGAGGCGAATTTGAAAATTAACGCGCATTTGACAATTTCGTGGCTTGAGGATATAAATCGAACTAAATTTAATAACATCTGGTCAAAACAGGGAATATAGCATCGAGAAATTACATTGCCAGATTTTATTCGAACTGTATCGTTCACTCATTCATTAATGTCAAACATGGTCTCTGCATATCGCCTAATTATACTCATACAGTCTCGAAGGGCATCTTCATTGCTATGATTTACGCGTGGATACACCCTATACGTGTACGCATATCAAATTTCGTACAGAGTATGTATACTGCATTTTTCGGTACAAACGTAGCCAAAAGTAGTGAAACAATTATTCTGCTAATAAGTCTGAACGATTATAAAACGGTGGACGGAACGCGATTCAAAGTTTTCGAACGCTCTCAAAATTGTTTCGGATGCGCTCAAAACATCTCTCTGAACTAATCTCGGTCTCAGTCTCGGCTCTCTCTCTCTCTCTCTCTCACATAAGCCCTGCCAACCGAGGCGCCTAGTACATAACAAAAGACTATTAAAAGCCAAATATATCAGTTGACCGTTCGAATTATCTCAGTGTATTCGGTGCACTGTCTTCGCTGAAGATAGATCATCTAAATGGACAGGTGAACGACAAGCGATAAATATAGATAAAAGAAGATTAGCATAGGTGGACCGTACCGTGATTTGCATGCTAAACATGCCTTTCATTCCCCGGGGACAATGCACTTTGTGCTGTTAGCGGTTCTTGAAATCCCAGTTATCAACTACGTGGCAACCGTAGTCACATTAAAAACTAATCAGCGTATCGGGTTACATACAGTAACGATCACGATGCCGATCTCGAATCGTTAATACTTTCGAACTAATGGAACGCGCGCGAGGAACAAGTTATCGATGTCGGATCGATAATATTGTAGATCAAATTTCAACTCTTTTTTCCAGATTTTTAGATTTTAGCGAACGTGTTTCTGATAGATCGTCACGATTCGAATAAAAATCCAAAAATCTCTTCAACTTTCGTGCATGGTTTTCGAAGAGATCGATTTCGGAGAAACAAATTTAATTCTCGCTATGTTCTCGCGTATTGCTTGGAAAAAAATATGTGTCGTATGTTTCACGTGACATGCTGGAAATAAGCGAGGGAGATGGAAAATTAATGCGAACCAGCACGATAACCGACGACGCCTGTACGCGGAAGCCTGTTGTTAGTGTTGGGTATTCAAGCCTTCGATTAACTGGAATGGCTTGTACCTATGTTCAGGCGGTATTCGTTGCGCTCGATGGGTTCGTCAGTTCGGAGTATGGAACTTCTATGATGGAAGTCCGTAGTTTGGAGTTTGTTCCAAACCGTTCAAGCATACAGGCCGAATTGTTAAAATAAGACGGAACGCTGACAACGTCGAAACACGGCATATAGGCACATTATTATATGGTATATTATTATGTTATTATTATATTATAATAATATATAATAATATAATATATTAATATATAATATTATATTANTGTATCGTTCACTCATTCATTAATGTCAAACATGGTCTCTGCATATCGCCTAATTATACTCATACAGTCTCGAAGGGCATCTTCATTGCTATGATTTACGCGTGGATACACCCTATACGTGTACGCATATCAAATTTCGTACAGAGTATGTATACTGCATTTTTCGGTACAAACGTAGCCAAAAGTAGTGAAACAATTATTCTGCTAATAAGTCTGAACGATTATAAAACGGTGGACGGAACGCGATTCAAAGTTTTCGAACGCTCTCAAAATTGTTTCGGATGCGCTCAAAACATCTCTCTGAACTAATCTCGGTCTCAGTCTCGGCTCTCTCTCTCTCTCTCTCTCACATAAGCCCTGCCAACCGAGGCGCCTAGTACATAACAAAAGACTATTAAAAGCCAAATATATCAGTTGACCGTTCGAATTATCTCAGTGTATTCGGTGCACTGTCTTCGCTGAAGATAGATCATCTAAATGGACAGGTGAACGACAAGCGATAAATATAGATAAAAGAAGATTAGCATAGGTGGACCGTACCGTGATTTGCATGCTAAACATGCCTTTCATTCCCCGGGGACAATGCACTTTGTGCTGTTAGCGGTTCTTGAAATCCCAGTTATCAACTACGTGGCAACCGTAGTCACATTAAAAACTAATCAGCGTATCGGGTTACATACAGTAACGATCACGATGCCGATCTCGAATCGTTAATACTTTCGAACTAATGGAACGCGCGCGAGGAACAAGTTATCGATGTCGGATCGATAATATTGTAGATCAAATTTCAACTCTTTTTTCCAGATTTTTAGATTTTAGCGAACGTGTTTCTGATAGATCGTCACGATTCGAATAAAAATCCAAAAATCTCTTCAACTTTCGTGCATGGTTTTCGAAGAGATCGATTTCGGAGAAACAAATTTAATTCTCGCTATGTTCTCGCGTATTGCTTGGAAAAAAATATGTGTCGTATGTTTCACGTGACATGCTGGAAATAAGCGAGGGAGATGGAAAATTAATGCGAACCAGCACGATAACCGACGACGCCTGTACGCGGAAGCCTGTTGTTAGTGTTGGGTATTCAAGCCTTCGATTAACTGGAATGGCTTGTACCTATGTTCAGGCGGTATTCGTTGCGCTCGATGGGTTCGTCAGTTCGGAGTATGGAACTTCTATGATGGAAGTCCGTAGTTTGGAGTTTGTTCCAAACCGTTCAAGCATACAGGCCGAATTGTTAAAATAAGACGGAACGCTGACAACGTCGAAACACGGCATATAGGCACATTATTATATGGTATATTATTATGTTATTATTATATTATAATAATATATAATAATATAATATATTAATATATAATATTATATTATATATATATATATATATATATATATATATTATTATTATGTTCAATTCCGTTCGCTTGACTCACAATCACCACGATCAAGCTTCGAGCCAACGAAACGAGTCACCTGAATATAGGTAAAAGCCATTCAAGCTAATCGGAGACACGATGGTTCGAATGTGTTTGTTGGCATGAATACCCAACACTACCTGTTGTAACTGGGGTCTCGTTTGCAATAAACTTAACGGTGTCCCGTTCGATGTTATAGGGTCACCCGTCCAACTTCGAACACATTTTAATATATATAAATATTAATATTAATGTATAAATATTTTAGACATATTTTTTCTCTAATGATGAAAATTTTGCTGCTGCAAGAACAACTGCTTCCAAGTAATTTTCGATCGATCGGCAAGTTCATTGTTAGACGTATCACACTGACTATCGTAAGAATACACATACATATATCATCGATGAAGCTATTGTACATACGTATGTATATGCACATGTTATACCATCGGTGTACACCTTCAGTTTTACCCTTTTTTTACGCAACCGGCTTTGCAATGTAATTTACGAATCAGATTAGAAAACCTTGTGTTTGATTTCCGACTCTGTAAAGCAAACATGATATCTATTTACTTCTTGGAAAGCAAACGGTATGCTCGCGAACATATACGTTCGGATGCATTTGTTTTGATAAGAACTGGGTGGTAGGAAATTAAATCGCGCGATTCTATGATGTATGTCGACTGTGGTGTGCAGCGCGTACAGATAATTTTCATTTAAATACACGCATGGCGGGGATCATTTGAGTTTGTATTTGCACGAGTGCAATACAACGCAAATCAACGCAGATTGCACGGCTCGATGAGCGCGCTAAAAGAGCATACATACACACAGATACACACGCACGCAGGCACAGACATCGCGTAAGATTATTAAGCGTTCGTATGATTTACGAACGAATCTTAACATTTCGGTACGAAAACAGACATTATTTATAGCTAGATTATAAACATCAACAAATCATCCGATTTGAACCCGTGGATAACAAGGAAACCGTTCTATTGTTTCAGATATTTCTGCTTCTTTTCCTGGTTCTTTACGTCTCCAGTTACGCTTTGATCGCGAAATTTCGCCGAAGGGATCGCGAGGATTACTTTTCCGTAGACGAAGATGAAGCTACGGTTTACAGGATCAGCCTTTGGTTGTGTACCGTCGCTCTGGCGGTTTCCGTTGGGGCAACCTTACTGCTTCCGGTCTCCATCGCCAGCAACGAAGTTCTCATTTTATATCCGAACAGCTATTATGTCAAATGGTTGAACAGCTCACTCATTCAAGGTAGCTTGTCCAACATTTCCGGACAGAGCCCTCTTTGTTTGGTTTCTAATTATTTAAAATTTTTTTTTAAACAACCAGGTCTATGGAATCATGTGTTCCTCTTCTCGAATCTGTCCTTGTTCGTGTTTCTACCGTTTGCCTACTTATTCACAGAGTCTGAGGGATTTGTGGGATACAGGAAGGTAAGAAAGCCGGCTGTGTCCGATGAAGTTTGTGACAATGAAACGAACTAAATAGAATTTGACCTTCTATCTTTGGCTTCAGGGTGTAATGGCCAGAGTGTATGAAACAGTCACAGTTCTTTGTCTACTGGGAACGCTCGTGCTAGGAATGACATATGTTTTATCAGCACTTATAGATCATCAGAAGTCCAGTCTTCACACATTGCTCAGTAAGTGGATTAAAATTAGTTTCACTCTATTCAACCTCAACCATGTAATCGTGTTTCACGTTACAGATTTGTGGACATACTATTTGCCTTTCCTTTATTCCTGCGTTTCTTTTGTCGGCGTTGTCATGTTACTGCGTGAGTATAGAGACTTACCGCACAAAAGATTATAGTTTATATAGTTTCTCAATGAAAATGGTCTTGCAGTGTGTACGCCTGTGGGGTTCGTAAGATTATTTGGAGTGGTTGGTTCGTTTCTCGTGAAACCGCAGTTCCTAAAGAACTTAGACGAAGAGTTCTTTGCGTACAGATTAGAAGAGGAGTGTATTAGGAGACGGTTGGTCATCGATAATATTTTCACACCGTTTCGATTGTTGATTCCCTGTAATATTGCCTTATTGGGTTTGCAGATTGGAGCATGCGAAAGCAACCGGAAAATCGTACGTTTCACCAGTACCGATGTCCATACCAGCGTGTGGTTCAATTCTCGAAGACGATGAACTTCTTAACGTGAACCCGAGCCTAATGTGTTTAAGGAATGGTGCTTTGCAACGCGGATTGTCCCAACGATTGGAAGATATCCAGAAACGGAGAAAAGTGTTAGACCAGCAAAGGCGAACCTGGTGGGTTCGGCGCACTTTGCTTTACCCTTTGGCCATGCTAGCCTTACTTATACTTTCCACTGCCACAGCTCTATTAGCTGTTCAAAACACATTAGAACTACTCATCGGTATAAAGGCACTGCCCTTGAGTACCAGGGTTGGTATTGATCTCTTTAAAAGATTCAGAAAAATGCTCGCTTTGGGGACGTAGTTAATAAAGAGTCTCGATTGTCTTTTCAGCAATTTACTTTAGGTATCAGTTCATTGTCGAAGCTTGGTCCCATTGGAGCAACCGTAGAGGTGGCAGTGATATTGTACTTGGCAGCGACAAGCGCAATAGGCCTGTACGCGCTTCCAGGAGTTAGAAGAGTTCAACCACGATTTCATTCCACTCCTCTCACTCATCTAATCGCGAACTGTGCCCTACTTCTTGTGCTGAGTTCCGCGTTACCGCTGTTATCGCGGATATTAGGTACGTTCGCGGATAATTTCGAACGTTTCTCATATCAATTGGAAGATTTATTATAACCGGTCTATTATCTGTTTATAGGTATGACGAACTTTGATTTGCTTGGTGATTTCGGGCGTATCGAGTGGCTCGGTAACTTCAAACTAGTATTGTTTTATAATTTAATATTTGCCACGGCGGCGATCGCTTGTCTCGCGACCAAGTTCACGGCGACGGTTCGTAAAGAGATCTACGCGAGATTGAGGAGCAGTTTGATAGGAATTTTTAAATGCGAAGGTAAGAAAGGCCCGGTGGGAATGTTTTCACCGAAGGAAGACTAGACTGACTTATATTATAAATCAGAAGAAATACGTAGAATTTAGCATTAAAAGAGTAAGTAAAGACTCACAGACAATTGCGGTATGTACGTGCGCGATACGAAAGATGAAGTTCTATTTGAAGACTTTAGGATGAATAATGCAGAGTGAGTTATGCGAATGAGAAAGTTAAATTGGACTTCGATGAATATATAACGCGAGAGGCCAGTTAACGAATATTCCTTGTGACACCTATTCACATTGTTATACATCTCTATGCGTGTGCGTGTGTGCAGATAGCTGCATCGATTATTTATTACACTTGTCGGTATTTTAAACATTATTTATCGAAAATATACATACCAATCTTATGTGAGTTAATTAACTATATTAATTCACAGCAATGACAACGCAGTATTGTGATAAAGACACAAAATGTGTGCACGTGTCGAGCAACTACGCGAATTATGATTCTAGCAAATCATACATTCACGTATGTACACGCATATATACATACGTATTTAACGGATACTCTCTTGCAGTTAACATGCAGAACATGTTACGATATGTATTCCACGAAACATCGGATTTAAGGTCCAAATTTATTATTGTGTGACTCTCGAATTTATTATTCTCTTCTCCAACGCTTCTTTTTCTTATAGAAAATTTCTATACTACGCTTATCGTTTTTGGTAAAAGGAAAATTGTTTGGTTTCTTCCTGAAACTTTGATTATTTGCTACCCCTGGAGCATCTTTTAAATTGAACATGCATAATTTGCTTTTCCTATAAATGTACCTTTGTCGGCAATTAAGAAGTATCATTCTGGGCGGTGCGAGCCCAATTTAGAACTTGGATTAAACAATTTTATAAAGTAATAACATAAATCTCGCGTAGACTGTGCTCTATTATAGTAGTATCGGTTTAGTAATTTTGTTTAAATGCATTTCATTGATATTGTTTTTTCAACTCTTCATGACCGTTATTGCAGGAATTTGTTAAGGATTTCGAATACAAATGCATTCGTCGTATTAGGAAAGTAAATAATGCGCATTTTGAGATGCATATAGACTGCATAATGATAACATGCAGAAAATTCAAATGTTATCGTCCCGACTGATTCGTGATTTGTTAGTTTATAACTGAATGCTCGACTCTTGGATTATATATATATAAGTAAAGTTATTTATTTACTTCACTGTACTTCACGACTTTCGATCAATCGATTTAATGTCTACTTTATAACATTCGTTATATTTCTTTAACAAGTAAACGAATAATATTTTACAAGCATATTATGTGATATATATATCTCGTCAAGAAGACAATACAACGTTGTTGAACTTTGCACACGCAATGATGTACTCACCAATGAACTATTAACAAATTTAATTAGACAGATACCTCAGGATTGAAATTATTGCTTAATATTTGTTACTACATTGCCACATTGTGGCTTTATTTGTAATAAATTGAGATTCTCATCCGAGAATTCGCTGTACACTGATGATTATTAAGAGAATAAAAGATACTTTAACTTGACCTCTTTTGCATATAGAATATAGAATTTTGATAGATCAGTAGAGTATAGAACTCTAAATTTATACATATTGAAATGTTACCGATAAACGAAGAATAAATTATAAATTATATTCCTAATGGATTTATTGATTAGTCAGAATATTATTATACATGGTCAGATGATTCTTTGAGACCAAATTTTATCAGTGTACGAATTAGAGAAGGACCTCCTACACCATAGCGTATAATTTTGTAATAATTTGGAACCGACAAATCAACTATCGTAGATCCTCGTCTCAAATAATTGTACTTCTTACCATGTTCCTCTATATCATAAAATATTCCATCTAACTGAGGCCATAGATCTTTGAATTCGTTTGCCTCTAAACAACTAGGTTGGTTGCTAACGTTCGCACTTGTTAACGCCAATGGTCCAACTATATGCGAAACGCAGTTTATGAATTTATTATGTGGTACTCTTATGCCTACAGTGTCAATACCTGGATTTAGATTAGGATTTAAATCTGGTTGTCGTTTCAGGACAAATGTGAATGGTCCAGGCAATAACGATGTTAGTAAATCTGGATTTAAATGATCAACAACACCCCAATTTTTAATATACTTAACACTACTGACGGAGATGCATAATGGTTTCCCCTCATCTCTTCCTTTAATTTCATACAGTCTTTTGATTGCATCGTTGTTCAGTGCAGAACAAGCTAGACCATATACTGTGTCTGTTCTAAGTGCCACGACTTTACCGTCTCGAATTAATTTAACAGCCACCGATATACTTCTTTTTCCTTTGCATATCCAATGCTTGGATGAGGATTCCAACTGTTTCAACTCCTCGCTAGCACCTTCCGCAATAAATGCTATTGGACCTAAGCTCTCCATGCTGGATATATAACTTTTTCCAATGTACATAGGGCTAAACAGCACCTTTAAAGTAGAAAATGTTTTACTAACATTCTACAGCAATACTAAATATGATGCAAAAATATTTAGAATTTTGTGTTCAATAGCGCTTACACGGGACACGCGTTTTTAACGATTGACTTACGTTTGAAATCGTATAATTATTTACTGTTAGTAGCCGTACCTTTAATCGCGCCAATTGTGACCACATTGAGCATTGCAACATTTGTAAAATGTTGTCATAGGCTCATCCGCTGATCGTGTTTGTATCTGCATGAAGTACGCCCGGTTATGAGCACATTTCGGACACCTTTCCTCTGTGGAGTCCACGTTCTCCCAAGCCGCGCTTCCACCTAAAACGTCGTCTACTTCCTTCAGCTTTGGATACGTGCGACTACTTAACCTTCTTGCTATATTAAAAATATAAGGACACGTGTTGCAAGCGAAACGTAGTCCGCCCAGAGCTTCTTCTACTCGTAATACATTACCGCAAGTCGGACAAAACATTAACATCTTACTGATTACAGTGTAATAAAATCACGCATGTATAATAATGGGATTATAATAATGGGATCTATTTCTGCACATTTTTGCAAAGAAAATTTCTATACCGATCCTCGCTAACGGATCAAGCTCTATCTCTATCGCGGGCAAGTTAATTCCGAGCCCTTATTTAATTTAACCTTAAGGTCTCATTTCCACTGCGTTGACTTTTGCCGATTGGGTCCGTCGCAGTGATGATTTCCGTTCTGCTTTGGGTGCATACTGAATGACTCGAAAAGAAGGAAACAACGGTATTCTCCAATCGTTCCTCCTCTCGCATTATCGGAGGTCTCGTACAAACAAACCTTCCATATTGTCCCTGGTCTAAGTGCCAAGCTATCAAAAGTTCATCATTTCCCTGTAGACGGCGCTGAGATAGTAAATCCTTAAATCTTACATCATTGTCATCACTGTGTTTACGTTAGTTTGAACATGTTAATCGTGCGTAACAAGTTTTGTGGAATTTTGGCTATTTTTAAGTGAAAAATGCTAGAACATTATAAATCGGAAGGTGCTTTGGATGAAGTAAAGTATTAACTCGGTACATTGACAAATATAAAACGTGATGAACTTTATGCATCATCGAGGTGTATATATTTAGATAAGTCATAATGTAGAGGGGTTATAACCGTATACATAACCTGTGTATACGCGATGCTGATAATTCGTAATAGTTTCAAAAGTGATATTTAAATAAATACATACATTTGGTTGATAGATCAAGTTCTGCTTATATATTTTGTATTTTTCTCACGTTCATATAGTGACTCCATATAATATTCTAGGTGTTTCTCAGATTTTAAACCAAAGGCTGTTAGGAACTAAAAGGAACTGAAAACTAAAAGTGCATCTGTGCCCAGATGCAGCATTTATTTATCTTGTAAACTAGTTGCATAATATACTTCTGGACCAATATGTTTCAGAGGTATGAATTTCGTAAAAAAAAGTTTTAATTTAACGTAACATTAAAAATTATTTTTAGAAGTAAAGTTCTCTGTTTTGGCGCTCTGAGACTCCAAAAGTCAAGGATACAATTAAGATGGGAAAGTACAATGTCTAAAGCCGAGGTAAGGCAAAAGAAAAACCTATTGTTCGATGAAGAAAAGAAAAAGCAGAAGTCAGCCATAGGAAGAATAGAGAAAATTGAGGTGAAATATCAGTCTTTAGTAGATGAGATTAGTCTTATGATGAACAAGAAACTATCAACACCCGCAGACTGCGCAAAACATATCTCCGAGGGTGTTGTTAAAGTCTCTGCTCTTGCCTTGGTGGATGGTTCGCCATGGGATATGCACAGACCTTTAGTATCGGATTGTAAGCTGGAATTGTTGAGTCTACAGAATCCAAAAGTTAATATTGTAAATGTAGCATTTTGGCGTACATGTTCATTCCTGTTGGGCGCTGTCGTGGACGCTGCATTTAAGGAGGACGTCATGGTCCACTTGCACAGTTTCCCAGTCCCGATTGTAACGACAGGAAGTTTTGTATACGATGTGTATCTCGACTTGCCGGATTGGAAGCCAACTACCCAAGAAATGCAGGCCATGTCTGCTCAGTTCATAAAACTGACAAATCAGCAGATCCCCATAGAAAGGCTAGAGACCACCGAAGAGATTGCTACGGAAATGTTCCAAGACAATCCTATTAAAGTGCAGCAGATTCCAGACATAGCAAAAGCGAACAACGATACGGTGGTGCTATACAGAGTCGGGGATCATATAGACATTAGCAAGGGCCCGATGGTAGGGAATACTGATTTAGTCGGTCGCTGCACAATCGCCGCCGTGCATAAGTTGCCGCAAACAGAGGGTGTCTATAGATTCCAGGGAGTAGCTCTACCCAAAGGAATTCTCCTGAATCATTACGCGTACGGTATACTAGAGAAACGTGCTCGAAAATTGAACGAGGCAACTTGGATACACCATTCAGACGAGGACAGCATAAGATCACCTGAGAAAATCTCTGTTTCGAATTAATTTTGATATCTGAACGGCATAGTGCAAATAAAATTATATAATTGATATTCTTTATTCTGGTTACTCTATATGTACAGGATGTTTCACCTAACACGGACATCTTAAGTATCTGTTCAGTTATATTTTCATGTTACCAGAAATAAAAGAAATTTATCAATGTTCTAGCCTGCTGGAACACCCTTTACACGCGTACATAGGTACGTGCATTTACCAGCATACTTACCTTCTTTACGAACAACTAGTATTAAATCTGTTTTGTCTTTGTATAGGTACATAGTTAATAGTATAAAAGTTCATACAGAAGAGGTACAAGAATCCGTATAATGTAAATTATAATATAAAATTCTGTTACGAACTTTTCCCCACGCACCGCGGGCTGCGCAATTTCCAGACGAAGGTGCCCGGCAGCCTGTTGGCCATCGACGCAGGACAAGTCACTGTCATCGTGAGAAAGAGCTGCTGGTGCCTGTATCTCTTAGTCTCGTAGGTCTCGAGATAGGTCTCAAAAACGTCCGATTTAAGATCCGCTCGGGTGGCATGCGGAGCCAGTTCGGGGCTGCACTTGAGCTCGATGTCGATCACCAAGTCGAAAGACGGCGCCCTCGACACCCGCTGGTCGGTGTCGAGCAGGTTGTTCGAAGAGCTCGCAGTGCTCATGAACTTGCTATCGTATGCGTCCTTGTTCATGTTGCCGTAGTAGAAGAACTGATCGCCGTATTCTCCATATCCTGAGTACGTGGACGCGGGCGGTGGTTTTACTGGAAACGGGAGAGGTATCTAGGGAAGAAAACGATAGGAACATGAGCGTGTTTTATCCGGTTGAATTGAACGATTGTTGACATCACCTGCAAACTTAACTTGCTCTTGTAATGTCTCGTATAGAACAGGTGTTCGTTCACGCTGCCCACCAAACGGCGCAACCTCATGTACATGAAACGCTGCTCGTCCCGCCACGAGTTCTCCTCGGAGTTCTTCGAGATAGCCAAACATGTGAACCAAGCTCGCGCCATTACGTACTTCAGCTTCATGTTGATCACGCAACTGCCGGACCGTCTTTTCGTTATCTCTGAGAGCAGCACTTGCCTGCCCTCCACGAGACAATCCAGAATGTCCACAACTTTGCAGCCGGAGACTAGCGCAGATCTAAAGATATTGCGGTATAGCAGGACGACGTAAGACTATCCGCCAGTGTTAGCTTATTTTTCTATTGAGATGAAATAATTCACCTGTTCACTCTGCGCTCCGAGACCTTCTCGAAGAAGTTCATGTACCGTTTGCAAACGGTGACAAAGTCGATAGCAACGGCGTATACGTTGCGGGAACCGTCGAGACACGTGTGATATTTCACCACTTGGCTTAGCAGATCGTTCAGATCGTCCAGCAAGCTACCAGCGTAGAAGCAAAGCCTTGGGAACCTTTGATGAGCCACAGGTGGGTGCGTGTACCTCCAGGTCACGGCTCTGAGCAGCTTGTACTGTGCTTTGATCAGCTCGAACGTGTTCAGGGCCTTTATGCAGGCCAACACCTTTATGCTAGTTTTCGCCTTCCACAAGGTTTGTTTCACGCGACTCGTTAGAACCTCTATCCTCGCGCCAGCAGTGAGAAACGCGGCGTTCAACACTGTCGCCGCTACCATAGAAAAGTGTCTGAAAAATTGCAAACGGAACGTTTCTTTTTCTCTCTAGTGTAAAGGAAACAGATAAGGATGCATGCGTGAAACCACCTGGAAACCAAGCGCACCGAAGTGGCCACCTCGTGCAACGGAAGCAGTCGGAGTATCGTCTCCAACATTTCCGGCGGAAGTGTGTCCAACGCGTATCCCCGGCAATTCGGGTCGAAAGTTTTCTGCGAACATCCTGAAGAATCGTCCCGCGACTCCTCGGACTCATCGCATTTTATCGCCGGTACCTTCTGCCGCTTCTGCGCGTTCATTTAAAATAATGAAACATACAAAACGGATCGCTTCTATCTCGAAGAACGTTTGCAGTGTTAACGACTTTCTCTAAAACGCTGTCTTCGATTTGTTCATGCTCGTTAAAACGGTGTACTCGCTAAAAAGAAGAATTTAAAAAAAGCTACAAATGTCCGACAGATAGATATATCGAAACAAAGTGAGTAACGCGTTTGGTCGGTGCGTAGCGGTCGGATCTTACTTTTTCGACCTCTCGTTTTGCAATTTCATTCGCGTACTTTTCACGTATGTGTGCGTATATGTAGGTAAGTTAACTTTTAATGCATAGATCCTTGGTTACTATTGAAAATAACATGTATCTTTCGGTCGATTTATTGGAATTATATTTACAAATCGGGGGAGGAGGGTAATTGGAATCAAGATTGTCCTTTGGTCTGCTGTGTGTTTGCCTCTGTATATATGCGTTTGTGTGCGCGTGTATCGGGTGTGTTTGCTCGTTCAGGCACGATGTTACAGACGAAACAAATATTACATACAGACCCTGCGAGCATGGAAGTGGAACGTAATCGCACGACGTAAACTTAATGCGTTCATTACCAAATAGTAATCTTTGTTACTGACTCTCGGTATACGGTGTTTCTTCCCCCCAGAACGTAGCGCGACGTGGAAACCCGGTGAAACGTTCAGGAGCAACGGGAACCCCTTTGCTACGGTGCAAAATGATATCCAGTGCTCGACAGCGTCACGGCCGATCCTCTCGAGTCGTGCGACGCAAGCGGAAGAAAAGATTGTACTATACGAAAAATAAAACGGAACGACCGTCTAACAGTCTAACAGCTAGGGTACGGCTGGCAGCGTCCCCGAGTGCTTTCCCCAAGGAACGGTTAATAGGTGTAAGAAACGTTTGTTTGGTCCATTCGAGTGCCTAATTCGATTATCATAAAAATCGGAGTCTTGTCCCGTCGGGGAAAGAGCGATCGTCGCGCTTCGTAAGCCTTTAAACGGAGAAGTTGACCGGCATGAGTAGCGTGAACTTGGTCTGGTCGACGGGCATCTCTTCGGAAGCGCAGGGGCTGATGCTGTCCAGCAGGCTCTGTATCGCGTTCTGATTCGACGGGTGCTTCCTCTTCGTGTGCTCTCGCCTGTGCTTCAGCTCCTTAAACGTTTTCCCGCACTGTTCGCAGACGTACGGCCTTGCAGCCTCGTGCGACCGCACGTGACCCTCGTAGTGGCTCTTCCGAACGAACTTCTTCCCGCATTGACTGCAGTCGAACTGGAAACGACCTTCGTGCGCCGCCACGTGCGAACTCAGCGTCCATTTGGTCTTGAAGGTCTTCGAGCAGTAGTCGCAGCGGATCTTGGATCCGTTCGGCTTGTCCGATTGAAGAGAACGTCGAGGGTTTTTGTGCAGGAGCAACATCTCCTCCAGCAGAAAGTCGTCCTCCTTCTCGCCCTGCTCCTTCTCCGACTCCACCTTGGACAGTACCGACTGGGCGTCCAACAGGTGCGCCGTATGCCGCTTCATATGCTCCTGCAGCTCTATCTCGTCCTTCGAGCACGTCCCGCACAGGGCGCATACGTTTTTATCCGACAACTGGCGAACAAAGAAGCGAGTTCGAGGATTAAAAACTTTCAACGGAGTACCGCGGAACATAGCAACGATATTAGACTGCGGATCTTGATACAGCGAACGTACGAAGATGCGCGTACATTAATACAAATTTCTAGTATCTCGATCGTAGGAATTTGTACAAAGATTCGCAGTACAATGTGACAATATCTCGTGCATTCGCCCCCTCGCTTAGGCAACCAGGCGTCTACGGTGCGCCTCGCGTGGTCCGGTTGCCTACGCAAGGGGCGGATCGCATAGGCGCCGGTATACCTTTTCGTGGGAGCTCATGTGAGCCTTCAGCTTCATCTCACTGGTGTACTTCTTCTTGCATTGCGGACAGCTATAAGATTTGCCCTCCCGATGACCCGTGTCATCGGGCCAGGCCGCTTGTCTGTACGCTATGCTCTCGGACTCGCCTATCCGCGGTTTGTTCACCGAGTTCTCGTAATGGGAGAGCTTCTCTTTCCTCATCTCGTGGCGGAGTATGTGCCGTTTGAGGTCGTGGGCCCTGGAAAAGGCGCGGCCGTACCGCGTGCAGCCCGGATAAGGGCAGCCCTTCGTCTTGTCATTCCTCGGACGCGACGAAGGCTTCACGTCCCTCGTGCAGTCCTTGCACGGTTTCTCGATCTTCTGGCTGCTGACGGTCGCCAGCTGGGCCGACAGCGGGATCACGATCGAGATCGTTTCGTTGGTGCCCGGGTTCACGATCGGGCCCACGTGGATCGCCGGCGGCGTGGCCAGGGAGAGACCGTTCTCGCTGCTCCTGCTCATCGCTGCTGTTCACCAACTGTGAAACGAACAACGTTATTGTCCTCGGTATTTTCTTTAAGTCTATCTCGAAAAAAAAAAGAAAACCCAATCAAGGGTGAAACGAATCGATAATCGCGGAATGGAAATAGAATCGGTCATTCGAACGGTTTTGTGCCGGAATACATATTTTTTTTCTATAGGGAAATCGAATTGGCGGCATTTTTTAAAGCACATACTGCAATTCGACGCGTTCGAGAGTATCTTTTGATTTCAAGTTACTTCGGTCCTGGACCGGAATACAAGAGAGACATCGTTACCCGAAATCGAATAGCTTTAAGGAATGACGTATCATTATATTTTTCGTTTGTTCGCAGTCCGCAATTAATTTAACGCGCGTCCTAAGATAATCTCGGAAAGCGTCGTGCAGCCGCGACAAAACTTAGAAGCACACTGTCCGTTCACAGAAAAACGCCTGTTTACTCTCTCTCCGCCTAGGGTCGACGGAAACGTGCGGCGGAGCCCCCGGATATTTATAAAATGTGGACGCGGCTCGCGCGGCTATCGACTGTCCGCTACTCTGATCGCATCGAGCGTGCAACAGCATCCGCCATCTTGAAGCGGAGGATACTTTGCAAACAAGAGCACAATATCGAAGAGAAAACCGTTTTGGGTGGTCGTGAAAAAAACGAGAGGAGAGCTCCTTACGTCGGACGAGCTCGCGTGCTGCTTCGAGATCCTCCTCGCCACTTGCTCTCATCCGCTGCTGCGTCGCGAGTATCGGCGCGCGTGTGTGTATTGGTGACTATCGGTGAGTATCGTGGAGAGTACGCCAATGTGTCGAGCACCGTGAGTCACCCTTCTCGTAGAGGATCGACCCCCGGAATCATCGGTTCGACCCTAATCAGGCCATGTGGCCGGCAACGAAATTTCCTGCTTGTTTCGGGATCCTTCTCCTCCACTGGTTCAGGTTATATATCGAGTGAACGTCGCGAGGAGCCAGGACCTGTCTCGCGGCTGCTTCCTTCGGACCGGGGCCCCGTCGTTCACTTTCTCGAGCGATCCGATCCGGTCTTTCCAGAGGACTCTGCGCGGCAGGAGCCGGCCGACCCGAGGAGCTGTGGGATAACGCGTCTAAGGCCGACCCTCGGTCCAGCCGCCGAGGACGTCCGCGACGTTTCTCCTCGCGGGACGAACCGCCGCCGCCGCCGCCGCCGCTGCCGCCACCGCCGCCAACCTCCGCTCCTCCCTCGCTTGCTTTCTCCTTCTCTGTTTATCGACGCCGAGCGCGGACGCCGTTCCTCGGCGTGCAGTCGCGTTCCAATGTTCGACAGCCGAGCCAAAACCGAGGCCGGCGGAACGCCGAGTCCTCGCCTCGTCTCTTCGCTCCGTCTATTCGGCTCGCCTCTCCTCTTGGCTGGCTCGCGGACGTTTTCGTTCGCTCACTTTCCTCGCCGCGATGAAAGTGTGCTACTGATCAGGAACGCGCACTCTCCCTAAGCTCGCACAGCCACCAGGCCACGGTAGACGCGCGCGGCACGCTCGTTTCACGGGCATATCTTCGACACGGCTCGCGCATGTCAACATCAGCCGACCAGGATCTACAGGGTGTCCCGTTTCAATCCGTTCCCTCGGACCGTACGCGAAATTTTTTTTTCTCGTGAATATCTGTCCGCGAAAGTTGAATGACAATTTCCACGCGAGTCGTTTGTTTCCAGGCGAAAGTTTGTTTCCAGGCCCGCCAAGTTCGAACAATGTTACAGAATTTTTCCCTGACAATGAGATGATCCTCTCGGTGACTAACGACTAGAAATCGTTGAACGAACGACGCACGCGAACGAACCGCCTCGAAATTCGCCCGTGAAATTTTCAATCACCTGGTAGATATGCTCGTCGGCGCGGCCGTGCTATTCTAATTCGTCTCGCATTAATTTCGGCGGAACGGCATATGGACTGTATTTAAGTTATCGATCGCGGATTATAGATTGCGACGATTATTTGGCGCGCTCTATATCTATCTATCGCGCTATATTTATAATTATATCTATAAATTAATACCTAATTTAAACATTTTAAAATAATTTAATCAATTTAAATTTACCAAATTCAATATTTTAATACTTATTTATAAATAAAAAATTATAAATTATAATTAACTTAAACTATTTATTAACTAATATTTCTCCTATTATATATAAAATCTAACCTACAAAATAAACCTTATTTCACTTATTATTTTTTCAAATAAACTAATTAGTGATTTTTGTAATCAACCAAATTATATTAGTAAAAAATAGTGTCTCACACAATAATCACCATCTTAATCTTTATTATTCTATTATAATTATTTTTACAACTTAATTATTTTATAATTAAGAAATTTTATTATTAAACTATTATTTTATTATTACATTTAAAGCTAAGCAACGAGCAGAAGATAGAGATAGTTCGGTGATAAGCGAGGCAACGGCGAACCGATCGCTTGATTACGATGGAAATGCATGCATAAGTGCGTGCGACCCCCACTCTGTAATCGAGCAACCCTCCATTACCCGACATAAGGACGCGTGCACACACATAATGCACGCCGTAAATGCACCGACACTTGTTACCGGAGAATCGTACTAGACAAATAACTTGATACAATTTTCGAGATTGCCACGAACGATTCGATGGATCGAACGGTCCCCCGTTCCTTTCGAATCCCTTCGCGAAATTCTAAGAAAATAATGTTCAACGAAATTTCGGCCGGATCGGTCTTGCGATGATGGAACACGCTCAATGACGAATGGCGCACCCTGCCTGGCTTCCCCGCGGGAATTGCCGTGTCTAATCAGCTAATGGCACGCGCACGAAAATAATTAGCATGGAAAAGAATGATCCGTGCCGCGGCGCGCGTCGAACCAGCTCGCGGACACCGCCGGACGGGGCGAAAGTTTTCGTTATTTACGCGCGTAATATACGATTTAATCGCGAACGCCTACTAAACACCGGACACGTGCGCCGCCGACAACAGCTGCACGATAACGTTGCGTTCCATTGCCTGCCTAATGTAATTAGCGGCTGCTAATAAACGCGAGCGTGACGGACGCGCGACGCGGTAATTAAGAGTGTACGTACAATTCGGTACCCCCTCGCCGCCGAAGAACTCGTGGACGACCGAGTGAAACTTTGACGCGTTTCTCGGAGAATCGGTGCCTTTTGACGCTGGATCGCCGCGAGCGAGTCGATTTGATCAATCGCTTATGCGATTTTATTGTTGTATGTGTATGTAGAAAAACTTGAAAATATTGTTATGTATAATATTGTTATATAAATATTGTTATGTATAATTATTGTTGTATTGTGTATGTAGAAAAATTGAATAATTTCGTTTAAAAACGTATGTTGCTTTCCGATGGAATTATGAAATCTATGCAAATACTAATTCCTTTCCCTTCTCAATTCTTAGTTCTAAAAATCCATATATGCTGTATCCATTTTGACGGACGTTTGTCAAATTTGACTCGTTAAATATTTTCGAAGTTGCTATTCTATAATATCTTAGATTCAGCAGCGAGCAGTGTTTGTGTCTTATACGAAGTGGTCGCTCGAGTAAAAATCTCAAGAATAGAACTTCTTTTACAATTGGTCGAAGAACTAACCGACAATCTGTGCTAAATGTAATAAAATGATCTGAGCAAAATGTATATTGAGAACAGAATACATGTGTAAAAATTGTTTCGAATAAAGTTTCGCTACAATAACATTGTATTTTTTGTCGAGAAACCCTCGATTTCGTTGTATTGAATCAAATCGACTCGTTTCGGGCGAGACGGGTATACAGTAAATGGAAATTGTCCATTTTCGCGTATAGTCCGAGAGCGTCAATTAGCGAGAATTTACTGTACACCCAACATTCGGCAATCCGGTGTTAAAGAACGACGAACGAACGAACGAGCAACGACTAATTAAGTCAGGCGGTCTGGCCGCAGTTTCAGATTGCTCGCCGTGTCCATATTCAGCAAAGGCGGGGCTTGTCTATCAAAGTTCCGCGATCTTCGTCCCTGATGAACAAGTTTGTTCGTCGCGGCTTCGCTCGAGCGCTAAAAGCAGCCGGGGATCGGGGCGAAGGATCCTCGTTTAAACGATCGTTTCACCGTTTCTTATTAGAATTCTCTCCTTTCAGCGAGCGAAGTGTAACGATTCCGCCGACACACTCCGTACAATCCGCTACGAATCGTTTAATTTCACGGTGATACGCGCGAGTGTGGCACCAGGTCGTCCACGAATTTCCTTCGCCCCCGCGTCCCGGACCGAAAAATTCGATCCGCCGGTTTCACCGTCTAGCGATGCGCGACAGAACGAAAAGAAATACAACGGGGATTTCTATGAAATCGCCGCGGCTCGAGTAAGCCGGGAGAACTATTTTTAAAAAGGCCGCGCCCCCTGCCCGCCGCCGAGAGACGCGTTACAACTTTTCGCGCCGCGACGACCGCGCGTTTTAACCGTTCGAGTCCCAACAAAGCGGCGCTATCCGCGCTGTTCAGATATTTTGTGTCGCGATCAAGCTTTAGCGACGCGCGTACATCGCATAGAGCCGCTCGGTTCTCTTCGCAATTAATTAACGCGAGCGCCTATAATAGAATATATATAATATATATAATATATATAACAGAATAATAGAATATATATAATAGAATAATAGAATATATATAATAGAATAATAGAATATATAGAATATATATAATAGAATAATAGAATATATATAATATATATAATAATAGAATATATATAATAGAATAACACCTGTTGGACGCAAACGGTTAATCCGGCCACGGCGACACCGATTTTTAACGGCGGAGCGTCCCGCGGAACACCGTGTCCGCGAGACGCTCTTATTTAGGCCGACATTTGGCAGCCGACCGCCCCAATAACCGAACACGGAATTAACCTCGTTGCGGGAAGATTTCTTGCGCAGCGAGAACCAGCTTGTAACTCGTGCACAGTGCCGATGGTATCGATCTTTTGTCGTTTTTCCGACGCGAGGGAAAGCGCGGCGCGCGCTCGTGTGCGCCCGATTTTCCACGAATTCCCCGTCGTCGGATTCCTGGTTCGGTTATTATTGCTCGAGCGGCGGCCCGTCGTCCGACAATTTCACGTGGCCTCGGCTCCCGTAATTGCCCGAAACGCGGCGGCGTTCTTTTCTGAAATCGGCGGCGATCGTGAAAGTCCGCCGGCACCGGCGTCGTACCCCTCGCAGTCGTACAAGTCGGCGTCGTCTCGTTCTTTTCCCGCAACGATTCGCCGCGAAATTCCATCGGAAAAAGAACGAGACCGGCGACGCGGAGACAAAAGAAAGAGCCGTGCGGGAAGAGTCGACGAAGAAGTCGAACCCGATCGGACGCCGTGTAACATACATACTATCCTGGTCAAAATGACGGACGTTCCCCGGATGCCATCGGCCTTCTTGTGCTCCACTTGTCGAGCTAATTATTGCGATTCTGATCGGCCGTCGGTTTCGGAAAGAAAACTAACAAAATAAAGGTGTCCGCGACGGACGCCGGGAACGGAGCCGAGGACACCGAGCCGGGGCTCGATAAACTATTTTATCGAGCAGATCATGGTAAACACGTTAGCGTAGTACCGTGCTCCCCGAACGCGACATTTGAATAGTTTTGCATAATCCGATGCAACGATATCGCAACCGCCCTGGGCGAGAGTTTGATCCGTAGAAAGGTGGATATTTCCTGAAATGGATCGCGCTCGAAGAAATCCGCCGCGCCGGCTCGAAATCGCATCGGCAATTAGATGAAAGTGTAAACGTTACTAATCGATGTATGCGCGGCACCAGCTAATCGCGACGGATAAGGAGAAGCCAGCAGGAGAGTAAGCCAAGCGGTAACTTTCGTTAGTGAGAGCGATATTCGTCCGTTCGGGGCTCTGCTCCCGGTTTCCATTCGTTCGCCGCGGTCGCAAGCGTGTGTAATCCCCCTTCTTCGAATGGCGATCGCGGACGATCACTTTCTTCGAGGCTCCTTCGAAGGATCCGCGAAATCCGCGGTTCAGCGATCCACCGATCTCCAGCGGTCCGGTGATCCCAGCCCGCGAGGATCGCTGTTCGTCGCCTGCCACGGTGCGGTTCCTCCGATCGTTTACCATGATCGTCCGCTGAGATTCGACCCGCGAATGATCGTCACACGATTGTCTATTGAACGGCGGGCCAAGTGAACAGTGAACAAGTGAACAATTTCCTCTTGTACCGTCGGATTTTTCGAACATGAAGTAGCGGTCGATCCGATCGAGAGAGACACACACACACACACGCGCGCGCATACACACGGTGCACTCCGCTCCCCGGAAATGAATCCTCGCTGTCGTTTGGCGATACTTCTTTTCGTTCTCGCGGAGATCGTCTGCGCGACGCCGAGGATCACGGACAATCATTCTGGTGAGCACTCGATTATAGCGGCTTTGTCGATCCAGCCGACCGCTGGATCATCGTCCTCAGGGTTCGTTGTTGTTCACGGGATCCGTTAGAGTCGTCGAAACGAAACGCTGAGTCCGTAGAGCCGGCGGCTCGCCCGAACGCACGGCGAAGTTCTGGAGATGAAACGGCTGCGACGGGTCGACGCGCGGCGCCGTTGGCTGAAAATGACAACGGCGATCGGGTGAGAACCTTGAGCTTTTTTAAATAACAGAGTGCGGATGTCCGACAGCGTCACACAGGCAGCCCCGAGCGATCTTCGGGGAGCCTGGCGGCCAGAGGAACTCGACGTCCACCGGGAAGAAGAGCGTCGCGAGCACAGGCAGGATCTTCAACGGGAAGCCGAGCAGAAGAGGCTCCTGGCCTTGGCAGGTGTCCCTGCAGTTGTTGCATCCGAAACTTGGATTCATAGGGCACTGGTGCGGCGGTGTCCTGATCGATCCTGCCTGGGTGGTCACTGCAGCGCATTGCATTCACAAGTGAGTTTCGCGCGATACTAATCTTACGGTAAATTCTTCCTGATTGACCATCAGCTTGGAAACGAAAGTGGACAATTTTGGAAGAGGAGGTACGATTATTCGAGCCTTGCGCCTTATCCTTCTAATCGTTGACGATCGACGACTATAAAAACAAACCGCGAAGCTCGAATAATCGTATCTCTCTTTGCTATAACATAACGCATGGTAATTCTCGGTTCGCTGTTCCCGTTCACAGCGATCTCTTCAATTTACCAATCGGCGCCCTGTGGACGGCTGTCGTAGGGGAATGGGAACTGGATTCCGGCGGTCGCGGTTCGGCCAGGCTGCCCGTTGAGCGAGTGGTCCTCCACGAGAGGTTCAACAATTACGTCCACGACATTGGTAGGTGACACAGCGTGCCTCGAGCGGGTTGACGAATCGACGAGCAGAAGAAAGAGACGTGGAACAGCTGTGTGTGTGTGTTTGCAGCCCTGATGAAGCTCGCCAGGCCGGCTCCCCTGTCGAAGGTGGTGAGGACCATATGCCTACCGGAGCCGGAGGAGAAGCTGGCGAACGGGTATTGCGTCGCCTCCGGATGGGGCCGTTACGGGCCGTCCCAATCGCTGTCGACCGCGTTGCTGGAAGCGTCGGTGCCGTTGCTCGATCTCGAGAAGTGCATAAAAGCGTACGGGAAATCGGTGCCCATCCGAAGTGGCCATCTCTGCGCCGGGCACACCGACGGCTCGTCCGGAAGCTGCGTGGTGAGTTTGATTTCGATTAGCGGAGAAACGATTGCAGATTTTTGCGGCCGCGGCCGATAATCGATGCTCGAAGAACCGCGCTACGAGCCGCAGCGTCCGCGCAATCGTACGAGATATAACTCGCGCGATCGACGTCCACTCAACTAGATTAAAAGTACCGCGTCTCCGGGATATAACGGAACTGCCCCTGTCCTTCATCGACGAAATAGAACGACTCCAACTCGTCCTCTTCATTGCCTCGGTTCTCCGGATTCTTTTTTCCAAGTCTCGTTCGTTGTGTGTCCGCAGGGCGATTCCGGGGGACCCTTGCAATGCCGTCGTCCGGACGGCGTATGGCAATTGGCCGGTGTCACGTCGTTCGGCTCCGGATGCGCCAGGCCCGGGTATCCGGACGTCTATACCAAGGTGCAGCATTACGTTGACTGGATAAGGAACACCATCGACAAGGACGAGGACGCGCAATATCTGTAATTTTGTAGATACCACGTTCGTGTAAATATCGTTTAGTGGGCGCATTGTAAATATACGATTACAGGATGACCGAATTGTGTGTCCGGGCTTTCAATTTAAACCTGCTCGAAAACCGCGTTCGCGAACGCGCGACACGCATCGAGCGATAAATCGTTGTTGCAGGGCGACCCGCAGAAATCGATTTGAATGTAAAGGAAACGGAAAGTTTCAAAGAAAAGCCATTTTGCCAGAGGCCAGACAATCCCACGATTTTATGAAACCAGCCCCCGAGATAGATGCCGGGATCTGCATTTATATGGTGCAACGGAACGATGCGAAACCGAGCTTGTTTCGCATCCCGTGCGAAACGTTGCGTAACACCGCGATGCGCGGAGTGATTGAATTTCCTTGGACGATGTTAGAAATATCGATTCGCCGGCAACATATCCCATCAGGAGCATGGAGTGCAGGGCACACCAATTATGAGCCCGTCTACATCCATTAATTAGCTTAATGTCAGGCACTCAGGGTGAGTATGGAATGTTCGTGTTCCCGCTAAAGCAATTTTCTTCGCCGTTTCCTGTTCGAAATCAAGTTCTCCCTTGTTGCAAATCCGTGTCTCTGTTGAATTTGTGGGCAAACGGCGGCGTCGAATTTTGCGAGTCCAAAGAGATTTGGCGAATCCAAGAATAAATCCGGAACACACTGCGAATAAAATAATGATATATTATTAATTAATTTAACACGTCGAACGCTGTAAGCGAACGAGTCGATTAAACGGAATATAGACGACCGCGTCGTTCGGTATTATATTTTGTCTTCTTCAAATTTGAATTTAGCGCCATTCGACGCGCGACGAATTACTCGAACGAAAACACGAAGATACAAATATTTCGGAAACCGGCGGCTCCAAACTGTTGTTCTTGGTCTCAAAATGCTCGCAGAGATGCCGAACGTCGATCATACGTTTCCAACGACCAATAATTATTGCTAATTTTGGCCAATTATTTTCTTTCCAAAGATAGTCCGTTCGTGGACCGTGGCGCGCCACCATCGCGTACCGGCAAACGTCGAAACTAAATCTCTCTTGTACGAACAATGCACCGTTGCCGAAAAAAAAACGGTAATTATCGCATCATTAGGGTACAAGAAAGTAAATCAATGGCGAAGAATATGCTGCATCGATGTCGTCTAAAAAAAAAAAACGACAATCGTCGCGAAACATAATAGTTAATGAAACAGAAGAAGAAGCAACGAAGTACATGTAACATGTAACGAAGTACATATTGTATTTCATGTTTATGAAATTTGAACGGCTAATTCATGAATTATTTAATTTAACCTGGTCTCAAGCTGTTTAGCATAATTCCATGCGTCATATGTAAATTAATTGGACCAGAACGTTTCAATAAATAAATATTTAACAAATTTACAAACCAAGCGTCAAAAATGGATGGCGGCATCGTCCAATGATGAATTGCTAGAAGCTGAGAAAGAGAAAAAGTTGAATAGCTCGTCGAAACTAACGTTCTTAGTCCTTAGAATGATTCCAGTTATTCTGCGTATCGAATGTACCGTATCTATGAATTCTAAAATTTTTGGTAATCAAAAGTTTGTGGGCAATCAAAAATTCATAGACTGTGGCTTATGGACCATATATTATGTATGCACGTGGTCTAAGGACCATGTGGCGCACTATCACCATGTAGCTGCAAAGGGCCGAACTAAATCTCCGGTATACGTATCATGCAGATCGTCGGATAACTTTGATTATTGTGTAATTAGAGAATAAAAAAAATAATATAATGATACAGAATTGTTGAGGTGAGTCTATTCCATTGATATTACGTGAAATAAATGCATAATAACGTTAGAAAATATAATGAATTGCTGCTTAAAAGTTTTACTAAATATTATGTTAGTTAATTACGTTTTTCAATATTACCGTATTTTTTTTTTGTCAGATGGTATCGACGCAACAAACTCTCCTGAACAGTTGAGTGCCTCTGGTTTTTTTTCTTCTATGCTCTAATTATGCCATAATTGGCATCTGTCGCTATGCGGTGATAGTGCGCCACAGTCCGTGAACTAGCTATTTTGAAGAAAATCATAATTACCCATAATTATGACTTAGCTATAAGACGGTCTGAGATATGGATTCTGTACTTAAAAACGCTGGGAATATTTTGCAACCAAGAACACCAGTTTAGAGTTATTAATTTCTCAAATATTTATGCTTTCTGTTTTCTACATCGAAAGGCGGCAAATTCAAATTCGACGAAGATCGTGATTCTTTGCACGATTTGTAAAGTATAAGAATTATTATATCGACCATAAACGGGAATATAAATATTGAATATAAAAAGGCCTTCGATGGAATAATCGAGATTAATTTTCGTCGTTTGTTATAGTTATTTATTTATTATAAAATTATGCTTCCAACAAATTGTAAAGGAATATATGCATGCATGGAATCGAATCGATCGGACAGACGATCGTTAAAAAAATTTTTTGCAATCGAACATTGATACACAGCTCTGTGTTCTGTTATAATTAGTATTTCTAGGTTTGAAGCAAATCGCTGTACACGCGGACATCACCTACTTAACATTTCTCCTCTTTTGTGATCTACAATGATCTTGTAAACTTTACGTAAGGAAGAACCAAGATTTTTTCTATGAGATTCAAAGCTGCCTAATAATTTGTTTTTCTATCGATATCTGTGCTCCTCCTTGCGTAAAGCGTATATTCAGCTGTTTCCTCACCTTTTCGTTCTCTTTTTAATCTACAAAGTACTTAATTATTGGCTGTTCCGTTGTCATCATAAAAAATGTAGAACAATCGATCAAACTTACTTGAGGTAACGATGTTTACGGACGAAAGTAAATTGTCATTTTACATTTTGTATAATACAAGCCTGACACTACGTACAAATGAAAAATTCGAAGAGCAAATAATACGTACTCGTTCATCGTTGAACAAGTAACAGTCTTCAGATGTTTCTAGTACGCGAAGTTTATAATGACGTGTCCCTTTTGATTACGGTGTACAATTTTACGAATCTCGAAAAGTATCACATGTTACGCGCGAAAACAATAAACTCAATAAGAGACAATAAGTTCGAAGAATGCGTCTCTCACGCCTGCTTTCTCTCGAATGATTTCAACGATCGGTAAAAGCCAATGTAATCCCGATGACTCAATCAGCTTCACAAAATTCTAGCTGCAACAAAAGGACTATTTGGCGGTTCGTTGGAAATTATAATCTGTTCAAGTGTAAATATTTTTTTTACTAAAAATACTTTTATTACCAAATGCTCCTTAAGATACAGTGATACGATTCAAAGGGAATTCCATCGGGATTACACCGCGCCTCGTAATAAAAATTATTATTGACAAGAATACTCGGTTATTTCTTTTTTTTGTAACAAAAACAGCGATTCTCATTTCTTAGGGACGATTAAATAGTAAATAGTTTTTTTTTTATATTTATCTCATTTGGTTTCAATTTTCGTTACTTTAATAGTACGTGCTAATCGTTTATCTATTCTCAACAAGTTCATTCCTTACACAATGTTTAACATAACAGCCTGCCAGCAGCGCAAAAGATTAAAGATAGTTCATTTTTACTTAGATTCGCCTTTATCTTGCAATTTCGTACACCTTTCTAAGTTCTTCGAGTTCCTTATTCTGTTATTTCTGCCCTTTCTATTTTATATTAGCGACGAAACAGTAATTATAACTTCTTTCTTCTTTTTCTTCGATTAACCGCGAGACTGACGAGGCAACGACGCAACGACGGCTCATGCAAGCGTTCTTGAGTAATATTCGTGGTGTCAATTGTACCGTCCCGGTAACGTCACGTCACGTTTTTTTTTTCAACTCGTTGCTTTCTCTCTTTCTTTCATTTTCTTCATTAACGACCCTTAATTATAGGCCTCTGGCAGAGGCGATTCTTGCGAATGCGTTCCACAGGCATCTAGGCACGACAGATATAAAAGTAGTACGTTCAGGAATACTCAGATTCATAACAATCGATATTCTAAAATAGTGCTATCACGTTCATCTAACTCTAAAAAACGATGTCACTTGTTTCTGTCTTTTTTCAATTTTTTTTTGTTCTGCCTATTTTCTATGTATATTTGGCTCATTCCGCTGCTAAATTACGAGCTGTTAGCATTGAAGCAACTATGTATCACTTGTTATTTAATGTCTGCCATTATCATTCGTTTCGTTTTATTTGCATTATCAGTGGAAACCTCGCTCAGAAGTGTAGCGCCTCAAAACTTGCATACTAAAATCGATTTTTCTTTGCTTTTCTCTTCTTTAACCGTTATTACGACATCAAGCACGCGGCCATACTTTTTTTCGACCTCTCTCTCTCGCGTTCGTATAAAATTTGTTTATTTAGAGTATATATATATATAGGGTGTTCGATAAACCATAAATTTCTGTGATATGAAGAAAATCCCCCGCTCGGCGCAAGACAATTTTCGAACACAATTCTTTATGAATATGAATTAGCGGTCAGTCTCGATCATCTTCGTTTCGGTCGCAAAGATGACTTCCGCGAGCACCGCCTTATTGTCAGCGATAGACTTCCTCATACGTAAGAAATCTACAGTTTACAAAATACTCTGTATACGCATACATACTTAGGACCCTTATTCGCTAGATTTTTATCTCGTATGTCATGATTTTTCTTTCATAGCGAGTACACGTAACGTATTGTTTGTAGGTCTCGCGACTCCTTGTGTGTAGATCGTTTCAAAGAGTATATAATAAGAAGTTATCAGCTTTTTATCGTTTTCATCTTGTAGATTACTACAGACACATTGTTATATCTTCCAAAAGGTGCTGGGTGCAATGAGAGAAAGCTTTTTATTTTGTTACCGTAAAAGGAAAAGAAACAATTAGCATACGCCTTGACAGTTTCGATACAAGGGGGAATATTACAACAATGTCTGACCTCTATACGATCGAATCTGTGTTTGGGATCGTCGCCGTGTTTTGTTTTCTCTTCGAAAAAAAAAGCTAACTCCCAACATCACTGCAGCAGAAGAGAGGATACATGGGAAGAGATTGCGGTAGAGACTAGCAATTATTGGGGTCCGGTGGCGTGACAAGGTACTCATCTGCACGTTTGTGATCGGACAATGCCCGCATTGTATGTGTGTCTTGGGGTAAATCGCTTTTCCTTCGCAGAAGTTGCTTGGTTTTATTAGTATTCGTCATCTTCTTTGCCTAAAATCGAACAAAACATTTCAATTAACGATATACACCATTCGTTTCAGTTTTCTACGATGCAAATAAGCCTCCTACCTCGTTTGCTTTCGCTTCTATCTTCTCCAATGTGAGCGGTGTTTGATCCGTATCGCCATCTTCGTCGGGCGGAGGACTATCCAACTGTTGCGATAACGAGAGGTTCGCAGCGGTATTAGTTAAACCTTTGACAGCTGCGTTGTAATTCGGATGTCTCATCGCCAGAGCTTCCACGCGCATCCAAGCGTCATCTCTATCTTTCATAAGCTTCCTTTCTCTTTGACGGTCCTAAAAAAAACGTAGCAATTGGTATTACATATGGTCATCGCGTTGATCTTGCAGCACCAGAAATTACGCACCTGATAATACTGTTGAGTACATTCGTCGAACACTTTGTGGTTCATCTCCATGAACAGTTTCAACGCGTTGTAGATCAAACCGTGAATGGTCTTGTTCCAGTGATCTCGCGAATTCTTATAAAATGCTGGATACATAATGGGTAATATGACCGAATAATTGTCCGATATCAAAGACATTATGTATTCGTTGTTCCAGTAGTAAAGAGCCCTTTCAGCCACCTGGAAAATCATTGCACGACATATTCGTATAATACCGATACGAATCCTTTCAGCTCGGTCCACGATGCCGTTAAAATGCTTAAAATACCTGAAAGTGTGGAGATGAAACGCATTTCGCCAATTGTCTAAATAATGGGTCCATGACTTTTTGGAATTCGGCAGGTTCGATCACATCCAAAATCTCCTCGAGTTCGTTCAAAAACATCACCTCTTTCGGGGAATGTGTCTTCGGCCAGAATTTCAGTAAACTTCTGATAACAGGCTCAGTCAACGACGGGTCTTTCTCCAGGAATTGAACAACGCAATATGCTAATTGCGGATGATAGACGGACAGTGATTTGGCTTTGTGCAAAGGTAAAAGCACCTTTAATAGAAAAATTTTGTGTTCCTCCTTCAGAGGTAAAGCGAAACCGTTGATTATGCTGCAAGGAAAACGAGGCAGTTGTTTAAAGTGCGTTCCGGATGACGGATAAATGTATGTACAGTATGAAGAATTACCTTCCCAGAATCTCTAGGAGTTCGGCGATGCCATTGTGGTGCTCAGTTTCATATATAAATCGGTAAAAAACATTGTTTATTTGTTTCCTGATATACGCCCTAAGCCCTAAGAACTTTCCGTAAATTCTATGAAGTGTGGTCTTTAGGAAATCCCTTTCCCGCGGATCCTCCGAATCGAAGAGCTCCAACAGTTGCAGGACAAACTTCTGATCTATGTAACGCCGCGCAATGGAAGGCTGAAAATCTTGAGACTCGAGTAGTCGGAGAAAAAATTCGTAAACCAACTGCAGATGCGGCCAAGCTGCTTCCAGAGTCGGTTCATCCTCCTCTGGATCGAACTCGGCGGCGTTCGGATTCGACGACGGAGGAAGCGTACGGAAGAGGTTCACTGCGAACTAGAAACCACCCGTTACAAATCATTCTTTCTTATTCGTCGAGAATGATAAGAGTGCCCCGATCTTACCATGTTCACCGCTTCGGGGTATATAGCCTCCGTGATCACGTTTTTGTTCTTGGTAACGTACTCGACCATCTCGTACAAGGCGGTACGTTTGACTTCCTTCCATTTTAAGTCCGATAAAGGGTCAGACTCGAAATCAAAGAGAACGCAACATTGTCGCAGTTTCTGTATAAAAAGTTCCTCCCGTTCGTTCCCTTGTTGCGTTTCTAAAACGAGGAAAAGAAGAAAACGCTATTCATATTGGACAAAACGAACCTGGACGTCGAGACTCATACACAATTTATATAGCAAATACAAAGGCGGCAAGAAAATACTCATCGGACTGTGTAAAAGAACTCCTTAGAAACCGTAATGTACGACCTATACATTTTAAATATTATGTCTCTTTCCCTTTCCTGGTGCCTTTTTATGTGTATTTAACATACATTGTATCTCTCTATTACCACATCCATTCTTATACACTGTTTTTCTCTGACCCCTCCCCCCTCCCGGTACTACTTTTTTATTCTCTCTCACTCTCTCTCATTCTCTCTCTCTCTCTCTCTCTCTCCCTCTCCCTCTCAGACAACATATGCGAGTTCTCCACAAGACAGCTTCTTTGCGTACCTGCAACAATTATGTTTATTTAAAAATGACTAGGTTCAAAGGAGGAAGGCGGTCTTCCGAAAATTCGTTACCAATTAATAGAGGTCGTAGCGGCTGATAATGCGAAGTAAAGTTGGACAAATAAGTCTTATTCGGTTCCCGCGAGAGGACCGTGGCTAAGGCGAGGCCCTGATGGAAGCTTGGACTTTTCGGCAAGCCGCCGGATGCGAAAGGATATCCGTCCACGTGAACCATTTTGCTTTCGAGAAGGCTGTCGAAACGATTCTCGCCCGAAAACTTGCTATTTCTTCGTCTAATCTATTAGAGCGAAAGCGTAATAATGTTTTCCCAGGAAAACAGCTACACTTACCACTCCCTGAAACTACTATCACTAGGGAAAATTAGTGGAGAACAACCAATACTAGCGGAGCGATTACAGATGACCCCGAGTTGTTACAGACTGATCCTCGATTTTTATACTAAATAATTTGTTTATATTACATCGATGCCGTATACGCTTGCTTATGCTACCGTTAGTGTATCTTTACTTTCATATGTATACATATATGAGAGCTGGAGATGCAGTCAAGAAGTTGTAATCTGTAACATAATATTACTATCAAGTAATACAGCAAATTTGTTTTACTATTTGAAAAAGTTACGTTTTAATTGATCGTTCAAGAGTTAAGATAAAATATCTGTTTCGGTTGCAATAATGTTTGTAATAATAAAATAATACAAATTATTTCGAAGAAAAATAATCAATGAAAATTATCTTATCGTTACAATAATGTACTATTTTCAATAATATAATATATTATATTTAATATAATATAATATATTTTATATAATATTTATATTAATTATAAGTATTATATTATTTAATATAATACTTATATTTTTATATAATATTTATATTAATTATAAGTATTATATTATTTAATATAATACTTATATTTTTATATAATATTTATATTAATTATAAGTATTATATTATTTAATATAATATATTGTTAATAATTCCTTGTGAAGAGTGCCGATTATTTTCGATTTTTAAGGGAAAAGCTGGTTGGTTTCCACTGACATTTCTCACTATTAGTTCTGTAGTAAACGAAGATATGGAACAGGCAAATTAGGGGAGCAAGCAAACCGTTCTAGAAGTGGTAAGTCGCGGGCTTTAAACTCGGAAGGCATTATTTTGCGTTCGAGTATACGCACCGGTATTCCTTCTTTACATAGCAATCTGTTGCTTCGAGATATAACCGACGGTTCTTTCGAGCGAGAACTACCTGTACCTAGATTCCGGCTACGATATCGGGTCTCTCGCGACTATTTACGCCGGCACGATCGACACAACCATCGACAAGTCCCGGGAGATCACTGAAGTGCGAGCAATTGAAATTGTCAAATTGCTGTCGATGACAGAGGCCGTTTGAACGACGAACGACTGTTTACGTTAGAAAAGTAGGAATCGCTAAANAAAAAGTTACGTTTTAATTGATCGTTCAAGAGTTAAGATAAAATATCTGTTTCGGTTGCAATAATGTTTGTAATAATAAAATAATACAAATTATTTCGAAGAAAAATAATCAATGAAAATTATCTTATCGTTACAATAATGTACTATTTTCAATAATATAATATATTATATTTAATATAATATAATATATTTTATATAATATTTATATTAATTATAAGTATTATATTATTTAATATAATACTTATATTTTTATATAATATTTATATTAATTATAAGTATTATATTATTTAATATAATATATTGTTAATAATTCCTTGTGAAGAGTGCCGATTATTTTCGATTTTTAAGGGAAAAGCTGGTTGGTTTCCACTGACATTTCTCACTATTAGTTCTGTAGTAAACGAAGATATGGAACAGGCAAATTAGGGGAGCAAGCAAACCGTTCTAGAAGTGGTAAGTCGCGGGCTTTAAACTCGGAAGGCATTATTTTGCGTTCGAGTATACGCACCGGTATTCCTTCTTTACATAGCAATCTGTTGCTTCGAGATATAACCGACGGTTCTTTCGAGCGAGAACTACCTGTACCTAGATTCCGGCTACGATATCGGGTCTCTCGCGACTATTTACGCCGGCACGATCGACACAACCATCGACAAGTCCCGGGAGATCACTGAAGTGCGAGCAATTGAAATTGTCAAATTGCTGTCGATGACAGAGGCCGTTTGAACGACGAACGACTGTTTACGTTAGAAAAGTAGGAATCGCTAAACTACGCTGAAGCGCATGCCCAAACCACCGCACCTTACAATCGATACGGTTTGACGTAGTTACTTCGGAATTCTTCTACGAGCGAAATTAAAAAGACGAAATTAATTCGCCGATTCGATTTTGAACGATAACGAGTGAAATATCCTTGAGCGACGACGGTGCAACATCCCCGACGTATCTCTTAATTCGCAGAAAATTTCTCGCTAAAGAAATTTCCCTTTTGACATATTTTAAAACCAGTGCTGCAAACTTTTACAGAGTCGAACATACAAATTTATAGAACATTTTATTACTAGGCCGGTAGCACTTAAAATTCATTGCGGGAGAAGTTTTTTCATTCGCAACAAGATCGTACAGGTGCCGCCTTCTGTACGTAATTTCCGCAAACCTGCAACCCGCTCGCCAAAAATCTGCTCGGTCAATTCATAATCATCGGAATTTATTCACAATAATAATAATTCATAATCATTGGAGTTCGATGGATTCGTATTTTATTGCTGAACTGTAGATTTAAAACGTTCGTAGTTTTTTTAATTCGTATGAATATTCGCAGCTTTTTTTATTCCATGTAATAATGTAATTTGATAAAATAAGGTAATGAAACGTTTAACAATGCAACATAGTAAGCTGCACTCTAACTTGCACCTACCCTCGTTTAGACTTATTAAGTATATTGCGGTTTATTCTTAGCAAGGACAATGACGATTAAGTTTAGTACTATTATTTTGATCGACTAATCAATTATTTTGCGGTAATAACCGCAGAAGAGAGTTTAGTGTACTTTGCCGCTGAATTTTAAAAAAATAGAGCCACTGTTTCGAACGACTTACAGTGGTGCCAATTTCGAATTCTACAGAATCATAAATTGATTCTGGTAACTTACCAGACAGAAGCGGCAACTTTTGAAGTTCCCGATTTTTCGAAATATTGAATCTTGAGCTACTTTGTCGCTTGTCCTTCTTTATCACAGGACCGCCTGGCTGGTATTTAATTTTGTTGATCAGCGTCGGTGGTGGCGGTGCGCTGGTCACGGGTGGTCCTCCTCCTGCTACCTTGTTAGCCTGGAATAATATATTGAAAGCTTCACTGTCGACGTTATAGAACAAAACGTTTAAATTCGGGAGCTGCGATAAAAATGTAAATTTGATCGACAAAGTCCCTGACACGATACATGCAAGAACATTGTAGACCCAACTTTATCCACCCTTATGTTTGATAATTCTTTTGAAAAGGACAATAGTCGTACAATTTCAAGCAAATATCAATGGATTGTTTTACGGTTGCTCTAGATGAAAAGAGCAAGTAGAAAGTGCCTATTAGACATGTACTTTTTTCAATAATCTGCTCTCGATTAGCTATTAAAAAAAATGTTTTTCATATATATATATATATGTATATACATGTATGCCCATCTATGAGTAATCTTTATTACATTGGATACAATTCTTCCAACGTCGCGTTATTGCCTGGATTCCTTGAGAGAAGTTTTGTAGGTGATCTTGAAACCATTTATGCACTGTGTGTCGGTCTTGACCCTTGGTCTGACGTGATGTCCATTCAGAGGATCTTCTAGCAGCCAAAAAAGATGACAGTTACTTGACAGTATGTTTGGCAAACGTACAGGCTAAAGTAACGTTTTTATAAATTAGTCCGCTAGATCTACATCAAATCTGGCTTACTAAAGAATACCTGCATTCTCATTGAATGAGAACATTCATACGGATGCGCAAGAATGACTTCAACACCAATCACAAAACTTCTTCTCGAGGAACCTAGCTAACAACTTATATCGTATAAAACCGATGAATTTTTGTTCTACCATAGACGACTTAACGCTAAATCTTTTCTTAAACTTCCCTACCTCTCTGCACACATTTCTGTTAAGGCATTTTTGTGATTGCTTGAATATTCTTGGAAAAATACATGCACATTTTACAATTGCTACTTTTATTTGAATCTCTTACTATTCAGAATTTAATAACTCATAGGTGATCCTACAGGTAATAATATATACGCATATACATTATATGTATATAATTCACATAATCATAATAACACTGTGCTAAAAGTAATATTTACCGATTTCTAAACCGTTTATAAACAATTAATTATAGTGTAAATTAATTTTAGCAGTAATTTATTGTAAACTATTATTGACCGTGATAAATTGTTAACCGATTACTCTACGTTATCATCGATCGATAATCAGATTCGAAGCACTACGAAATTTTCTACAGGCTATATACAGGCCGTTCGCATATTTAATTTATTTATAAATCGAGTTTATAAATAAAACGATTTTGTCACTAATCCATTGGTTCCTGGTTTATTTCTTATGTATCCTCTTAGCCGTTAACGGTATAAAACATTCGAATCATTTCAGCTGTTGCAATTATAGGTTCGTATCACATGTGCGCGCACGATAGGACAAATACCAAGCAATGACAAAATGACAATATATTTCAGCACGAGAAAATAACGAACGAATATGTTCTAATCATTGTGATCAATTTACACACGGCATTTTAATTGTTCGAAATTAACAAATACAGATCCCGATATTATTATTATTATCTACCGTCGTGTAACATTCATGCAAATACGTAAATATAAATATAAATCTTAGCAAATAAAAGAAAAATTTGTTTTTCGAGACTACTATACTTTGAAATCAGTAGTAAAGGGAACCATCCTTTCTTAAGTAACACCCTGTATACTGATAAGTTGATTCCACACATATCGGGCATTAAACTTTAATTACACGTTAATTATAATCGGGAAATACGTAACAACGTTAAACGTCGTTAATTACAGCGTAGCAATAGAGCGAGAAACATGAGTTTTAAAAAAACAGCAAACCTCGGACGAAAAAAATAATATTTGGACTTGTACGCTATATTCGATTTGCACGTTGTTTTCTATTTATCAACTAAGTTGAACACGTTCAAGCGCCACCTGTGCCAGCAACATTTTTCTTCGAAAGAAAACTGTAAAACCGTTCCAGAGAGATAGAAACGTCGCATGATTGTCAATGACTGGGGCCCGGCTGTAAAAAACAGCACCGCGGTTATCTCTACGTGTGTGCATAGGTTCGTGTTGCACGCGTGATAAACGATTCCGATAAAGAGAAAAATTTCAGGTGAGCCGAAGATGGACACCGAGGATGGACTCGGTGTAGTTCATGAAATGTTTCGATGTTATAAAGAACGATGGACACGAAGCGTTCCATCGTTTTGGAAACGAAACGTCAAGGCTTGTAAATGGAGCAGGAGAGAAGCGGGGCTCTACCGTGGGTGGGAATCGTCGATGACAGGAGTGTCTCGAGGATTCGTAAACCGAAGTCGAGTCACGTCGGTGCACGGAAAGGGGGGAACATAGAACAGACGATATAACCTCACCTCGTCACCTGTCTCGCCATCCTTGCCGTTCTTTCCCTTGTCCTTGCCAATCTTTGACGCATCCTGGAACAAAAGGAGCAATAGTCACCACTTGCACGAGCTCACGATGCCACGACAGCAACCACAACAGTTCACATATCCACGACGCGGGGCACCGCTCGCGAAGACGAAACTCTCGACTCGCACGATGTCATGAACGGAAACGAGAATTAGCAGATTCGATGTACCATAATGCCGGCCCTTCAGAACGTTCGTCCGTGAAAACGTGCTTGCGAAACGGATATCGGGAAATCGGAAATCACGCTACACCCTTCGGTGTCTCAGCTACCGGGGTTGTTTCCCCGAACTCTCTTTACTCTCCCTTCTTCCCTTTCTCTCTTTACTCTCCTACTATATCCCTGTCATCGTCTCTCGCTCCCCTTCTTTTTCTCGCTCACTTGTGCTCGCTTTCTCACTTCCTCTTTGCTTCTCCCTCTAGTTCTCTCTTCTGCTCGCTCCCTCTAACTTTCTCTCTCTCTCTCGCATTCTCTCTCTCTCACTCTCTCTCTCTCTAGTGCTCGCTCAGTCACTCCCGCTCTATTTACAGATATATGCATGTATATTTCTCCCTCTCTCTTTCTGACTACGAAGCGCGCGTGTGCCTGCGATCTCTCCTCGTCGCGAAGAAACGCCGTTTTCATTGCATACGTGTGCACCGACCACGTAAGGAGAGCCACGCAAGATCGGAACCAAATCCAGAGCCGGACAAGATCAGAGACCAGGGGACAGACTCGAAATCGGCAACATGCATCACGAACCTTCTCTTTCTTCGACTGCCGGCTCGACATATTGCTCCCTCGGTCCCGAATAACGGATACGCGCGATCGACCAGAACGAGCGGTTTAACACACTTTGAAAATACGTAGCAACGCATCGATCACAGCGGCCACCGAGACGCCGACACGAGACACTCATTCGAGGCGGCCATTGGCTATGCTCGGCGATTGAACCTTTCGACCGGCGATTCGCGCCACTCGCCTATTCAACGTTACACAGCCTCCGGTTTTCCACTAGCTTCCCCGAAAACACCGAGGCTACTTCCGTTCGTCCGCAGAAATATCATTCGTTATCTGTATTCTATAATTCTGTACTCGTTAGATCGTCCGACATTACGAATATTAATGGCTAATGCTTATTTAACATTACGAGATCTAATGATTCCATGGCGCAGCTATGTTCTGCGATAACACAGGCTATAGCGCAATCGACAAAGTTGAACGATGGTTGATCGGTCAAATTCCCGCACAAAAAATTTGCCAACTACTTTCAGGCTGTACGCTGCTGCTATACGATCGAGAATCGTGTATGCGAGAATAACATTCTCAAGATCGGCTTAATTGACAGTTTATACTATCGTTGTACGATACCATGAATGAGATGTTTTATTATGCCGTTCAAACAGATTCAAATGCTACGCTTGAAGTTGGCTTTAAGATCTACAAACGTTGCTCAAGATCGGAGCTTCGAGATCTTTTCACTAGAGCGTTGGAAAACGGTGTTCAGTTACTTTCTCGCCTGAACGTCTAGTAATTTAATTGCTAGATATTTGTTGTTCTGTATCCAGATCTAGTGACTGTACTATAGAAGTTCCTAGCACGTGTAGAACTGAAATATATTTTGATTACATATTATGTTTTGGAATAAACCGGGTGATGGTTTTAATTTCCAAACACACGTTGCACTGGTAGAAATTCTCTTCGAAACGAAAATACGGAACCAATGTAAGCAGAAATCGATGTCTTTAACTTGGTCTTTTTAAAAATAGGTCTTTATCACGGATCAGACATACGAAATACATGTAACCTAAAAATGGCGGAAAATAAAACGATGATCGGAGAAAAAATAAAACCATTATTTCGTAATTTGACGGCAGACGATCCAGAGCCAGAAATTACAGAGATCGAGAGTCTCTGCATAAATTGCGGTCAAAATGTAATGTACTTCAATCTTCGGTATACTCTCTTATCTGTTATAACCAAAATATGATTTAACAGGGCAGCACTAGATTACTGTTGACAAGAATTCCACATTATAAGGATATTGTGGTAATGTCATTCGACTGTGAACATTGTGGCTATCAGAATAACGAGATACAAAATAGTGGAAAAATTCAAGAGAAAGGGATTAGAATAACATTGCAAGTTACGACGCTTAAGGACTTGAATCGTCAAGTCATCAAGTCCGATTATACCAGTGTGAAAATTCCATCTCTGGATTTTGAGATTCCATCCAGATCACAAAAAGGTGAAATCACAACAATAGAGGGTATAATACAAAGAACGATCACTGGCTTAGAACAAGACCAACCTGCCAGAAAAAAAGAAGATCCACATTCAGCTGCTCAAATTGATCAGTTTCTTGAGAAATTAAGGAAGTTGAGATCATTGGATGAACCTTTCACTATTACATTCGAGGACATATCAGGGGAGTCTCACATAGAGAATCCAAATGCACCCTTGAAGGATGAAAAGTGCACCGTTGTTAGATTTAAGAGAACAACAGAACAAGATCACACTTTAGGGATCTACAACGAAAATTCAGACAATGTTCTACTGAAACCTATAAAAGAAGGAGAATACACATTAGAGGAAATCGAGGGTGAAGTTCTTTCGTTTGGAACAAACTGCCCAGAATGTAATTGCCCATGTGAAACTAACATGAAAATGACAAGTATCCTTTCACAAAAGCTAATACTAATTTTGCGCTCTCACTAAATAGCTTTATCATCCTTAATTTATTATTTAGATATACCACATTTTAAAGAGGTGGTAATCATGGCAACAGTCTGCGAATCTTGTGGCCATCGAACTAACGAAGTTAAAAGTGGGGGAGGTATTGAATCCCAAGGAGTGAAAATAGAAGTGACCGTTGCAGGAAAAGAAGACTTCAGTCGTGATCTATTAAAATCGGAAACTTGTTATATGCAAATACCAGAATTGGAACTGGAAATCGGACCTGCCGCTTTAGGTGGACGATTTACCACCGTCGAGGGTATTTTAATGGCGGTCAAAGATCAGTTATCGTCGTCAACAGCATTTACTGGGGACAGCAGCGATCAAGAAGTTGTGAAGAAAATGGAAATGTTCCTATCGCACTTAGACGAGGTACTAGAAGGAAAGCGAGAAATAACGTTGATATTAGACGATGCAGCTGGTAACAGCTACATACAAAGTCTATCGGATGATGGAATCGACTCTGGTTTGAAGATCACCAAATATGAAAGGAATTACGAACAGAACGAGGAACTTGGTCTGAATGACATGAAGGTTGAGAATTACTAATTACTCACTGAGGAGATGATATCAATCTGATGTATCATAATTGATGAAAAAAAATGTATCATAAATGTATACATACTGTGTTATGTAAATACATGTTGTGCAATCTTATTGCAAGATTTTTAACAAGATTCAACTTTTTATTAACTATATAGAATTCATTAAATTACGATTAGATTGAACGTACTCGTTTAAAAATATTTAAACAATGGGTATAGCATCCAGTTTCTTTAATTTGGGCAGTCTTTTGGTGACTTGACTACGCCAAAATTCTACGTCCACGTTTTCGCAGATAGGATTGTTAATAAACAATAGATCTTCAAGATGCGGTATTTCTTGCAAACGATTGAATTCCGCCCAGTCTTTCACCAAATTATTGGACATGTAAAGGACTTTTAGGGCTTTCAAAACATTTACACCTTTAATTTTCTCGATCTGATTGTAAGATATCCATAATTCTTCTAAATGCTCTCCCACCGCTTCTAAACCGGAAAATGTTTTGATGTAATTGCGCCCAACAGATAAAATTCTCAAGTTCTTCAAGGAATTGATACCACTGATCTTCTCTATCATGTTTGTTGAGAGAGATAATTTTCTAAAGTACAGAAGATTTTTGCAACTGTATCAAGGGGTTATACGTTAAATAATTAAATACTAACTGTACAGATGTTAGAGCTGCTAAGTTGTTGTCCATTTTCTCAATAGGAGGCCATTGAAAGGACAAGTTGATTTCAGTCTGTTCACTGGCGGTTAAACCAGTTTTTTCTTCCCATCTTTGAATGGCTTCCTTACAAGTTGTTGGTTTAGCCTGTTGAAAATATTATATACAAAGTATAAACTGGTAAAAATTGTTTCATATTTAAGGAATGATAATTACCATAACTGATAGAACTAATTCAGAGCCTGGTAGTTGCTAAAACAGATAGTTACTACCACTTGTATCGCCGCGTAATAGAATTATAAACAATATGCAACGACCACAAGAAATAGTAGACAATGTCGCAACGTGAAGAAACTTCATTCAACTCATGACTTCAAATCAGTCAGAAGGTATTAGCACTTGTAAAGCAAGTAGCGCGACTACAATTGTGACCTTGGATTTTTTGTTCTATCTGTTTGATAATGGATCCTAACAAAATTGAGCAGACTACCTATATTTATGATAGTCGCATCATTCTCGAATTCACCGAACTATTACTGGAGGCAAAACAATTCTACGAAGATTATAAGTAATTAAGCTTATGATCTGTAAGCGCTATACGAAATATTCTAGTCTATTACATTACGTGTATCATACAGAAATGCACAAATTCTTTTTTATCAGAAAGATCGATGGATTATATATCCGCTTAAGGCCATTTATTGTGCACTAGAGTAATTTTCGTCTTCTTCAGGGATTCCTAATTACATCATTTCTTCTTCTCATCGTTCTTCATAAATATTTCTACATCCTTTGCAATTTTCCCCCAATACAAGTAGGTAATAATAGTAATTTAACTCTTAGGTATTAAAATATTCGAGAGTGACATTTTTTAATCGTTAAGCACAATGAATTCCGAATGGCTAAAATATATGAACCTAAGTACAAAGAGTTTTAACAGAAAGTCAAACGAACTGTAGATAAAGTTTACTACTCTAAAGATCTATAACTTCACAGCCAATATATTAATTACTCTCCTTCGTATGTGATGTATGGTGAGAAAATATGTATTTAGATAGAAAATTTCTATAGTAAAAAATTCTAAGTTAAATACAACTAATGAACTATATCCACATTTTTCTTCTTCTTTTTCATTTTCATAGGCATAGGACCTGGCATTTTGAACACTGTGCTGCAAGAAAATGATAAAATGTAAATTAATTTCCCAAGTACATGTAATATAAATAATTGTAATAGATCAACGCTATTAAAATACTTACTGACAAGTTGTACATATTGGACTGAATTTGCAAAATACTGTAAAAATAGATCAATGAATCAATGTATCGAATTTACATTAAAAATGTCTAAGGAATACTGTTGAATTTCATTTACTTGATAAACATATGGAGCAGACATAGCCAATGTCTATTAGTTCTTGATGGCAGAAGCATGCTGCCCTGTAGTCCACTTTCACAGGTGGAGGAAGCACTAGCTTTGTTCTAACATTCGGATCTGGCAGAAATATCCACTAAACAGACACAAATGTTTCTTCTTAAATATCAAAAGTCAAATGAACCCTCGACTCTGGGGTTCAGATATACATCCAGTAGCATATGTAAAAAGTGCAAATAAATGCTATATTTTCCTTACTAGTAAGTACTGTAGTAAACCACTTAAGTGGGGGACTTTCAAATAATTTCCACCAGTTATATCGCAGCCTTGTTGAAGTAATGTTAATTCTTGATCCAGACTGCAGACATCCAGTATTATTCCCTGCATGTTAAAGTGACAAGAATTAGCTACTTATTCAATTATATGACATGTATGTTAATAAGCGATACACTAACGAACCATTTTTTGGGCAGTGAAAAATATATTCATATAGTTCATGTATTGAGTAGCCGAATCATTGCTAGCTGTTATCACAAGTATTCTAGAATATAATTTTTGACCAGCAACTTTTTCTCTTTCTAATCTTGCTACGTAACAGAGTGCCATGGTCAACGCCCCCGATAGCAGGCTTTCTCCATTTAAAGGCTTGTCCATAGAAATTTCATTGATTACTTGTTGCAATTGCTGCCTGATAGTGCGCTCCACCATAGTGAACTTTTCATACTGTCCATCAATTTGTCGAATTTCCGAAGGTTTCTCACAAGGATACAAAAATCTTGCCCCGTGGCTATGACACGCTATTATAGCTAATTGGTTATTAGACGATTGCATCAAGTGTGCATTAGCAAAAACGATAGTAGAGTCCAAACATTGTGTCAACACTTTTGTTTCTTGTTTCACTATTCTCTGCACTGGATTCACGTCCAGTACAATTGTCAACAAGCTTGTTTCTATTTCTGAAACGAATACAATGATATTTAAACATTTTTGTACGACTAAACTTTTTACTGTTATAGGTTAATCGATACGAACTTACCGTTTGTCATATTGAATTGACCAAATTAACGTAACTATTGTATCTAACAATAATTATACACACAGTTTCTTAATAACACATTTTTATCATTTTTATTAATCCCCTCGAATTTCCCAGAAATTTAGGTAAACGAATACACAATCATATTGCAAACAACCGGACATGTACAAACCAACGACTGTGCCGGGTTGATTAAATATGGTTTATGTACCAACAGAATTGAAACTAAATTACATTCCACGAACTTTTTGACGGAGCTCAAAAATAAAAACATTTCTAATTTATAACGTATTCATAGAATATTGTTAATGTTCTTGTCTCAATCGTAAATATATATGTATCTGTATGTATGTATGTACAAACATTGTTTTCAGTACATGTTAGTACGTATGCAAATAGCGTCGACTGTTAATAGCTATTATGCATTCATAATTCTGAATGAACACTGTCTGACGAGTGAAGTACATACGTTAAATATATATACTTTCGAATATGATTGAACATGATTTAAAAAAAATATACGTTTGTTTGTATGTGGCTTTCACATTTTTAATGGCTTTCTTCAAAAGTTCCCGCCCGATCACCTTTTATGCAACAGTCAGAGACGTGCGCAAATAATCCATGCGAAAACGCGCATGGTTGCAAACGTATTTTGTAGTGGGTAGCTAACTGATTGGTTGAAGAGAATGGGAACGAACGTGGAACATCATTGAGGTCATCAGGGTGTCTTTGAAAGGTTATCGAACGTCGTCTTCTCGAACTTGAAATCCGTTACTGTTACATTACTACCCGAAGTTCCGCTGCCTGAACATGCTGCCACGAATTCTGAAGCCAACATTATCCGTCGCTCAACAAGGAGCCAAGGGGCTCTCGACGAGTGTCAGAGTAAGTCCCGCAAGAGATTTATAAACACTGCCGGTCGAACAAACCAGTCTTTTTATACGTATAATTTGCATTTTACATTTCGCACGGTATATAAATCATTCAAGAGACTTGGGACCCTTATTTTTGCGGTCGATTGCTTATCTTCGCAATAGTAGATATGTATTCAGAATTGTTATGCAACCACTTTTCGTCTCGCGAAAAGAATGATGTGTAAAAAATGGAATTATTATTATCTACCGTTACTGCGAGTATAATTAAATCGATATTATACAATAGCATCGACGGTAATGCGGTTGACTTTGCGACTGACAATGCGTTCGTTTGAATGCTCTTCAATGCGGTTATTGACGTTACTGGTAACCCGCGTGCGACTAGATCTGGCGTCCTCAAAGAAGTAAATCATCAGAATGCCCTGACAATAAAAAAATGCGTTTGAACCATGTTAATTCCTGCTTTATCTTTCAGCGCGATGCCAAGGTCGCAGTCATGGGCGCCAGCGGTGGAATCGGTCAGCCGCTGTCGTTGCTCTTGAAACAGTCTCCTCTCATTACCGAATTATCTCTATACGATATCGTGAACACACCAGGTGTCGCTGCAGATCTCTCACATATGGACACAAAAGCCAAAGTAAAGGCATTCACTGGACCTAATGAATTGAAGGATTCGGTCAAAGGAGCTCAAGTACGTTTCCTACACTACACACCACAGTAGCCACATGCCATTTCCTACTGTAGATATTGAATTCCTTTCAGCTTCAAGATTGTTATATACATGTATATATGTATGTATAATTATATAAGATTCTTATTTGCATACGACTTTTTATAGGTAGTTATCATACCTGCCGGTGTACCACGCAAACCAGGAATGACCAGAGATGATCTTTTTAATACGAATGCATCTATAGTAAGGGATCTTGTTCAGGCTGTGGCAGAGAGTTCTCCAAAAGCACTTATTGCGATTATTTCAAATCCAGTTAACAGTACAGTACCTATTGCTGCCGAGGTATTGCAGAAGGCTGGTGTCTATGATCCTAAAAGATTATTTGGTGTAACCACACTAGATATTGTCAGATCAAATACATTCATTGCCGAAGCTAAAGTTAGTTCAAAATATATGTACACAATAAGATTCAATGTTTCAAGACCATAGTATCTGATCCATGGTTTTTTAGGGTCTTGATCCACAGAAGACATCGGTACCGGTTATTGGAGGACACAGTGGTATCACTATCATCCCACTTATCTCGCAATGCAAGCCATCGGTCTCCTTTCCCGAGGATCAATTGAAGGCTCTCACTCTAAGAATTCAGGAAGCGGGTACGGAGGTTGTTAAGGCGAAGGCGGGTACAGGCTCTGCCACGTTGTCGATGGCATACGCAGGTGCTCGATTCGGTTTGTCGTTGGTCAGAGCACTTAATGGTGAACAGGGTATTATTGAGTGTTCTTACGTTAAGTCCGACGTTACACCGTCGAAATACTTCTCGACACCTATTGTCTTGGGCGTAAGTAGAATGTTTCAATGAAAGCCTGATGAACTTCTACGGGTAATGTATGATTTATATTTACTTTCAGAAAGGAGGAGTTGAAAAGAATCTTGGCCTTGGCACTCTCAGCAACTACGAGAAGAAGCTATTGGACGAAGCTATTCCGGAACTCAAGAAGAATATTCAGAAAGGAGAGGATTTCGTGAACAAGAAGTGAATACTGCCAATTTGGAACTAGATAGAGGTGTGATTGACCATGAACTGGAAGGAATCGACGATTATCAGTATTCGTTACAACAATCCTCGCGTTGTACGCGAATCGTTGTATTCGAAAGGGGAATCCTTTCGACATGCCAATCAGTAGATAAGCCCGTCTTGTACACTGTATAAAACAGATCGAAATTCATTCGTTACGAGTCAGTAAATAAACGAACAAGAACCGAAAGACAAAGCGAACGGTTTTATTGCTATACGAACAATATTCATAGACCTCAATTAAGAAAGAAACACACAATGCTGAATCACGAAATTTAATGTAGACAATTTTAAATAAAACAATCCCTGAACGTAAAACAAATAAAGATTATTTTTGCTAGCACCTTTGTCGTTGTTATAATTTTACTCTTATCTTATATTATAGGGGATGGTTAATCGACGCAGAGATAAAGTTCGTTTCGTGCGATCGATGGTAATGGGAATAATTTATTTTAGGGTTTTTAAGAGGAATATTTCCCGGAATCTGTGCCCTTTGCAACTGATGAGCAGGAGCTGACGCTAAAGATCTTTAAGTGATTAAGATAATCTGATTGCAGACGCTTTGTCTGTTACACTGGCCGCGGAGGGCCGCAACAGACAAGAATAGTAAGTTGGCTGAAAACAATGAGATAATAAATTGAAGAGCTGAAGACATTGCAGAAAACATAAGAAAGCGATATTTCCAGCACCGTCGCCTTCTTCTCCGGCTCCATTATTTCAGTTGCCGTTAAAAACAATCACACCGACTACTCGAAAAGAACTATTCGAGAAAGTACCGTCGCTTAATAGGCCAGCTATAACCGTCGAAGATCCGTTGAAGATGATCCTAAAAAAAAGCATCACAAAATATTAAGATAAATCGCAAGGATCGGTCCCACTCGTTCTCGTTATTTAGAGAACGAGGTCTAAAAATTAATATCAAAACCACAGAAATAACGTTCACTCTTTCATCACCAATTTAGTGTACTTACGAGGCAAACCCTTAAGGGGAACACTTTATGAATCATACGCTTATTAGAGCGACACAATTTTCAGTTGCTACTTAATTGTTTCTCAGCCTTCGTTGCCAGTCAACCGGACACTCAGGGGTAGGGGGATTGTTATTTAAAAATCCCAAGGTAAATCAGCGAGGATTAACGCGTTATAAAAAGGAATCACATCCTCCACAGCTGTTTGGGGGATGAATTTACACTCTTAATGTCCCAATACATTTGTAATTTATAAAGTGCAAAAAATGTTCTCTGTTTCAATAATATCGTACAATGTATCATCTCCAAGTTTCTGATGGTTTCTTCTATCGTTAAGTATCGTAATTTCTTCTAATATGATTTTTACCTGAAAATTGTGTTTTGAATTGTTGAGTAAAGGGAGATGTTTGTAATTCAGGAAAATGGAAGAAATACTATACCGGGGCCAGTCATCTCACTTGACATATTACGTAGCATTAAATTAAAATCTGCCAGGCGCAGAACGAACGATCAATTAATGAGATCTTCGAAAAGCGCTCGATGATAAATAGACGCGAAGGCGTTGAGCCCAAGCCTGTCTCCGATCATGATTGGAACGGACAATTGAAATGCTTGGAACGAATTCTGAAACAGGTGGATGTTAATGGACAGCCGAGGCGTTTGTTAATCACGACGAACTTTCTCGTTAGACTAATATCATAAAGAACAATCAATCGCTGAATACGAACGCGAGAGATATCATCGCAGGCTCTAATGTTGGATGATTCACTCTGCAAAGTGAATCATACAATGAAAACGCCTTGATATCACGCACATGCATTGTTTACATTTAATGTACAGTACAATTTAATATATATATATAATTTAATAATATATAATAATTTATATAGTATAGTATAATTTAATTTATATATAATATACTGAACGAATAGAGAGTTGTAATTACTTTATTTGTAGCTTTCACGTGTGTGGTTTTACAGAAAAATGTCGTATCCGGTAAAATTGTATCGATTGTAGTACGTACAGAGAAGTGTGTGAGAACGCATGCGAATTGGGGAAAAAATTGTTCGTAAAAAATAAAAACAAAGACAAATTTAGCCTCCTCCCAAATGACGATAAATTTTGATATCCAAGTCTAATTATTCGCTCTTGAACTGGGTTAGCGACAAGATGGAATGAACTGAAGATAATTACAGATAACTAATATTTATAATACAGAAAGAGTGAGAAAAGAGAGAAAGAGAGAGAGAGATGGAGAGAAAGAGAGAGACAAGAGCAAGCAGAGTACATCTAGTAAGAGATGGAGTAAGTAGATGTGTCTTTGTAAAAATCGGCTAAACACGTACAACGATTCTGAATAAAAGATTTAAAAGCGGTCTGAATCGATACACCGATCGTCTATTCGCCTTTAGTAGGTCCTACGGACAATCCAGGCGACCAGACAGTCTACCTACGATTGTTACTGTTAGTCGGGAACACTCTACAAGTTTTCATTTACTTTTTTTCTCATTCGCTTATGAGTCACGCTACATCGTGGACGACATTAATTGTTATCGCGGTTGGACTACTTCATCTTGTTTTTAATCCATCGTGTAAGCAAGTAATTGGATGAGGTATCTGACAGTTTATCGTCGTTTGGAATCCACTACACCGCTCGTTGCCACTGACAAATTTTTATTGTACCTAAATCTCTCCAACACTTGCGCGCATTTACTATGATATAATTCCTTATGCCGATGGATCCCCGATTTTCTTTACGGTCCCTCCACTGTTCTTCCATTTTCGTATTCTCGATCGCGCAGTTTTCCGTTCTATTTTTCTTGATCTTCATTCCTGCGTGTTATCTTCTACGTTTCTCGATGGTCACACGCATCTAAAAGTCGTTCCTTTTTTCCGTTTTTTTTTATTTATTTCTCGTTTCTTCTCCAATGGTGTGTTCGAAAACGAATCACGTCAATCGATTTCGTCGTGATACCCTAATTTTACGTTCTTAAAATTACTCGCATATACTTACTTACGGTGCCGTTGATATTACTTTGAGTTATTCTTTGTAACGTACTTTATAACATGATTATCAATTTTTATCGTTATTAATACCTAAATACAGGGGAGGGGGGCACGATAATGCACACCGATTTTCTAGGCAGAACTCGATTATCTGCGCGCGGTTCCTTTCGTCTTTATTTTTTCATGTAACATGCCTCGCTTTTTTGCTGCACGCTTTTTACACACGAATCACCAAGATCGCCCTTCTCCCGTTATAAGCACACATCAGCGGTTCACTATTTATTTAATAAACGAACAATCAATTTGTAATGCACCGATGGTTCTTCTTTTGCGGTAAAAAAATGATATCAACATGACAGCTAGTAACAGTTAGATTGCAGATCTTTATGCAAATATAAATTTTTATGTGCTAATTTATCGGAAAAAATAACCGCAGCTGGTTACTTGAACGGAGCGAATGGTCGACATCGTGTCGCAAAACTTACTTCTTTACCATACTTAACAAAATTTCGTGCTAACAGACTAACGAACGGATTGTCTACTATCGTTGGAATGTTATTCTCAAAATGAAAATCGACGGAATGGTTCACGGATACAATAATGAAAAAAGAATGAGAAAGGGAAAAACAATGATGACACCAACGCTACGAACGGGTAGACACGAACCAAGAAAACGCAATGGAATAATCGAGGATAGTGAGTCGGCGTGTGAAGTGAGCGCGGACGAATAAAGTCGGGATACAATCGTTTATTCTGTAATTGGTAATACCACAGCGATCGTTTATAGTTTTACACAATGGGGTGTATGAAAAAGTACAACCATAATATTACAGACTAGCTAGACGGCTACTGGTTTTTTCGCTTCTTCTGTTCGTGTGTATAACGATGATATAACGGAATTTATATTATACTCTTTTTGTTTCGATTTTATCGTCTTAAAAAAAGTTCATCTACCGTTAACACTTCTTTTCGGTTTATCTTAATATTCCATGCTTTTCGTCGATTTGAAAGAAAAGAACGGAATCGTAAACAGAAAGAAAGTAAAGGTAGAATAAAAAATGTAATTGTCTCTCTTATCGCGAAAAAGGCTCGAAGGTGTGAGTGGAAAGAAAATGTTCGACATTGTCGAAGACGGTTGCAGTTTTTTCGCACATGTATTTCAACGTTCTTTTCCTCTCTTTTCGCTTTGTGTATTATTATTTGGTGTCGATAATCGAACGAAAAATTTTGAGCCTGCTAAAATGATTGATTATTTAATTATTGCGTGTGTTTCATTAAGTACGACGCTTTTGCATATGCGCATCATTTTCTTGACAAAACAGAACCACGGCTACACGAAGGGTATCGTGACCCATAATGCTGGGAGCTACGCGCGTACGAAATTACTTGGGATTCGGACTTCGTTCGGAAGTACATATCTCGGTAATATCTTATTAGAGGGACGGCGGGGCCGAAGACAAGCAGTTGGTAGCCCTGGTGGATGACACCGAAGGGAAAATCGGTGAAGCCGCGTGTCTTCGCTCTCGCCGCGGACAACGATGTTGCTCGTTCTTGGACGAACGGTCGATTTTACATTCGATTTTGCCCGCGCATACAATTAACATTGGATTTAAACTTCGTGTGGTATGCGAGAGCGATCGTGCGCGCAGTAAAAAAGCGGGGGAATTGGACGAGCAGAAGGGACAAATCGA